TGATCCTGCTTTATTTATTTTTTTCAGTTGAAAACGTTCCGGCCTAAAGCCGTTAATGTAATTGAATTTGTGCCTCTATGCCTTGTCCGCAATTTTGGTCTGTATGCAAATTGTAGCTTACAACTTCTCTACAACTGAAAACAAGTGTAAACTTATGAAATGTTCATAATGAATTGACTGCAAAACATTTACTTGCTTGAGTATCAAGCAGTTGTCCAATGTTCGTAGTGGTATGATAGATGTTTTAATCTCCTTCAGAGTAACACGATCTGAGGAAAAATCAATTTTGTAGATAGTTGTGCATCGATATAAATACGGAACATATCAAGCCTAGCGTAAGGGCACATTTAAAAAGTACTCAGTACCGTTTCTTGAACAAATTAAGTGAAACTTAAAAAAAAACCAATGCAAATTATATCACATTTCATTTATCGCCCAAAACTGTGTAGTGGCAAAAGAGATCTCCTACCTCGTTGCATAGCTTTCTTTGCTGGACTGTTTGGTGTTAATTAGCTTGAGCAACTTGAGCAAACGGGAGACACCAAGAATCTGTTCAGGAAATGTATTTCTGTCTCTGTTCTCACGAATTCAGCTCGAAGTACACGCTCTTAAATATCCTACGATAGGCATGTTCGGGCATACGGGACAACTGACCTTGGCGGAGTAAACATATTTTTAGAATGCTAACTAAAACAATCTCACAAGACATTCAAAATTAACAACAAATTACTAAAAAACAACCAATCTTTGAGAAATAAAACGTAAACAAAACTCCCCGTTGAAGACTTATAGCAAGGTCAATGGCAAACCTAAACACGACTAGCGATGACGATTATCGTGGGAGAATTAAGCCCTCCGTCAACGGTCAGGACAAATCACTCAAAAGGCAAAGATAAGTGTGTGGTCTTGCAGCACATGACAAACCAAGGCTCACAAGACTGGCATAAAGATTTCGAGATAAACTAATTAACAGGCATAACTGAACAATCCCCAAACACTCCTAATTTTAGTTGTTTCCAAACACTCCTCGTTTTAGCTGTTCCCAAACACTCCTTATTTGGTTGTTCCAAAACACTCCTAATTTTAGTTATCCATAACATCTTGTGACAGTATCTCAATGGGGAGGTAGTTCTGGCGGTTGACGATTGTTTCATTTTTGCGGTTTTGACGGTTAGGGGTTAAATTTTAAGGCTTTTGACGGTTCAATTTCAGGGTCTGAACGGTTGACGGTTATTAAGAAGGTATCCTATCAGTTTACATCAATTCTGAACTTTTTATTTTTTAATAGGAGTCAAATTTTTATTAAGACCTATACAATAATTCAAAATAAACAAGTTTGGTCCGAGTGCCATGTACTAAACTACTTACTCACTTTGCTTGAGGCGTACACAGGAATAATGGCCCTGGGTCATTGAAGAAGATCCCTCGACAAATAAATGGTGGCTACTTGCTAAGTAATATAGCTCAACGCGAGGGCTGATGTGAATGTAAATCTGATAATGAATGAATTTTGACAGCTGGTCTCAGAATCCCCGCTTATGAGAAAGGAAGTTGTTTTAAAATAGAGAAATTAAGCGTGTCGTTAACGGCAAATAATATTGCTAACAGTAACTATTGAACATTTAGCTGTCTGTTTAAGCTGTTTACACTTGGAAATGAAAAAAAAAAAAACTCACACCAGCCATTTTTTCCCAATTTTATTAAAAATATTTTGGGGGATTATAGAAAACATGGGTCAAATCAGAGCCCTTTTTTCCCATCCCCATTGCCTTAAACAACTGCATGTACTCATAAATCTTCCCCTGCTGACTTGAACCTCGCGTGTTAACTTGAACCAAAACCGATTTCCCCTGGATTTCCTTTAAACATTTACAGAAATTTTATCTCCGGTAACTCGAACCCTCGATAACTCGAGCCTCCCGCTAACTCGGAGTAACTTTCAGTAATTTTGCGTTCCGTTTTCATTCGACTTCTCTGTAATTGAATTGGATTAAAATGTATACTGTATAAGACGAAAAACAGTAAACACCGTTTTTCCCTCATTCCTGAGCCCTTGTTTTCAATTCCCGTTAACTCGAACTCCCGGTAACTCAGTGGAGCCTTCTTCAATTCTTCTTAAAGGTTCAAGTTATCGGGAGTCAATTGCATTTATTTTTCGTATTGGATTTCATTTCGATCAAACTTTTGCTCATTTCCTCTCTAACTGATTGGAAACTCTTTATTTACAGGTGGTAAGGGAATAAACACCGTAGAACCGGAAAACAAGCAGCAGAGTTCAAACAATGGTTTGAACCAATGAACTAAGTTTCACTTGCTATAATGTAAATTGTAAATAGGATTTAAGTAAGTTAGTTCTCAAAGCAGACATTTCAATTCATGATTATTTCTAAGTTTCGTGAAATAATTGGACCTAATAGGTCTGAGGGAAATCCGGTTTATCTCAGTGACGTAATTTTTCATTATGTACGTTCAGTTGAAAATAAACAGACCTCCCCCCCAAAAAAAAACAAAACAAAACAAAATCAAAAACAAAAGTGTAATAACTAGTTGCGATCGTAAAACAACTACCAACTGAAAAAATAGAAAAAACAGAAAAACCATGGAAATAGCTTCCATTTGTTAACTTATTTCATCGAGGTGCTGGTAAGAATAGCGATGATCCAAATGAAAAGAATAAGGAACTGACACAGCTTTGAACTGATCAGTTAGGGACGGAGGGAAAAATATACAGCTCCAAATCGATTGAATGCTATTAAAACTGGGCTCTGAATAGACACACTAAAGCAGATATCTCCCAAGAAGACAGTCAGCTTACACGACGCATCTCCAAGAGGACCGCTGATCAACCAGGAGCCGAGCGTTTGTGTTGTTTGTTGTAAAAAAGGAAAAACAGAAGATCGGATATGGCCATATTTACCAAGAAAAAGTCGATAGGCTTTCTCATGGATCTAGTTTTGTGGACAATTATAGCGATGAAAAAACTTCCAGACACTGAAAAAACAAGTAACAGGCCGCAAAAAAAGGTTTTACCAATCCTCTTTACATCTAGATCCAAGCAGTTCAGTGTTACCGGTGTTCCATTCACCGTCGCACTAACATTTGCCGACATTCTTGGAACTGTAGGATCAGTGTCGTCTTCAGCAAGCTGCTCTCTAACTCTAGAAGCCACCTATTCTTTTATAACGAAAAAATAGTACAAAATTTACACTTAATTTGTACTTTAACTGTTCAATGCAAAATTCGAACTTTTGTACTTCAACAACAATTTTTACAATTGTAACCAAAATTGGAGACAGAGAAAAATAGGTTCCCTAATTTAGATGCAAGGATATCTTACAGATGCTTATATCTATTTTGTTTGATTTTCAATCTGCGATAATCCTTCTACCTTATACACCCAAAAATAATAATTGGCACCAAAACATCAATTAAAACCCGACAGATGGCCAGCTGTTATTCAGAATAGATTAGGCATGTAATAGTTTTTGAATCAAATCGTTTCGCTCATTTTATGCTAAGTAGTTAGTTCTGCAATGTATTTGCTTTTTCGAAACAGCCTTTCATAAGTGTTTCATGTAATGCTCTCTGAATTATTCTCGTATTTCATCACAATTATATTTTTGTGGGACTTTTGTTTCATACAGCAAGGCATTCCGCGTTTTGGGATATTCCGCTATTTCACTTCTTAAGACGGGTTTTGGGATATTCCGCCATTCAACTATTCCGCCGTTCTACCGTCCACGGTTCCAGCGTTCTATCATTCCATTGAATAAGGTCACCCTGTAATTTAGCGGCTCTTTTGGGCATATGTCGCTCATTGAAACGGTAAAATGTTCTCTTTTCAAAGTTTCCATGATAAGCAGATCACACCTATTGATATAATTCTGCACTCACGAGAGTCAGACAGCTTTGCTACCCTCTACACGGTTTCCATTATGAGCCCAAGCAACTTCGACATGCGCAGTAAAATGTGCAGATGCTTTTTAGGCTCTCTCCCCGTTATGAGGCTCACAGGAGTCAGACAAGTTCTGAGCCTGCACTTTGCCTACAGTCATATATACTTTTAGTTACAGTCCTCATCATTAGGTCGCCCTCTTCTTCTCCAGGGTTTGTCCCTCCCAGAAGAACGTCAAAAGTTCGGTTTTTTCATGTGAAATTGACCTCCTAATGGACTCTGTAACATTTACTCTCAATGCAAAGAGATGTGACTAAAGGTTTTTAAAGTTAACTCAGTATTCGTTAGAATTCAGGAAGAGAGGCAATTTTTGATCCATTAGGGTTTTTTTCCCCCAAAACTCTAATTTTCCATAAAAGGGAATGACCGTGATGACAAATAATCTGAAGCTGAAGCAGAAACAGAACCAGTTCCCATTGCTTTATTGATAATATTTGTTTGTAATATTAGATGTCAAGTAGATTTTACTTTTTCTTTTTCCATCACATATTGATTGGAAACCTCTTTATTTTACACGAAGAGTGTAAAACTTTACTAACCGCAAACTGTGTACAATACGACCGAAATCCTTAAGTCAGAGTTCAAAAAACGGTTTGAACCGTTGAACAAAGTTTCTCTTGCTATAAGGTAAACTAACGTAAATGAATTAAATAAATATTATTTACAAGTTTTGGGAAACAACTGGATTTAACGTATCCTATAGAGATCGCAGTTCATCTCGGTAAATACGTTGTCCTTTTTATGTACAACTGAAAATAGATAAACGAGGAAAAAAGGAAAAATCGTAATACTCTCTTCTATTTATTAACTGAATTTCACTGAGTGCTACTTCAAACATTTTGGATACAATAAAGCGATGTTTGTAAGAGCTTGACTGTTATTTTCGATATGATATGCTAAATGCAAGAGTTTACAAAAAGGTTTGACCTTACAAGTTAGAAAACAAAAACAGCGATTAAAAATGTGGGAAACCAACTGTTGGCATGGGAAACAAATTTGATTCCTCGAATAATACTGAACAGTGTGCAAAAAATTGGGGCGACAACTATGTCAGGGCAACTTGACTAGTAGAGAAACAGCCGAGGAGGTTCTTAAGACCTTGACGATAATTACCGCTGAATATGAAACAGACACAAGGGTTTACAGCGCAGTATGATCCAGCCAGAAAACTGACAATATGTGTAGAGTATTGGAAGGCACAAGATGACATCATGGCGCTGTCTGATAAAAACAAGGATAAGAGGAAAACGATACTGGATGACAGCCAGCATACTGCAAAAGCGAACACGATGGCAACGGACATCTTCACAACACTTCTTTCTCTCTTCAAGCGCTGTTTTCTTGCGTTTACTGAAGGCTCACCTGGAATCTTCTGCGATTTAATTCTTACGGCAATGGAAAAGTAAAGTATGGCAATCAAAACCAAAGGGACATAGCTGAATACAATGATCAGTACCAGAGTGTAGTTTTTAAACCATGAGGACTCTCTCAATGTGTTGTTCAACCACCGCTGACAAACCAGCCCTTCTGTATTCTCGACAAATTTCCACACAAGCAATTGTGGGCAACAGACTGCCATGGCGACGACCCAAATTACGAGAATGAAGAGCCTGCATCGCTTTGAACTGATCAGTGAGGGACGGAGAGGAAATACCACAGCTACAAATCGATCCACTGCTATCAGAACTAGGCTCTGAATGGACACAGCAATGGAGACATCATTAACGAAAACCTTTAGTCCACACAACGCTTGGCCAAATGGACCGCTGAGCAGCCAGTGGCTGGCTGTGTTTAACGTTACAAAAAGTGCAGGAAAACGGATAATCGAGTACAACAGATCGGATATTGCCATGTTTACAATCAAAATGTTGATTGGTGTTCTCAGAGCTTTTTCCTTGTAGACAATAATTCCAATGAGGATATTTCCAGCCAGCGACACAACTAATAGCAGACAGTAGGCAAAGGTTTCACCAATTCTTGTCGCTGTGGGGTTGAAGCAGCTCGACATGGACTGTGTTCCATTCATCGTTGCTGTCACGTTTGCTGACATATTGCGGTGCCAGGAGATCAGTTTTGTTTTCAGCCAGCAGCTCTACGAAGGCCACTTATATTCTACCAAAGCCGGAAAAAACATAGCTTATGTGTCGTATCTATCTATATAAACAAAAGATAATTTAGTGTTATCATCGCTCTGACGAAGGGCTAACGCTCGAAACGTCAGCTTTTTTACCCTTTACGGTGGCTAATTTACGTTTTCACCATCGCTCTGACGAAGGGCTAACGCTCGAAACGTCAGCTTTTTTACCCTTTACGGTGGCTAATTTACGTTTTCAACCCAGTTGTTAACACTAAATTACCTGCTATACTCTCCCACCGACGCAGCACCACAGTTTCTTTAGAAACTTACCCCGTTATATAAATAAAACATGCTTAATTATTAAACATGGCTAGAAATTTGAGAAAATCGGCAGTCTAAACCCGAAACTTCCTCCAACAGATAACCAGAGTCGGAGTTTAATAGCTTTCGTTCGGAGTTATATTATCGGGATACTTTTCCAATTTAGAGTATGATTGGAGAAAAAACGACAATTTTCGAAAGTTCTAAGTTGCTCCTATTATTGAAATTATCATTGTTTCTATTGACGAAATGACGAGAAAAAGGCTCCAGAAATATCCCAGCAACAGATGTTTACTGATGATGATCACGTATTAAAACAAGCCAGTCAATCAAATGACAATATTCTACACCGACATTTTTATTAAGGACTCATTTTTAATCACGTTGTCATCCAGCCTGGAACTTACTCAGTAGGCTCGTTACTCAGTTGATTGGTTGGAGGTTTTCAAATACATTTTACGGCTTTTCACGAAGTTATAAAGAAAGGGAAGGGCTCAGGACAATTTTTATGTTAAGTGGGGAGTTTTCTTTTTCCACGAAGAGAATTTGTACGTCGCTGAACAGAATTTTACAGCTGCTGAAGCTGGTGGAAAAAAATTGGCAAATAAAGCATCCAGCACTATGCTCGAGGAGATAAAACAGCCGAGCAGATCATGTAAAGGATTAATATTGAAGAGTTCCTCTTCCAGCTTTCCATGTGAACGACAAGTTATTCTATGAAAAAAAGAAAAGATGAAGTAAATAGATAAATGCTTATATTGCCGATTTTCGCACTTAATGAATAACGGTTCGCAGCTCAAAGAAAATAAGTGGGCGTTAAAGCTAACAACAATATTGTTTAATGTTCTGTGCTCCGTCGATATGTCAATTAGGCATTCCTTATCTCATCAATACCATCTAAGAAATGGGTCGGAAAGTTTCAGAAAATTTGCGTGATCGTCGCCGAACAGAATTATTCAGCTGCTGAAGTCGGTGGGAGACTTCAGATAAAGCCTCCGCTATGTCTAAGGGAGGACAGTTAGTTCACTTGCACGTGATCATACCGTATAAATGATATACACCGCGTTTTTATCATCAAGCTTCTCATTCAGTGAATAAGTTATCAAATTCGAGATCGTTTTTGCGCAGAAGAAAAAGAATAAGTAAAACAAAGGCAGATCCAGGACATTTTGACAGGGAGATCGAAAATAACTTTAGACCTTCAGATTCCGCGCTTCCATGCTCTAGGAATCATCGGACTGATTCGGGGATCCGATGTTTTCTTTGTCCCACGCTCGTGAGGTTCGATTCCTCATGGGGAAAACTAATTCAATAATGTATTGAAAGGCAATCAACACCATAGGCATATAGTAAAGTGCTTTTATATTTGCCACGACGTAGTCTAAGAATTCAGAAGTATCTCTAAAGACATTTCCCCAGTGAGGCTCACACTCTATCACTGCTGTGGGATACTGAACAAGTTCATTGGCGATAAAGAAAGGGGACTAGATGGCCATGGCGATAATCCAAGTACCCAGGATGAACAAGGAACACCGCTTTGAGTTGACGAACGGAGAATGGAAGGGATATACCACAGCACCAAATCAATCTACTGCTATTAGAACCAGGCTCTATAGCAGCGGAGACTTCCGAGAGAAAGACACCAACTTACACAGGACGGAAGCTCCAATTTGTTTTGTTTTGTTTTTGCTCTCTTTGGTCGAGGGAAAGAAACCACTGTTTTTCTCGTGTAAATATTACCCACGCAAAATAAAATTGTCTCTACATTGCAGCTGGTTTGCAAGGGGCATGGATCTTTGAATATCCGTATCATATGACTTTGTACTGCGTGTCGTTTTTATTCCATTTTATCATTCATAACGACCAGTCTTTTCACAGGCTAAGAAAATCTACGATGGAAAATTTTGGAGAATTTGTCATCTTACATGCACTAGTTTAATTTGCGTCTGTCTAAAAAAACCACAAAGGTAAGGGAAACGAAATTTTGTCCGAAATAGGCTAGTAGCTGTCAGCTGTTAAAACTGATATTCCATAATCATGGCGCTATTTGCATTAAACGGCGTCTTGAATATTCTCCCAATTGGTACAAGTCGTTACCGGCGATAATTTGAAGTAATTTTGCTCGTCAATTTACTTTGCGGAGTTATCTGTGATGAATTTATTTCAAGACGATTGTTAAACGTCAAAATTCTTGACGCTTCGGAACGTAGAGATCAATAAATGTCAAGTGAATCCAGTTTTATTACCGTCGTTGTTAACAATTGGAATTTGGAAAAACTTAGAAGAACATTACAGGGATCAGTAGAAAAAATTTTCATCTAGAAATATTTATCAGAGTAAGCCTACTGAAAAAGACCTTGGTTGAAATGTGATGTTTTGAGGCAACACGATCTCCTCCCTGAATGAAGAATTGTCATAACTTCTCAAATGTACCAAAATGAAGTAATTATCATTCAACATTGAGATGACCGTGAGGCCAGCCGTAGACTGGAGCTGCTAACTTAGCGCGAGTCACAAAATGCAAAATGGCGGCGAAGAAGGCGTCAGATGAGACATAGCCACGTTTACAATTAAAAAGTTAATGGGTTTTCTCAGGGATTTCGTCTTGTAGACAACTATTGCGATAAAACTATTTCCAACCAACGAAACAACAAGCTGCAAACAGAATACCACGGTGATTCCAACCCCTCCGGCTTCTTGACTAAAGCACCTCGTTTCATTCATAGTTGCAGTAACTATTGGCAACCTTCTCAGAACTGTGAGATAGGTTTTCTCTTCAGCCAGTAGGTATCTGGAGGCTACCAATACTCTATTTAAAGAAAGCACATGTAATTATACTCATCTATCATACGTATATACGCATCTCTAACTGCTGATCTTCTTATAACCATATTTATGTCATTTTTTATTAATTTATCAAACAGATTCCTTGTTTCCACGCGTTTGTTTAGAAATAAATAAAAAAATAACGTCAACATGTGGCATTAAACTAAATGGAGAGTTAGAAAAGTTCCCTTTTTTTTTCACCTTATTTTCCATTTTTTCAGGTTTCACACTGAACCGACAAATATGGTATTTAAACTGACACGAGTTTTGATTACTGAGGTTAAATCGGCTTAATTAATCTATTCTTCTTTCGATTTTATCATATTTTTATTCTTTTTGTAATACGTCTTGATCGAAAGACTCTTATTATCGAGTAATGTTTTCAAAGTATTTACTCTGATCCTGCTTTATTTTATATTTTTCTGCTGAAAACGTTCCGGCCTAAAGCCGTTAATGTAATTGGATTTGTGCCTCTATGCCTTGTCCGCAATTTTGGTCTGTATGTAAATTGTAGCCTACAACTTCTCTACAACTGAAAACAAGTGTAAACTTATGAAATGTTCATAATGAATGGACTGCAAAACATTTACTTGCTTGAGTATCAAGCAGTTGTCCAATGTTCGTAGTGGTATGAAAGATGTTTTAATCTCCTTCAGAGTAACACGATCTGAGGTAAAATCAATTTTGTAGATAATTGTGCATCGATATAAATACGGAACATATCAAGCCTAGTGTAAGGGCGCATTTAAAAAGTGCTCAGTGCCGTTTCTTGAACAAGTTAAATGAAACTTAAAAAAAAAACCAATGTAAAATATATCACATTTCATTTATCGCCCAAAACTGTGTAGTAGCAAAAGAGATCTCCTACCTCGTTGTATAGCTTTCTTTGCCGGACTGTTTGGTGTTAATTAGATTAAGCAACTTGAGCAAACGGGAGACACCAAGAATCTGTTCAGGAAATGTATTTCTGTCTCTGTTTTCACGAATTCAGCTCGAAGTACACGCTCTTAAATATCCTACGGTAGGCATATTTGGGCATACGGGACAACTGACCTTGGCGGAGTAAACATATTTTTAGAAAGCTAACTGAAACAATCTCACAAGACATTCAAAATTAACAACAAATTACTAAAAAAAAAAACCAATCTTTGAGAACTAAAACGTAAACAAAACTCCCCGTCGAAGACTTATAGCAAGGTCAAGGGCAAACCCAAACACGACTAGCGATGACGATTATCGTGGGAGAATTAAGCCCTCCTACAACGGTCAGGACAAATCACTCAAAAGGTAAAGATAAGTGTGTGGTCTTGCAGCACATGACAAACCAAGGCTCACAAGACTGGCATAAAGATTTCGAGATAACCTAATTAACAGGCATAACTGAACAATCCCCAACCACTCCTAATTTTAGTTGTTTCCAAACACTCCTCGTTTTAGCTGTTCCCAAACACTCCTGATTTTGGTTGTTCCAAAACACTCCTAATTTTAGTTACTCATAACATCTTGTGACAATATCTCAGTGGGGAGGTAGTTCTTGCGGTTGACGATTGTTTTATTTTTGCGGTTTTGACGGTTAGGGGTTAAATTTTAAGGCTTTTGACGGTTCAATTTTAGGGTCTGAACGGTTGACGGTTATTAAGAAGGTATCCTATCAGTTTACATCAATTCTGAACTTTTTATTTTTTAATGGGAGTGAAATTTTATTAAGACCTATTCAATAATTCAAAATGAACAAGTTTGGTCCGAGTGCCATGTACTAAACTACTTACTCACTTTGCTCTAGGCGTACACAGGAATAATGGCCCTGGGCCATTGAAGAAGATCCCTTGACAAATAAATGCTGGCTACTTGCTAAGTAATATAGCCCAACGCGAGGGCTGATGTGGATGTAAATCTGACATTGAATGAATTTTGACAGCTGGTCTTAGAATCCTCACTTATGAGAAAAAAAGTTGTTTTAAAATAGAGAAATTAAGCGTGTCTTTAACGGCAAATAATATTGCTAACAGTAACTATTGAACGTTTAGCTGTCTGTTTAAGCTGTTTACACTTGGAAATGAAAAGGAAAAAAAAAGAAAAAACTCACACCAGCCATTTTTTCCCAATTTTATTAAAAATATTTTGGGGGATTATAGAAAACATGGGTCAAATGAGAACCCTTTTATTCCCATCCCCGTTGCCTTAAACGACCGCATGTACTCATAAATCTTCCCCTGCTGACTTGAACCTCGTGTGTTAACTTGAACCAAAACCGATTTCCCCTGGATTTCCATCAAACATTTACAGAAATTTTATCCCCGGTAGCTCGAACCCTCGATAACTCGAGCCTCCCGCTAACTCGAAGTAATTTTCAGTAATTTTGTGCTCCGTTTTCATTCGACTTCTCTGTAATTGAATTGGGTTAAAATGTATACTGTATAAGACGAAAAACAGTAAACACCGTTTTTCCCTCATTTCCGGGCCCTTGTTTTCAATTTCCGTTAACTCGAACTCCCGGTAACTCAGTGGAAATTTCTTCAATTCTCCTTAAAGGTTCAAGTTATCGGGAGTCGATTGCATTTATTTTTCGTATTGGATTTCATTTCGATCTAACTTTTGCTCATTTCCTCTCTAACTGATCGGAAACTCTTTATTTGCAGGTGGTAAGGGAATAAACACTGTAGAACCGGAAAACAAGCAGCAGAGTTCAAACGACGGTTTGAACCAATGAACTAAGTTTGACTTGCCATGATGTAAATTGTAAATAGGATTTAAGTAAGTTAGTTCTCAAAGCCGACCTTTCGATTCACGATTATTTCCAAGTTTCGTGAAATAATTGGACCTAATCGGTCTAAGGGAAATCCGGTTTATCTCAGTGACGTAATTTTTCATTCTGCACGGTTCAGTTGAAAATAAACAGACCCCCCCCCAAAAAAAAAATAAAAAAAATAAAAAAACAAAAGTGTAATAACTAGTTGCGATCTTAAAACAACTACCAACTGAAAAAACAGAAAAACTATGGAAATAGCTTCCATTTGTTAACTTATTTCATCGAGGTGCTGGTAAGAATAGCGATGATCCAAGTGAAAAGAATGAGGAACTGACACAGCTTTGAACTGATCAGTTGGGGACGGAGGGAAAAATATACAGCTCCAAATCGATGGAATGCTATTAAAACTAGGCTCTGAATAGACACACTAAAGCAGATATCTCCCAAGGAGACAGTCAGCTTTTACAACGCATTTCTAAGAGGACCGCTGATCAACCGGGAGCCGAGCGTTTGTGTTGTCTGTAAAAAAGGAAAAACAGAAACAGAAGATCGGATATGGCCATATTTACCAAGAAAAAGTTGATAGCCTTTCTCATAGATCTAGTTTTGTGGACAATCGTTGCGATGAAAAAACTTCCAGACACTGAGAAAACAAGTAACAGGCCGCAAAAAAAGGTTTCACCAATCCTCTTTACTACTGGATTCAAGCAGTTCAGTGTTACTGGTGTTCCATTCACCGTCGCACTAACGTTTGCCGACATTCTTGGAACTGTAGGATCAGCGTCGTCTTCAGCAAGATGCTCTCTAACTCTAGAAGCCACCTATTCTTTTATAACGAAAAAATAGTACAAAATTTACACTTAATTTGTACTTTAACTGTTCGATGCAAAATTCGAACTTTTGTACTTCAACAACAATTTTTTACAATTGTAACCAAAATTGGAGACAGAGAAAAATAGGTTCCCTAATTTTTAGATGCAAGGATATCTTACAGATGCTTATATTTATTTTGTTTGATTTTCAATCTGCAATAATCCTCATACCTTATACACCCAAAAATAACAATTCGCACCAAAACATTAATTAAAACCCGACAGATAGCCAGCTGTTATTCAGAACAGGTTAGGCATGTAATAGTTTTTTAATCAAATCGTTTCGCTCATTTCATGCTAAGTAGCTAGTTCTGCGATGTATTTGCTTTTTCGAAACAGCCTTTCATAAGTGTTTCATGTAATGCTCTCTGAATTATTTTCGTATTTCATCACAATTCTATTTTGTGAGACTTTTGTTTCATACAGCAAGGCATTCCGCGTTTTGGGATGTTCCGCTATTTCACTTCTTAAGACGGGTTTTGGGATATTCCGCCATTCAACTATTCCGCCGTTCTACCGTTCACGATTCCAGCGTTCTATCATTTCATTGAATAGGGTCACCCTGTAATTTAGCGGCTCTTTTGGGCATATGTCGCTCATTGAAACGGTAAAATGTTCTCTTTTCAAAGTTTCCATGATATGCAGATCACACCTATTGATATATTCCTGCACGGAAAATATGAGACTCACGAGAGTCAGATAGCTTTGCTACCCTCTTCACGGTTTCCATTATGAGCCCAAGCAAGTTCGACATGCGCAGTAAAATGTGCAGATGCTTTTTAGGCTCTCTCCCCATTATGAGGCTCACAGGAGTCAGACAAGTTCTGAGCCTGCACTTTGCTTACTCTCATACGTACTTTTAGTTATAGTCCTCATCATTAGGTCGCCCTCTTCTTCTCCAGGGTTTGTCCCTCCCCAGAAGAACGTCAAAAGTTCGGTTTTTTCATGTGAAATTTTTTAAATTCGGTTGACCTCCTAACGGACTCTGTAACATTTACTCTCAAGGCAAAGAGATATGACTAAAGGTTTTTAAAGTTAACTCAGTATTCGTTAGAATTCAGGAAGAGAGGCAATTTTTGATCCATTAGGGTTTTTTTCCCCAAAACTCTAATTTTCCATAAAAAGGAATGACCGTGATGACAAATAATCTGAAGCTGAAGCAGAAACAAAACTAGTTCCCATTGTTTTCTTGATAATATTTATTTGTAATATTAGATGTCAAGTAGATTTTACTTTTTCTTTTTCCATCACATATTGATTGGAAACCTCTCTATTTTACACGAAGAGTGTAAAACTTTAATAACCGCAAACTGTACACAATACGACCGAAATCCTTAAGTCAGAGTTCAAAAAACGGTTTGAACCGTTGAACAAAGTTTCTCTTGCTATAAGGTAAACTAACGTAAATGTATTAAATAAATATTATTTACAAGTTTTGGGAAACAACTGGATTTAACGTATCCTATAGAGATCGCAGTAAATCATCTCGGTAAATACGTTGTCCTTTTTCATGTACAGCTGAAAATAGATAAACGAGGAAAAAAGGAAAAATCGTAATACTCTCTTCTATTTATTAACTGAATTTCACTGAGTGCTACTTCAAACATTCTAGATGAAATAAAGCTAGGCTCCTCTAGAATCAGATAGATATAGGATGTCCGTAAGAGCTTGGCTGTTATATTCGATATGATATGCTAGATGCAAGAGTTTACAAAAAAGTTTGACCTTACAAGTTAGAAAAACAAAAACAGATTGAAAATATGGGAAACCAATTGTTGGTATGGGAAACAAATTTTATTCCTCGAATAATGCTGAACAGTATGCAAAAGATTGGGGCGACAACTATGTCAGGGCAACTTGATTAGTAGAGAAACAGCCGAGGAGGTTCTTAAGACCTTGACGATAATTACCGCTGAATATGAAACAGATACAAGGGTTTACAGCGCAGTATGATCGAACCAGAAAAATGGCAATATGCGCAGAGTATTGGAAGGCACAAGATGACATCATGGCGCTGTCTGATGAAAACAAGAGTAAGAAGACGACGATACTGCATGGCAGCCAGCATACTGCAAAAACGAACACGATGGCAACGGACATCTTCAGAACACTTCTTTCTCTCTTCAAGCGCTGTTTTCTTGCGTTTACTGAAGGCTCACCTGGAATCTTCTGCGATTTAATTCTTACGGCAATGGAAAAGTAAAGTATGGCAATCAAAACCAAAGGGACATAGATGAATACAATGATCGCTACCAGGGTGTAGTTTTTAATCCATGAGGACTCTCTAAATTTGTCGTTGAACCCCCGCTGACAAACCAGCCCTTCTGCATACTCGACAACTTTCCACGTAAACAATTGTGGGCAAGAGACTGCCATGGCGACGACCCAAATGACGGGAATGAAGAGCCTGCATTGCTTTGAACTGATCAGTGAGGAACGGAAAGGAAATACCACAGCTACAAATCGATCCACTGCTATCAGAACCAGGCTCTGAATGGACACAGCACTAGAGACGTCAGTAGCGAAGCAACTCAGTTTATAAAACGCTTGGCCAAGTGGACTGCTGAGCAGCCAGTGGCTGGCTGTGTTTAACCTTACAAAAAGTACAGGAAAACGGGTAATCGGGTACAACAGATCGGAGATTGCCATGTTTACAATCAAAATGTTGATTGGTGTTCTCAGAGCTTTTTCCTTGTAGACAATCATTCCAATGAGGATATTTCCAGCCAGCGACACAACAAGTAGCAGACAGTAGGCAAAGGTTTCACCAATTCTTATCGCTGTGGGGTTGAAGCAGCTCGACATGGACTGTGTTCCATTCATGGTTGCTGTCACGTTTGCTGACATATTGCGGTGCCAGGAGATTAGTTTTGTTTTGAGCCAGCAGCTCTGCGAAGGCCACATATATTTTACCAAAGCCGGAAAAAACATAGGTTATGAATCATCTATCTATATAAATAAAACATGCTTAATTATTGAACATGCCTAAAAATTTGAGAAAATTGGCAGTCTACACCCGAAACTTCCTCCAACTGAGATAACCAGAGTCGGAGTTTAATAGCTTTCGTTCGGAGTTATATTATCGAGATACTTTTCCAATTCAGAGTATGGTTGGAGAAAAAAGGACAATTTTCGAAAGTTCTAGGTTGTTTCTATTATTGAAATTATTATTATAACTATTGACGTAATGACGAGAAAAAGACTCCAGAAATATCCAGCAACAGATGTTTACTGATAATGATCACGTATTAAAACAAGCCAAATAATCTAATGACAATTTTCTACTCAGACATTTTTATTAAGGATTCATTTTTAATCACGTTGTCATCGAAAGTTTAATCCAACCTGTAACTTACTCAATAGGATTGTTTCTCAGTAGACTGGTTGGAGGTTTTTCAGGTACATTTTTCGGGTTTTCACGAAGTTGTAATAAAAGGGAAGGGCTCAGGACAATTTTTATGTTAGGTGGGGGGGTTTTCTTTTTCCACGAAGAGAATTTGTACGTCGCTGAACAGAATTTTACAGCTGCTGAAGCTGGCGGAAAAAAATAGGAAAATAAAGCATCCAGCACTATGCTCGAGGAGATAAAACAGCCGAGCAGATCATGTAAAGGATTAATACTGAAGAGTTCCTCTTACAGCTTTCCATGTGAACGACAAGTTATTCTATGAAAAAAAAAAAGATGAAGTAAATAGATAAATGCTTATATTGCCTATTTTCGCACTTAATGAATAACGATTCGCAGCTCAAAGAGAATAAGTAGACATGAAAGCTAACAACAATATTGTTTAATGTTCTGTGCTCCGTCGATATGTCAATTAGGCATTCCTTCTCTCATCAATACCATCTAAGAAATGGGTCGGAAATTTCAGAAAACTTAGGTGATCGTCGCCGAACAGAATTACTCAGCCGCTGAAGTCGGTGGGAGAAAGCCAGATAAAGCCTCCGCTATGTCTGAGCGGGAAGGACAGCTGGTTCACTTGCACGTGATCATATGATATTCACAGCGCCTTTATCAACAAGCTTTTCATTCAGTGAACAAGTTATCAAATTCGAGATCGTTTTTGCGCAGAAGAAAAGGAATAAATAAAACAAAGGCAGATCCAGGACATTTTGACAGGGGGATCGAAAATAACTTCAGACCTTCAGACTACGTGCTCCCATGCACTAGAGCATGGGACTGCGGAATCCGATGGTGTGAGGTTCGATTCCTCATGGGGACTCCGAATGTTTTCTTTGTCCCACGCTCGTGACAAGACGAAAAACATCTTTCTCTATTTCCTTACCGAGCTCAAAACTTACTGTCTCTCATATTCTATTTACAAATAATCATAATGTATAGAAAGGCAATCAACACCATAGGCATATAGTAAAGTACTTTTATATTTGCCACGACGTAGTCTAAGAATTCAGAAGTATCTCTGAAGACATTTCCCCAGTGAGGCTCACACTCTATCACTGCTGTGGGATACTGAACAAATTCATTGGCGATAAAGAAAGGGGACTGGATGGCCATGGCGATAATCCAAGTACCCAGGATGAACAAGGAACACCGCTTTGAGTTGACGAACGGAGAATGCAAGGGATACACCACAGCATGATATCGGCCAGGCTCTGAATTGGCATAGCAGCGGAGACTTCCGAGAGAAAGACACCAACTTACACAAGACGGAAGCTCCAATTCGTTTTGTTTTGTTTTTGTTCTCTTTGGTCGAGGGAAAGAAACCACTGTTTTTCTCGTGTAAATATTACCCACGCAAAATAAAATTGTCTCTACATTGCAGCCGGTTTGCAAGGGGCATGGATCTTTGAATATCCGCATCATATGACTTTGTACTGCGTGTCGTTTTTATTCCATTTTATCATTCATAACGACCAGTCTTTTCACAGGCTAAGAAAATCTACGATGGAAAATTTTGGAGAACTTGTTATCTTACATGCACTAGTTTAATTTGCGTCTGTCTAAAAAAACCACAAAGTTAAGGGAAACGAAATTTTTTCCGAAATAGGCTAGTAGCTGTCAGCTGTTAAAACTGATATTCCATAATCATGGCGCTATTTGCATTAAACGGCGTCTTGAATATTCTCCCAATTGGTACAAGCCGTAACCGGCGATAATTTGAAGTCGTTTTGCTCGTCAATTTACTTTGCGGAGTTATATGTGATGAACTTATTTCGAGACGATTGTTAAACGTCAAAATTCTTGACGCTTCGGAACGTAGAGATCAATAAATGTCAAGTGAATCCAGTTTTATTACCGTCGTTGTTAACAATTGGAATTTGGAAAAACTTAGAAGAACATTACAGGGATAAGGAGAAAACAATTTTCATCTAGAAACATTTATCAGAGTAAACGTACTGAAAAAGATCTTGGTTGAAATGTGATGTTTTGAGACAACACGATCTCCTCCCTGAATGAAGAATTATCATAACTTTTCAAATGTGCCAAAATGAAGTTATTATCATTCAACATTGAGATGACCATGAGGCCAGCGGTAGACTGGAGCTACTAAGGTAGCACGAGGCAAAAAATGCAAAATGGCGGCGAAGCCACGTTTACGATTAAAAAGTTAATGGGTTTTCTCAGGGATTTCGTCTTGTAGACAACTATTGCAATAAAACTATTTCCAACCAACGAAACAACAAGCTGCAAACAGAATACTACCGTGATTCCAACCCTTCCAGCTTCTTGACTAAAGCACCTCGTTTCATTCATAGTTGCAGTAACTATTGCCGACCTTCTCAGAACTGTGAGATAGGTTTTCTCTTCAGCCAGTAGGTATCTGGAGGCTACCAATACTCTATTTAAAGAAAGCACATGTAATTATACTCATCTATCATACGTATATACGCATCTCTAACTGCTGATCTTCTTATAACCATATTTATGTCATTTTTTATTAATTTATCAAACAGATTCCTTGTTTCCACGCGTTTGTTTAGAAATAAATAAAAAATAACGTCAACATGTGGCATTAAACTAAATGGAGAGTTAGAAAAGTTCTCTTTTTTTCAACTTATTCTCCATTTTTTCAGGTTTCACACTGAACCGACAAATATGGTATTTAAACTGACACGAGTTTTGATTACTGAGGTTAAATGCTTAATTAATCTATTCTTCTTTCGATTTTATCATATTTTTATTCTTTTTGTAATACGTCTTGATCGAAAGACTCTCATTATCGAGTAATGTTTTCAAAGTATTTACTCTGATCCTGCTTTATTTTATTCTTTTCTGTTGAAAACGTTCCGGCCTAAAGCCGTTAATGTAATTGAATTTGCGCCTCTATGCCTTGTCCGCAATTTTGGTCTGTATGCAAATTGTAGCCTACAACTTCTCTACAACTGAAAACAAGTGTAAACTTATGAAATGTTCATAATGAATTGACTGCAAAACATTTACTTGCTTGAGTATCAAGCAGTTGTCCAATGTTCATAGTGGTATGAAAGATGTTTTAATCTCCTTCAGAGTAACACGATCTGAGGTAAAATCAATTTTGTAGATAATTGTGCATCGATATAAATACGGAACATATCAAGCCTAGTGTAAGGGCACATTTAAAAAGTGCTCAGTGCCGTTTCTTGAACAAGTTAAGTGAAACTTAAAAAAAAAACCAATGTAAAATATATCACATTTCATTTATCGCCCAAAACTGTGTAGTGGCAAAAGAGATCTCCTACCTCGTTGCATAGCTTTCTTGCTGGACTGTTTGGTGTTAACTAGCTTGAGCAACTTGAGCAAACGGGAGACAACAAGAATCTGTTCAGGAAATGTATTTCTGTCTCTGTTCTCACGAATTCAGCTCGAAGTACACGCTCTTAAATATCCTACGATAGGCATGTTCGGGCGAACGGGACAACTGACCTTGGCGGAGTAAACATATTTTTAGAATGCTAACTAAAACAATCTGACAAGACATTCAAAATTAACAACAAATTACTCAAAAACAACCAATCTTTGAGAACTAAAACGTAAACAAAACTCCCCGTTGAAGACTTATAGCAAGGTCAAGGGCAAACCAAAACACGACTAGCGATGACGATTATCGTAGGAGAATTAAGCCCTCCTACAACGGTCAGGACAAATCACTCAAAAGGCAAAGATAAGTGTGTGGTCTTGCAGCACATGACAAACCAAGGCTCACAAGACTAGCATAAATATTTCGAGATAAACTAATTAACAGGCATAACTGAACAATCCCCAACCACTCCTAATTTTAGTTGTTTCCAAACACTCCTCGTTTTAGCTGTTCCCAAACACTCCCAATTTGGTTGTTCCAAAACACTCCTAATTTTAGTTATCCATAACATCTTGTGACAGTATCTCAATGGGGAGGTAGTTCTGGCGGTTGACGATTGTTTCATTTTTGCGGTTTTTGACGGTTAGGGGTTAAATTTTAAGGCTTTTGACGGTTCAATTTTAGGGTCTGAACGGTCGACGGTTATTAAGAAGGTATCCTATCAGTTTATATCAATTCTGAACTTTTTATTTTTTAATTGGAGTCAAATTTTTATTAAGACCTATACAATAATTCAAAATAAACAAGTTTGGTCCGAGTGCCATGTACTAAACTACTTACTCAATTTGCTTGAGGCGTACACAGGAATAATGGCCCTGGGTCATTGAAGAAGATCCCTCGACAAATAAATGGTGGCTACTTGCTAAGTAATATAGCTCAACGCGAGGGCTGATGTGAATGTAAATCTGATAATGAATGAATTTTGACAGCTGGTCTCAGAATCCTCACTTATGAGAAAGGAAGTTGTTTTAAAATAGAGAAATTAAGCGTGTCGTTAACGGCAAATAATATTGCTAACAGTAACTATTGAACGTTTAGCTGTCTGTTTAAGCTGTTTACACTTGGAAATGAAAAAAAAAAAACTCACACCAGCCATTTTTTCCCAATTTTATTAAAAATATTTTGGGGGATTATAGAAAACATGGGTCAAATGAGAACCCTTTTTTTCCCTTCCCCGTTGCCTTAAACGACCGCATGTACTCATAAATCTTTCCCTGCTGACTTGAACCAAAACCGATTTCCCCTGGATTTCCATCAAACATTTACAGAAATTTTATCCCCGGTAGCTCGAACCCTCGATAACTCGAGCCTCCCGCTAACTCGAAGTAACTTTCAGTAATTTTGTGTTCCGTTTTCATTCGACTTCTCTGTAATTGAATTGTATTAAAATGTATACTGTATAAGACGAAAAACAGTAAACACCGTTTTTCCCTCATTTCCGGGCCCTTGTTTTCAATTTCCGTTAACTCGAACTCCCGGTAACTCAGTGGAGCCTTCTTCAATCCTCCTTAAAGGTTCAAGTTATCGGGAGTCAATTGCATTTATTTTTCGTATTGGATTTCATTTCGATCAAACTTTTGCTCATTTCCTCTCTAACTGATCGGAAACTCTTTATCTACAGGTGGTAAGGGAATAAACACTGTAGAACCGGAAAACAAGCAGCAGAGTTCAAACAACGGTTTGAACCAATGAACTAAGTTTCACTTGCTATAATGTAAATTGTAAATAGGATTTAAGTAAGTTAGTTCTCAAAGCAGACATTTCGATTCATGATTATTTCTAAGTTTCGTGAAATAATTGGACCTAATAGGTCTGAGGGAAATCCGGTTTATCTCAGTGACGTAATTTTTCATTATGCACGTTCAGTTGAAAATAAACAGACCCCCCCCCCAAAAAAAAAAAAACAAAACAAAAAAATCAAAAACAAAAGTGTAATAACTAGTTGCGATCGTAAAACAACTACCAACTGAAAAAATAGAAAAAACAGAAAAACCATGGAAATAGCTTCCATTTGTTAACTTATTTCATCGAGGTGATGGTAAGAATAGCGATGATCCAAGTGAAAAGAATAAGGAACTGACACAGCTTTGAACTGATCAGTTGGGGACGGAGGGAAAAATATACAGCTCAAAATCGATTGAATGCTATTAAGACTAGGCTCTGAATAGACACGCTAAAGCAGATATCTCCCAAGAAAACAGTCAGCTTACACGACGCATCTCCAAGAGGACCGCTGATCAACCAGGAGCCGAGCGTTTGTGTTGTTTGTTGTAAAAAAGGAAAAACAGAAGATCGGATATGGCCATATTTACCAAGAAAAAGTTGATAGGCTTTCTCATGGATCTAGTTTTGTGGACAATTATTGCGATGAAAAAACTTCCAGACACTGAGAAAACAAGTAACAGGCCGCAAAAAAAGGTTTTACCAATCCTCTTTACATCTAGATCCAAGCAGTTCAGTGTTACCTGTGTTCCATTCACCGTCGCACTAACATTTGCCGACATTCTTGGAACTGTAGGATCAGTGTCGTCTTCAGCAAGCTGCTCTCTAACTCTAGAAGCCACCTATTCTTTTATAACGAAAAAATAGTAAAAAATTTACACTTAATTTGTACTTTAACTGTTCGATGCAAAATTCGAACTTTTGTACTTCAACAACAATTTTTACAATTGTAACCAAAATTGGAGACAGAGAAAAATAGGTTCCCCAATTTAGATGCAAGGATATCTTACAGATGCTTATATCTATTTTGTTTGATTTTCAATCTGCGCTAATCCTCCTACCTTATACACCCAAAAGTAATAATTCGCACCAAAACATCAATTAAAACCCGACAGATGGCCAGCTGTTATTCAGAATAGGTTAGGCATGTAATAGTTTTTTAATCAAATCGTTTCGCTCATTTTATGCTTAGTAGCTAGTTCTGCAATGTATTTGCTTTTTCGAAATAGCCTTTCATAAGTGTTTCATGTAATGCTCTCTGAATTATTTTAGTATTTCATCACAATTATATTTTTGTGAGACTTTTGTTTCATACAGCAAGGCATTCCGCGTTTTGGGATATTCCGCTATTCCACTTCTTAAGACGGGTTTTGGGATATTCCGCCATTCAACTATTCCGCCGTTCTACCGTTCACGGTTCCAGCGTTCTATCATTCCATTGAATAGGGTCATTCTTTAATTTAGCAGCTCTTTTGGGCATATGTCGCTCATTGAAAAGGTAAAATGCACTCTTTTCAAAGTTTCCATGATAAGCAGATCATACCTATTGATATATTTCTGCACTCACGAGAGTCAGACAGCTTTGCTACCCTCTACACGCTTTCCATTATGAGCCCAAGCTACTTCGACATGCGCAGTAAAATGTGCAGATGCTTTTTAGGCTCTCTCCCCGTTATGAGGCTCACAGGAGTCAGACAAGTTCTGAGCCTGCACTTTGCTTACTCTCATACGTACTTTTAGTTACAGTCCTCATCATTAGGTCGCCCTCTTCTTCTCCAGGGTTTCTCCCTCCCAGAAGAACGTCAAAAGTTCGGTTTTTTCATGTGGAATTGACCTCCTAATGGACTCTGTAACATTTACTCTCAATGCAAAGAGATATGACTAAAGGTTTTTAAAGTTAATTCAGTATTCGTTAGAATTCAGGAAGAGAGGCAATTTTTGATCCATTAGGGTATTTTTTCCCCAAAACTCTAATTTTCCATAAAAGGGAATGACCGTGATGACAAATAATCTGAAGCTGAAGCAGAAGCAGAACTAGTTTCCATTGCTTTATTGATAATATTTATTTGTAATATTAGATGTCAAGTAGATTTTACTTTTTCTTTTTCCATTGCATATTGATTGGAAACCTCTCTATTTTACAGGAAGAGTGTAAAACTTTAATAATCGCAAACTGTACACAATACGACCGAAATCCTTAAGTCAGAGTTCAAAAGACGGTTTGAGCCGTTGAACAAAGTTTCTCTTGCTATAAGGTAAACTAACGTAAATGAATTAAATAAATATTATTTACAAGTTTTGGGAAGGAACTGGATTTAACGTATCCTATAGAGATCGCAGTTCATCTCGGTAAATACGTTGTCCTTTTTTCATGTGCAGCTGAAAATAGATAAACGAGGAAAAAAGGAAAAATCGTAATACTCTCTTCTATTTATTAACTGAATTTCACTGAGTGCTACTTCAAACATTTTGGATGCAATAAAGCGATGTTCGTAAGAGCTTGACTGTTATTTTCGATATGATATGCTAAATGCAAGAGTTTTCAAAAAGGTTTGACCTTACAAGTTAGAAAAACAAAAACAAAGATTGAAAATGTGCGCAATCAACTGTTGGCATGGGAAACAAATTTTATTCCTCGAATAACGCTGAATAATATGCAAAAGATTGGGGCAACAACTATGTCTGGGCAGCTCTATTAGTAGAGAAACAGCCGAGGAGGTTCTTAAGACCCTGACGATAATTACTGCTGAATATGAAACAGATACAAGGGTTTACAGTGCAGTATGATAGAACCAGAAAATTGGCAATATGTGTAGAGTATTGGAAGGCACAAGATGACATCATGGCGCTGTCTGATGAAAACAAGGATAAGAGGACAACGATACTGCATGGCAGCCAGCATACTGCAAAAACGAACACGATGGCAACGGACATCTTCACAACACTTCTTTCTCTCTTCAAGCGCTGTTTTCTTGCGTCAACTGAAGGCTCACTTGGAATCTGCTAGGATTTATTTCTTACGGCAATGGAAAAGTAAAGTATGGCAATCAAAACCAAAAGGACATAGGTGAATACAATGATCGTTACCAGGACGTAGTTTTTAATCCATGAGGACACTCTAAATTTGTCGTTCAACCCCAACTGACAAACCAGCCCTTCTGTATTCTCGACAAATTTCCACACAAGCAATTGTGGGCAAGAGACTGCCATGGCGACGACCCAAATTACGAGAATGAAGAGCCTGCATCGCTTTGAACTGATCAGTGAGGGACGGAGAGGAAATACCACAGCTACAAATCGATCCACTGCTATCAGAACTAGGCTCTGAACGGACACAAAAATGGAGACATGAGTAACGAAATACTTTAGCCTACACAACGCTTGGTCAAATGGACCGCTGAGCAGCCAGTGGCTGGCTGTGTTTAACCTTATAAGAAATGCAGGAAAATTGATAATCGAGAACAGCAGATCGGAAATTGCCATGTTTACAATCAAAATGTTGATTGGTGTTCTCAGAGCTTTCTCCTTGTAGACAATAATTCCAATGAGGATATTTCCAGCCAGCGACACAACAAATAGCAGACAGAGGGCAAAGGTTTCACCAATTCTTGTCGCTGTGGGGTTGAAGCAGCTCGACATGGACTGTGTTCCATTCATGGTTGCTGTCACGTTTGCTGACATATTGCGGTGCCAGGAGATCAGTTTTGTTTTCAGCCAGCAGCTCTGCGAAGGCCACTTATATTCTACCAAAGCCGGAAAAAACATAGCTTATGAATCATATCTATCTATATAAATAAAACATGCTTAATTATTAAACATGCCTAGAAATTTAAGAAAATCAGCAGTCTACACCCGAAACTTCCTCCAACAGATAACCAGAGTGGAGTTTAATAGCTTTCGTTCGGAGTTATATTATCGATATACTTTTCCAATTCAGAGTATGGTTGGAGAAAAAGGACAATTTTCGAAAGTTGTTCCTTCCTATTGAAATTATTATTGTTACTATTGACGAAATGACGAGAAAAAGACTCCAGAAATATCCCAGCAACAGATGTTTACTGATAATGATGACGTGTTAAAACTAGCCAATCAATCAAATGACAATATTCTACACCGACATTTTTATTAAGGACTCATTTTTAATCACGTTGTCATCGAAAGTTTAATCCAGCCTGGAACTTACTCAGTAGGCTCGTTACTCAGTTGACTGGTTGGAGGTTTTTCAAATACATTTTACGGATTTTCACGAAGTTATAAAGAAAGGGAAGGGCTCAGTACAATTTTTATGTCAAGTGGGAAGTTTTCTTTTTCCACGAAGAGAATTTGTACGTCGCTGAACAGAATTTTACAGCTGCTGAAGCTGGCGGCAAAAAAAAAACAAATAAAGCCTATATTGCCTATATTGCCGACTTTCGCACTTAATGCATTACGATTCACAGCTCGAAGAGAATAAGTGGACATTAAAGCTAACAACAATATTGTTTAATGTTCTGTGCTCCGTCGATATGTCAATTAGGCATTCCTTCTCTCGTCAATACCATCTAAGAAAAGGATCGGAAAGTTTCAGAAATTTAGGTGATCGTCGCCGAACAAAATTACTCAGCTGCTGAAGTCTGTGGAAGGAAGCCAGATAAAGCCTCCGCTATGTCTGAGGGGGAGGACAGTTGGTTCACTTGCACGTGATCACACCGTCTAAATGATATTCACAGCGCCTTTATCATCAAGCTTCTCATTCAGTGAATAAGTTATTAAATTCGAAATCGTTTTTGCGCAGAAGAAAAAGAATAAATAAAACAAAAGCAGATCCAGGACATTTTGACAGGGAGATCGAAAATAACTTCAGACCTTCATATTCCGCGCTTCCATGCTCTAGAGCATCGGACGGCGGAATCCGATGGTGTGAGGTTCGATTCCTCATGGGGACTCCGAATGTTTTCTTTGTCCCACGCTCGTGACAAGACGAAAAACATCTTTCTCTATTTCCTTACCGGGCTCAAAACTTACCGTCTCTCATATTCTATTTACAAATAATGATAATGTATTGAAAGGCAATCAACACCATAGGCATATAGTAAAGTGCTTTTATATTTGCCACGACGTAGTCTAAGAATTCAGAAGTATCTCTAAAGACATTTCCCCAGTGAGGCTCACACTCTATCACTGCTGTGGGATACTGAACAAGTTCATTAGCGATAAAGAAAGGGGACTAGATGGCCATGGCGATAATCCAAGTACCCAGGATGAACAAGGAACACCGCTTTGAGTTTACGAACGGAGAATGGAAGGGATATACCACAGCACCAAATCAATCGACTGCTGTTAGAACCAGGCTCTATAGCAGCGGAGACTTCCGAGAGAAAGACACCAACTTACACAGGACGGAAGCTCCAATTTGTTTTGTTTTGTTTTTGCTCTCAAAGGTCGAGGGAAAGAAACCACTGTTTTTCTCGTGTGAATATTACCCACACAAAATAAAATTGTCTCTACATTGCAGCCGGTTTGCAAGGGGCATGGATCTTTGAATATCCGCATCATATGACTTTGTACTGCGTGTCGTTTTTATTCCATTTTATCATTCATAACAACCAGTCTTTTCACAGGCTAAGAAAATCTACGATGGAAAATTTTGGAGAATTTGTTATCTTACATGCACTAGTTTAATTTGCATCTGTCTAAAAAAACCACAAAGGTAAGGGAAACGAAATTTTGTCCGAAATAGGCTAGTAGCTGTCAGCTGTTAAAACTGATATTCCATAATCATGGCGCTATTTGCATTAAACGGCGTCTTGAATATTCTCCCAATTGGTACAAGTCGTTACCGGCGATAATTTGAAGTAATTTTGCTCGTCAATTTACTTTGCGGAGTTATCTGTGATGAATTTATTTCAAGACGATTGTTAAACGTCAAAATTCTTGACGTTCCGGAACGTAGAGATCAATAAATGTCAAGTGAATCCAGTTTTATTACCGTCGTTGTTAACAATTGGAATTTGGAAAAACTTAGAAGAACATTACAGGGATCAGTCGAGGGAAAGAAACCACTGTTTTTCTCGTGTAAATATTTCCCACGCAAAATAAAATTTTCTCTACATTTAAGCCAGTTTGCGCAGAAGAAAAAGGCATGCATCTTTGAATATCCGCATGATATGACTTAATATTTCATGTCGTTTTTACTCCATTTTATCATTCATAACGACCAGTCTTTTCACAGGCTAAGAAAATATTCGATGGGAAATTTTGGAGAATTTTTATCTTACATGCACTAGTTTAATTTGCGTCTGTCTAAAAAACCACAAAAGTAAGGGAAACGAAATTTTGTCCGAAATAAGCTAGTAGCTGTCAGCTGTTAAAACTGATATTCCATAATCATAGCGCTATCTGCATTAAACGGCGTCTTGAATATTCTCCCAATTGGTAGAAGCCGTAACCAGCGATAATTTGAAGTCGTTTTGCTCGTCAATTTACTTTGCGGAGTTATATGTGATGAACTTATTTCAAGGCGATTATTAAACGTCCAGTCCGTCAAAATTCTTGACGCTTCGGAACGTAGAAATCAATAAATGCCAAGTGAATCCAGTATTATTACCGTCGTTGCTAACAACTGGAATTTGGAAAAACTTAGAAGAACATTACAGGGATCAGAAGAAAAAATTTTTCTTCTAGAAATATTTTTCAGAGTAAACCTACCGAAAAAGATTTTGGTTGAAATGTGATGTTTTTAGGAGACGAAGAGAGGAAGCTTGGGTACTAGTAAAGTAAATATCACGTGATGTTTTGGCGCGGAATTTATAAAAACCATTGTACTTCGTTGCTGGCAAAGTTGAAGGAAAATAATTGTCGCTTTTAAACATGGAAGAAAAACACCCACCTGAGCTCATTCGGTTTAAAAAACCTTCAGGAGCTATAAAATTGAAGATAAAAAAGAAGAAGTTGACTCAAAACCCATCAAAACGGATTTCAAACGCCTTGAAACCTATCAATGGACGAATTCAAGATGGACGCTCACAGGCGTTAAAGCGAGCGAATCCGTTTAAGTGTTCTCCGAGAAAAAAGGCGAATCTCTCCGCAGAAGAGAAAACTTCAGAATGCAGGCTGTTTAGTGCCCTCGATGGACTGGACGAGAATCAGGAAAATAGATCCACAAACACTGTTCATGAAACAAGTAATAACTCACAACAGCAAAATACTGGCAATAGCCTGGAAACTGACATTGCTGATTCTCCACTAACTGTGGCTAAAGAGAAAATCGGCGAGAATGATGGTTCAGAATTTTTTCCTTTAGACTGGAGCTTAAAAACTAAAGTAAGATTTTCTTCTTCCAAGACGTTTAATTGGTGTGGGACATTGAAGACATTTGACGAAGGTGCTGGTATGTCACATTTTGTTCGTTGCCAAACAAAGGAAATCGACTCAAATGGAAACGGTGCTTCTCATCCTGAATCATTTTGTTCCTTTACCAAAGTTTGGATGCACCCTTCTCTACCGTGGCTTGAACTTTTTCCACGTAAATCAGCCGATGGTAGAACTAGTTCGAAACGACATTTCCTAATCACGGAAGAAATGGCATCTTCTCTTCACCATGACTGGGTGTCCAGTTTTCGCTCCGTCTTCAACATGGTGCGCGTTGGTTTTTGTCCTTACTTTTATCTAGTTGCAAATCAGAACACTATGCTTTTTCAGGCAGCTGGAATAAACAGGGATGATGCAGTTCAAGTAGTTATAACACCCACGACCAAAGGTTTCCGGGATGCATTGAGGAGTGAAGGTAAATCTACATCACTGTACAGGTTTATGAATAAAGGGAGAAACTTTCTAAAGAAACTGTGGTGCTGCGATATCCCTCTGACAAAGGGCTACAGCTCAAAACATCAGCTTTTAAACTCTTTAAGATGGCCAATTTATGTTATCATCTCAGTTGATAATACTTAATTACACTGTACAGATTAGTTTCATGGGTGCAATAATCACTGTAGAAATAGTTCATCGAAAACCTTTACCAGACACTTATAACCTTGAGCTGGTAACCTTGTACCTTTATATGTTGGTAACCAAGGTGATTTTATTCAAGATGAGACAATGATCCAATGAAAACAGCTGTTAGCAGTGGGATGATATAATATACACTTAAGTCTGGTCCCCATGGAAATAGTTAGTTTTGTTTTCCTGAGAGTCCTGATGTTTCCCTCAACATTGTCTTGGGAAACATCAGAACTCTCAAGAAAACAAAACTAGTTTCCCAAGGGACCATACATTAGGTGCTTTGTTCTATATTTGGACTTTCTCTTAAACAATCATATGGCAAAAACATGCTGTTGTACATGTATTCAGCATGCTTGCAACAACCGCATAATTGTGTCCTGGTCAGGATTTTGATCAGGGGCACGTGACCAAGATCAACCAATCACAGTTCTCGTTTTGTTGAGTGAAAGTCCAGGAATATAACAATGTGATTTGAGCTCCAGAATAAATTTGTATGTATGCTTACATGTACTGACCACTACAGACAAGAAATGCTCCCAGGATGCCACTGGTTTTGAGTAAAATAACTGAGCTGCTGCAACCACTTGTTTAGAGAAGAATTTGTAAACATGATTGTAACATTTTAGATTTATTGTGTTTTTACAAATTTATATTCAATCACAGCAATTGAAGACTTTTCCTTGTTCACATAACCAATTGAACACCCATGGTTTGGGAAAACTCACCAAAATTATGCAGACAGTTAACGCATCATGGTTTAAATAACACAATCTTGAATTTTTCCCAACATGCCCTGTGTTCACCTGATTTAAATTGATTACAGGGCTAGCCCTCTAGTACTTGTGATCATCTGGTTTCTTTTTTCAGGATTTATTGAATATAATCTACCTTGAAATTACCCAATCACTTAATCAGTAATTTTACCCTTCAAAGGCTATTTTTCTCTTGAATCTAATTTTCTTCATAATAACAATATTATATTATCACATCCTAGGAATTAACTTTACCATGCCGCACTTGGAAGTCAAAGGAAAGAAAGAGTCTGGGCCTGAATCTCAGGATGAGGACTCAGACGAAGAGGAAGAAGCTGACCTTGCGGATGATTCTGATGATGAGAGTATCGACAAGTGTGAGTGGCTAGAAAGCATGGGACTTGATAAGGAACAGTTTCCACTGTTAAACCCCAAAGTTGTTACACCACATCAGAGGAACAATCTAAGAAGCTTAGATCAACAACCAACTTCTACAGTGTCAGTGAGAGGAGTTGATACTCTTGCATTGTTTAACTTCCTACTCAACTGTAAAAGTTTAACAGCCAACACTGGACCACAAGCTCAGGTGCCACCAACACTGCTGGCCCCTGTTGCATTTGAAGGAGCCACTTTAAAGGGTCTGAAGATAAACCAAGGTACCATGAAGCATCAAAAAGCTAAGGCTATGGCACAGGTATAGGATACATTTGATTGACTTTCAATATTTCTTGACCTTATTCTTTACAGATGCTCTACCATCATGATAAGATCAATGATAATTCTCGCAACAATAAGGTAAAGGTTATGCTTTCTCTGGAGACTATTGGCCAAAACAGTAACATGTAACACAGTTTATTCTTGTTCCACTATTATGAAGCTACTAACAGTATTGCATAGTGATCCCCCTCCCCTCCGATGTTTTGCTAGGTTTACCTGAAAATTTTATGTTGCCAATTTAAACTAAGTGGAAAGAGGAGAAGTATCTTACCTGAAAAATACATGCTATGACAATAACTGTTTTTATGATGTCACTGGCAGCGCCTTTGGTCAATATGAAGTGAATCCTGTTCTTTGATTGGCTACCCCAACAGGCAAGATGGGCCTCTCTTGCCTGCTTGGGATTTCCCACTTTGATCCTGTGCGAAAATACATTGCATGGAAGGGACTTAAAATTTTTTTTTTCAATTTTTGGACAGTGTGGGCAATGGAGTTGCAAAAAGCTGCAGAAGACAAGAAAAACAAAGAAAATATAAACTACTCTCATGGGTTTATTGTGCACAAAAAAAGAACTTGGTCAATATGTAGCCATCTTGATCAAACAAGCTTGGTCAATAACGCACATTTATTTCCAGCACTTCAGAGATTTGTTTAGTTTACTGTGAATTTTCATTGGTTCCTTAAGATGTTTTCATTGCTGTAATTGGTGACTATGATTACTTACTAGGTTTTGGGTTTTTCAACTCTTAAATGAAGGGTGCTCTAATTGTGATGATATCCTTTTAGTTATACAGCCTGGAGATTTCTGGTCCAATCCTTCCTGGCTGTCTGTATGAACTGTGTCATCTACTGAGGGAATCACAAGGAGGAGACTTCAAAGCCACCTTCTTTGTGCACCAACCATCAGTAGCATTTAATGTCCCAAGCATTAAAACAGAGGAAAACTATATTCAGAGTGGGTGTAATTTACAGCAAAGCATCTCACATGGACAGTGGAGACACTACCTGGAGGCAGAAAAACTTAAGGAAATGTGTTTAAAAGACCTTAGCTGCAAAGACAAACTTTTCTCTTGGACAACTTGAGTAAGTCACTGCAGCCATTTAAATAATTTTTCCACTGCAAGTACAGTCGTTTGAATTTAAAACGCAGCTGGATCTTAATGCAATCGATATTTACAGGGCAGCAGAAGTGTACTTGGCTTAACTAGATTCTAAAGGGATCTGAATTTTATAAAGGGAGCCTTTCTAACATAACCAAGGAACAAATGTTTTAATTTTTTTATTTTATGGGTTTATACAGACAATATATTATGAGTATCCATCTGCAGACATGAAAATCATATTTTTCCAAGTGTACAGCTTGACATGAAATGTTGTATTATAATTGTAGGACTAATTAGAAATAAGAGGTACTTGTCTAATTGTTATCTAAAAATGGATAAATTGTTATCTGGCGCTTAAGTGTCATCAAAAGCTTGCTTTCCACCAGATGGAGATTTATTTGCTGCTTCAACAACTGGGGCCAAATCAATAAGGCCTCAATTTGCATATTTTATGATAAATAATAAAGTGTAACTGTCCATTCCACATTTTTTCTGTAAAGCAATCATGTATAACCAAAGGAGACTGTCACTTAAATAACCATAACTTCACAAACCACATCAGCATATACATCAGTCATTTCTGCAAAAATAAAAAAAAACGCAAAACCCTTAGATTGGGAATGAAATCATTTGTTACCCTATAGCACTCATATTAGTCAAGGGCGTATTAAGTATTCTCAAGGACTCTTGATTGAATGCTTGCCATGCTACCTGCTGTAATCAGTCATAAGGCTACTTAAGATTCCATATCACTTGAATACTCCATGCACTTGTACTTCAGTGTATTCAACACCGGCTGAGAGAATGTCAATACAACCAGAATTGTTTTAAAGTACAGAACAAAAACTTTTGCAAGTCTTTTTTCTCAAATGCCCGTGTTGCAAATTCTTGCTCAAAAAGTACTTTTCCCTTTTCCTTGAAGGTATTTCTGTCATCAAAACTTTTTTTCCACAACATCTGCCAATTATATTTCTGTCACCCAACAACTCAAATTGAAGTTAGCCTTTATGTGAACATTTAATAAAATAGACCTGAAACTTTTTAGGACAATTTATAATATCATATGACTCATACCTCCCTTTAATTTAATTAAAACATTAAAAAAAAACCCTTATGAGGATGGGAAAAAGCTTTGTGGCCCTGCATGGTGCTAGCTGAAAGGAGAAAGGGATGGTTATAAATACATAAAATTGGTTTTAATGTAATAAGCAAAGCCTAAGGTCTGGATTAAGAGCCTACAACAAATAATAATAAAAAAATCAACCATACTTGAACACAGTTGAATGCTGATCCTTTCTTGGTTCCTGAGGAGGTTTGATGGAGGCCATGATTCTTCTTGCATAATCAGTGTGATGGATGCCAGCTTCTCTCAGAGCATTTTCAACCTTTAATCTTCTGTCTGCCGCCACCTAAAAGCAGCAACAAAGTTTCATGATTCCAGCTTCGACTGGCAATGAAACTTTCCATCTGGGATTGTTCTTTCAGGGTTATGTATCATAACTGAATTGGTTTATCACAGTGACTGACTAAATTTGTGGCAGATAAAGATAACAATGACATATTGAGTGCATTTAACCTTTTTTTCATCATATCCATGGACAGCAAAGAGAGGTTGTTGAAGGTCAAGTTCTTCCTCGTACATACTGGCCATACGTGCTTGGGATGCCTGGAAAATGGAAGAAACTAACATTGGTTCTAAGTACTGGCTTTTTTATTTTGTTGAAGTGACCCCTGTGGATGTTTTTGGGTCTGAATACAGGTTATGTGGTGTCTAGCTTTGATTCATGCAAACAAAGAGGGCTGAAAAGAATGAAAGATGATGGAGATTGGCACCTCAGGTAAGTTGTTGCTCCTAGGTGTTCAACCGATAACAAGAAATTAACAGGAGTTACAAGTTTCACATAAAGTAGTGTAATGGGGAAATGTTTGCTTCAAAATTACTGGCTTTATTCTGCTAAATCTTGCTACCAGAAGAAACAGCTATGACCATGGTTGTTAAATGCAATGACAGAGTTAGAAATGGATAACACACTGACAAAAACAGCTTTAACTTACAAACCAAAAGTACACATCAAATATTTGCATTGTTACATAATCTAACATTCACACATGCTACACTCACACCAGTGCCTCACATAGGACTCAGAATTGTTCTTTCTGACAAATTATTCACCTTTTCTTTCCTTTCCGACATGATTCATGCCTCTGGTAACCTTTTTTTCACCACTTACCTCTGTTTGTTTGTATAATCTCTCTGGATTGTCCTCTACATGAACTTGTACCTTCAGAAAAAAAAATTAAAGATGACTTTTTACAATAATGGGAAATCTGTTTACCAAAAGATAATGTGAAGTCAAAAAAATGAAGTAAATAAAATTTGCCTTGTTCCAAACATGTGCTTTTGTAGCACAGAGGGAAGTAAGGCTCTACCCATATCTGAGGAGGGCACAGGCTCTAGCCTTGACAAAGCCTAAATTTTTTCAACTTCTGTTTTTTACAATTTCTTTAGTTTCACTTCACTTGTGAAGACCTTTTTTTCATTTTCATTTTAAAGTCGCTGAATGAAACAACAGCACTACCACATGCCTGTGCTCTAAGTTTATCCAGACGTCGTTGTTTTTCATTTTCTTGTTCAATAGCCAACTCTCTGGCTTTTTGCTTTTCTTCTTCCTGCAGTTTTAACTGCTCCTTGCGATACTGTACTCTGGAAAGACATTAAGTCAGTCAGTGATAGGAATGTTCATTGCACAGTTCTCTTGACCTTGTCTACAGGCTAACATATGTTACTGGTTTGGCAATTGGTATCTGTAACAGAGATGTGAAGTACTGCACCAAATTTAAGAATACACCAATTTTTTACCAACCAATCCCTAAAAGTACAAGAACTTAAATAACAAGAAAGTTTTCAGAGGTGAAGATCTTAACATAAGTTATACATAAAAAGAAAAATGGCTGCTCATTGAAGTAAATTGTGTTCATATGCTAAGCTAATGTAGGTGAGCTTTAGAAGACCAAACTTTTGTCAAGGACTGCAACTGCTAACCAGCTAATTCATAAGTATCAAACACTGGTAGATTTGAAGTTAAAAATGATTTAAATCATCATCATTATACCTAGACACTATACCTTTCTCTATCCCACGCAGCTTGCTCTGCCATTTTTTCTTGAAGCTCAGCCAGTCTTTTTCTTTCCTCTTGGGCTGAAAGCTCTCTTTCCCTCTCTTTCAAATCTTTAAATTCCTGGATCTGCAAGAAAGTTTTTGCTACATCATACAAGAAGTTTCCATCCTACAAAAATACTAAAATGATTACACACACATCTTGATTTACTTCACAACCTACTTCAAGGGGTGATTGTCGGTCACTGTCAAACAAACACGAGACTCACCAATAATTTTAGCTGGAATTGGGCATGGATTTCTTTGCATTTTGCAAAAGAGGGCTATTGGTAAAAAGCAGGTACCGCTGAGTATTAAGTAGCTGCCATATTTTGCAATATCTGAGGTAGCCTTAGCTTAAAAATCCTAACAATTTTACTGTTTGCTCAAGCGTGTTTGTCCATGGGGTATATACATATCTTATTAGATGTTTTGGTGTGTAGTATTGCTGAGCATTTTTACAAGTTGTGCCATATTTTGACAAGCCTGTAGGGTGGGTAAAAATATGACAACATGTAAAAATACACAGTGATACTACGCACCAAAACATCTAATAAGACATTTATCATCCAACTGCTTTTTTTCTGCAAAGTCTTTCTGCTCATTTCTCACAAGGTGGAAAAAGCGAAGCAGATAGAGGAGCGTAGCATGTGCAGCCGACTGGTTAAACAGGATTTTTTTACAATACAAAATAAGCAACTGTCCAAATAAAAATACAATATTGCAGGATATTTGTATGTTATTTCTACTCTATTAGGTGCAGGTAGATAATAAAATTATATACAAGTAGGTGATGCAAGAATTAATCTGTTAATTGAAAAAATAATATTTATTCAATATCTCTAAATCAGCTTCATCATACCTGCCTATGTTTTTTATCTCTGAGCTTTCTTTCCCTCTCTTCAGCAGCCCTTAGTTGTTCTTCCTCTTCCTCCTGCTGTTTTGCAGCAATAGAAGCTTGCAGCTTTAGTGCCTCAAGCTTCTGTTCACGGAATGCAAGTACCTGTTGGAGGTTGAACACAAAAGTTAGAAGTATTGGTAGTAAAGACTGAATTGTACCTGTGAGCCTAGAGTCTTTCTACATGCATCACTCCCCAAGACTACATGGCCAGATTGTTCTGCAGTATTTCTACACTAAATTCAAATGAAATTCCTAAGAACTGCCCAGGACCAACCTTCTTATAGAGTTCTTGACAGATGTGTTCCTGTTTCTTTCTTGTTTTGGCTTTCTCTGTGGCTTCCTCATAAGCTGTCCATGCATCAATAAATGTTACCTTAACTTTTATGAGTAAATCTTGTCTATCATGTGCCCAGGCACGAAGTGTGCTGGAAAACTGCTCTTGGTAAAATTTGTGTGCAACAAACCATTCTTCATGTTCAACCTAAAACATAAAGTAACTTAAAAATTGACCTATTTCAGAATTGTGACTGAGTATCAAAAACATGTATTGAATTTATCATCAATACCAAAATTTGATGGAAATGCTGTCATCTAGTAAAAAAAGAAAACCTCTTAGTACCAGCTGTGAGCGAGTCTTGTGTGAGATTTCCCTAAGCATCCTGTCAATATAGAGCATTCTTCTGTTTGGCATCTCAGGTGGGTACTGTTCCATTAGATGGACAAAGTGCAAATGATCATGCTTTGACCATCCTCCAGTGCTAGATCTGAAAGAGTAATAATTACACTGTCCTTAAATATCAATGCATCTCTTAATTCATATCTTTTTAATAATAACTAATACCTACATGTAGGTCCAGGGATTCTTGACTAAGGTCAATTGACATGTTTTTGCAGGTACCTCTCTCCATGCAGGAGTATTGTAAATATGTTATCAGTGAGCTGTCATGAAACCTAGTGAATACTGATGAGTGACCTACAAAGGCCTTACCAGTGCACCCAAGAGGAGAAACAGTACTCCTTGTCTCTCTATCAAAATGGGACAAGCTTTGTGAATTTGTTGAGACACTACCTCTTATAGACCAATATTAAAGTTCTGAATGGAATCATTTTGTTGACCGGTGATCCAGGAAACTGAGAAAAGGTAATTTCCAGGGCAAAATGAGCTATTGAATATCATATAAAAAATACTTGAAGAATCGCTGTGTTGTGTTCTTTAAGAATTATAAGAAGCTAATCTAGCTCTGAATCACAGCAGGAGGGCAGTTTAAAGGTCTGACAGAAGATCCAGGAAAAGAAAAGGTGGCCCTTAGGTGAAGTAGCATTTCTGGTAAAAGTAATTTTACATGTAAATGCTAGTTAATATGAAACAAATTCAGGGACCAACTCTACAATCAAGACACTGGTCAGAATCAAGAAGATTTCCAAATAAGAATTTCATTCCACAAGTGATAAGGAGGGAGGAGGTGTGTGAAAATTGCCCTTAATTCAAGGATTTATGATACTTACTGTTTGACATTTTGATATTTCAGATTTAAGTACTCCAACTGAGCTTCATATTTCTTATCCAGAAGAAGGAACTCTTCCAAAACAGTATCCTTTAACTGTTCATCAGGACAGTCCAAATAAAATGCCTCATCAGGGATGCCTGTCTCTATACCAACATCAGACACCACTCCTAATCCTGTAATTTCATGCAACGATAAACTCTCCAGTTCTTGTTCAAGCTGTTCTTGTTCCATTTGAAGTTTGTCTATCACTATGCGCTGCTGCATTTTGACTGATTCCACAATTTTGAGCACATCTGCATGTTCTTTGTCAGCAACTCCTAGAAAGATTATCAAAAGCAGTATTAGAGATTAGGGTATCTGGGCAAGCTCAGCTTATTAAGTGTTTCTTTGCCACATGTTGGCAACATTATTCTTCCTGAAATAAATTATTACTCAGGGTTTAGCCATACCAATTTTAAAAGGCCAAACCTTGCATCTGCAAAATAAATTAATTCACAATTTCCTACTGAGTGCCTGTTTCATGTTGACTTTGAAGAGAGAACAAAATTTACATAATAATCCTGAAAGATAACTGAAAGACTAAGCACAACTTCCAAGATTTAATTGTTAATTCTCCTATCTTGCTGCTAGACATTTCCTTGTAAATTATTTACCAGTATTTGGTGTTAGATCAAGATAAAAACTACTACCCGATAAGTTTGAATATCCTCATTACCTGTTTACTGGATAATGTCAGGATATTACTGGGAGAAGTTTCATGTTGATCACTTCTGGGAGTTAAAGGGTTAAAACATAACCATGGCAATAGAACTTGCAAATTCTAAAAAATCGATTAAATAATTAGGAAATTAAAGGTTCTGACAGACCCATCACAATTCTGTCTCTGTTCTCTCCAAGCCAGAACTGCAAGTCTTCTCTTAAATCCCATAATGGTTGAATAGTGCTTTTCTTAAACTCAGTGCTGTCTTCACTAAGCACTTCCTCATAGATTTCCAGATCTTGAAAGAACTCCTTAATTGAGCTGTAATCAAGAGGACTTCCAGGTCTCAATGCATCAATTTCACTTTGTAGTTTTCGCTGTAAACTATGAAGTCTTATTTTTTCTTTTGACCAACAGGCTTTGTGCTGCTGAATAAGATTCTGTTCCTTTTTCTCTTTGTTAGCTCTGGTTATCTTTTCTACTTTTTGAAAGGTTTTGTTTCCAGCAGCTTTCCTGAGCTGAGCGATGGCTTGAAGTTTGTCATAATCAGCTGGTCTATACTGATTACTACCATGTCCTTCTATAAAGCGGTTAACAAGTGAACTATCTGCAAAATCAGTAAAAATACCTGACTTCATATTTGAATACTTATAAGAAAATTATCTTATCTCAGAACTTCAAGACTCGGCTTGTTACTTAGATAACATAACACATGTTAAGGTTCTTTGCATCTTAATATGACACCTGTGCCATTTCGAAAACACTAAAAAAAATAACATGGTAAAATTTCCGCACAGCCCCATACTATTGTAAAACAAATCTGTTCTCCCAATGGCAATGTATTGTTTTAGTCATTGTTTTCTCTATTCAAGAACTGAATGTATAATGAAGTATGGGGCTGTGCGGAAATTTTACCAATAACATTTTACAATTGTCAAATAAGTCAGTCAGTTAGTAAGCTTAAGTAGGTAAGTAAATAAAAATATTTATCGGGGGCTCATAATTGTATACAAAACACTAATAAAACAGTGACCTTCACACAAATAAATGTATTAAAATCAAAGTATACATTACAAAAGACTTAAAATATCCTCCAAACAATGAAATCATAAAAAACAATGTAAATATGCAGAGTGAAATAATTTCATTTAAAAGCTGCTGCCGATCTTTGGAAATCATTTAACAAGTTTGTTATTTGATCCCTACCTGCGGCCCCGATGGCAGTTCTGTGGAAGTTCACAAACTTCCTAAGATCCCGTCCACTCATTAAAGTAAAAGTCAGGGACCTACATGATTACATTTCTTGAAAAATCGCTCAGTGACAACCGTCTCTACTGTCAACAACATTTTTACCCGGGCGCCATTTTGAAACTTCAAATAGACCTCGTTTTCATTCTAACAAAGTACCAACTTTCGTCTCGTTCTCATGCTATGCAAGATGGCGTCAAGTAGGCCTTCGAGCAGAAGTAGAAAACCGAAGCGTCCATCTAGCCCTGCCGTGGCCTCCGCTCCTCCAAGCAAGCGAAAAAGACCTTTAACTGTAAGTTAATCTATTTGTAAAACATTTAAATTCAGTTTTGTAATGTTTTCTTTTGCTTTAGCCCTGTGTAGCTGACGAGTTAGATTCAACATCAAGTAGTCCGTCATCATATAGTGCTGTCAGCGAGGCCAGTACTCAGCCAAACGGCCACTTTGTGTTCAAAGATTCTAATTTCGAAGTAAGTTTGGTTACTATACTATAAATATTTTTGTAGTAGAAATAAGAGGTAATTTGTGTCTTCTCAAAGATGTATATGATTAAAACATATGATAAATTTTGTTCATACTTCAGCACTCTGGTGTCAATGCAGGCAAGAAAAGGATATGGAAAAATTTAAAACAAATAATGACGTTAGAAAGGGGACTGCCATGGAAACAAGATGATCCAACATGTAAGTAGCCCAGCTTATGGTTATCATTTATTTTATCTCTCAGTCAGTTTATGCGCCATGATTGGTCAACTTAGCCAGCCGTATTTCACAATTTGGCCCACAAATTTTTTTATTTTTTTAATTGAAATCTTTCCTCCTCTTCCATTTGAACTCAAAGATACAATAAATATTTTACTAACCTTATTTTCTTGGTCCATACCGTACGTTACAGAACTTTTCAGTCCAAACTATTTTACCTTAGGACCAGCAACAAATGATCTTCTAAGGAAAATAGGTATTAAAAATAAGTACATGTGCACCTTTTGGGAAGCTGAATTAGAGAACCTAACTCACCTGTTTTGATTTTGTACCATTTGGAAAAAGTTTAAGTAATGGTTGGTAAATGACAAACACTTTGCAACACTACAGGATACAGACCTTATCAGAACTTATCCTTCATAATTGGTTTGAGACCTAATGCTTTCAAAAACAAAATTAATCCATCTCTATTTTTAGTTGTGAGATATTTGATCCAAATTTGTTGAATAGGAGATTGAGTACCCAGTTCTGTGTTTTCTCTTCCTTTATAACCTCATTTTCACTGTCTCACAAATTGTCTCTTGAGCCTCTTTCCTCTGGCATTTTATGTTGAAACAGCCTACAGTAGATTAAAGCAAAAAGCCATGTAGTTGTATCCTCTTAATTTTTTTTTTCTCTTAAGTGATGTCCATATAGTATTGTCTGTAATTTAAATGTATCACAAAATAATAGTAATTATAATAATAATAATGAAAAAAGGAAGTTACAAATTCTCAGTTTTTTTACCTGGATTTATGGTCCCTCACACAGTGTGCTAGAGGGCTCTAAGTCTGAGCAGAAAAAGCTTGGTCCATAAGTTACAGTGCAGACCTCAAACTCAGTTAGTAAATGGTATCTCTTGAGCCCTAAGGTACACCAAGGGTTAAGCTGGATAGAATGTTAAGCATGACTTGGTTTTTCAGTGGTAATCTCATTTTGTATCTCCAGACAGCAGCATAGATGCCCCACCTTCATTCAAACCAGCCAAAAAATATGCCGACCTCTCTGGCTTACCAGTAAGTAGTATTTGAATGACATTCCCATTTTTTAGTATTTATTTGTAAATGGTCTTGATAGTTCATTGACTCCCTGTCATTGCGTCTGAACAAGTCAGATGCAAGAGATGATGAAGTTTCAGATTTTATTGACTTGAGTGAAAAGGAATCAGTGTGAAATTGTTTTTTGGCAGAGAAATACATTGTAGTTTAACACTGACAGAGTCTGATTCTGTTTTCTGTTTATGTTTTTCATCATTTATGAAATGTAGGTTTAATTTAGCTAATCCAGCCTCTGACCTTGTGTTATGATCTGTTTTAGTTTTTTTCTTCTGGATTGTTATTTTTTGTGTAAATTAGGAACAAACTTTTTGGCAGATCAAGGTGACTGACTTTCCTGCAGGGAACTAGTTTTTGTTAACTATCCTCTTTAAGCACTAGAGCATTAACAAGGAGAAGAAACAATTATTTCAACTTAAACAGTTTTGCAGGTAGTTGTACAGAGTTGTACTTTTTCACATTCTGAATTCCACACCTAAGGTGTCCATTTTTTGGGATGTCCTAGTGTGTACATTATGTGTGGGGATTGTGACCAGTCAGTAAAGATCAGAGCTACAAAAATGTTAGGCTGCAAGGCATTTAAGATTTTTGTCAAGGATAAAAAATCAAATTCTTGTCCTTTTCAGGCTAAATACAAAGACCCGAGAACTGGAATACAATACAACAACTCCATGGAATTTGGTTCAATTCGTAGTTTGCCTATGGATATTGTTAGCGGGTATCTGACCTTGCGGAAAGCGGCACCTACATGAATTAAGTTAGTTGTATATTGAATTTTGGATGTTAATTTAATCATGTAAATAGTTGAAATAAAAAAAGAACTCAAGTTATTTCTGTGAAATAGTGTGTCTTTCCTTGAGTTGGTTTTTGATTTTGATGCGTAAAAAACAAAGTGCTTAGTTTCAAGAAATTTTATTCAGCTTTCTTTCAAGCCCCTCTTCCCCCTACCCTTTCGTCTTCCCTCTTCAAGGATTCAATGATGTCACATCACCTGTCACGCAATCCTGTGATAAACCTGGTAACAACATGGCAGGCGATGAGCACCATGTAAACAAAGGCAAATTTTACCTGCAAGGTGAAGGTATGAACGATAAGTCGAGGGAACTTTACGAAAGAAACGCTTTGGGGAACATTGTCTCGCACCTATTTCCGGGGTATGGAGAGTTCTATGCGGTTCCGTGGACAGCAAAGAAAGAGATTTTCGAACTTTTGTCAGTGTTCGTCAAAAATGGTTGTGATACTTTCGAATACGTTGGAAGTTTACGTAAGAATGGGGGAATCTTGGCGGAAGAGACGAGTGACTTATTGCATGTTTTGAAACCTCATATGCACAGTAGCTCAAAGAAAGAAGTAAACAGATATTTAACTGCGCTAAAGCAACCATTTTCGCGCCGTGTGAGTGAACTTTTTATTGATGACTTTGTTGGCCGTCCAGAGGGAAAGATTTTTGGCTGGATCGATTTAGGGACAACGCAGATTGAGTACGTGGACCCTGTTAAGCTTACTGCAAGAGTGAACAAGTCGAGAATTGATCAAGAGTGTTCGCAGCTTGCGGGGAAAACACACATATACGTAATTTGTAAGGTGGGGATAGCCATTGACTTACAGTGATTTTCCAGCTAATATTTTCTCATATGATATCTTCCGAATTATAGGCTCCATATGTTGGTGGTCTTTCCTAGGGGGCTCTGTATACTCTCCTAACCTTAAGATAAATAATAAAAAATATCCAATCCTGTGGTGTTGTTACATACAGTGTTGCCCTTAATAATAGTCAGAGGGATTCAAACCACGAGCAAACTTGAGTGGACCTACATGTGCCCGAGGCAAATGGTGGGTGTTAAATTAAACTGGCTCCCCAGGGTTTTTTTTTAAAGGAGAGGATGATTGCAATCGGTTCAGCAGAGTGCAGAATGTAATCTGAAATGAAATCTTTAGTGAAAAGGAAAGGATATGAAGTTTGGAATCTTCATGGTAATTGTGAAGAACAGCTCCTTGAAAAACCTGGTTGGCTGACAGTTGACCAACCTTCGGCTGACAGGTTATAATTACCAATTGACAATATACTCGGATACCTATGGGCCAACAAGTTTACTTAAAATTGTCGGCCAACAAGTTTTTCAAGGGAGTTCTTCTTCACAATTACAGCCTTCTGGATGCACCCTTTGTGTCTTTTAATCATTTTGTACATGCATTTATTAAGAACACCCTCATTATAGGAAAGTTTTCCCATTGGACAAACAAAACAAAGCAACTCTTTCTAAATATACTTTTGTTTGGAGGTCTCTGTTCAAGATTTCCTAAGAGGCAAGATATTTTTTGGTTCTTTGTCATTATTAAATGTTAAGAGACTATTAACACATTTTAAACAACATACAAACAAAAAATTAGACTGATGTAAAATTTGTAAATGTATGGTTGCCTACCCTACCATTATGTAATCAGTGTGTAACCCAAATTAACATAAATACTACCATAAATGTTCTTCATTTCAACAGAATTTTTCACTTTGTTTGTAGGTATGTGACTCTGAAAGACTCCATTACTATCCAGCTGTCGAATACAGATCAAATTCGTGGCTTGGTAATGATAAATCATTACTAGAAAACCAAATCAGACTTTGCACCAAGTCTTTGGATAGATGTTGTATTTCTCTGGATGTGAGAGGTCCAAGAGCATTAAGTGTCTGCCGCATCCCACTGACCTGTGGTGGGATACTTGGCATACCCATGTATGATGTCAAACTTACCTCAACGAACTGTTTTAGGACAGATTGGGAAGGAAAAACGTTTTTTGCTCAAGGTAAACTCATTCATTGCTTACATTCTCAAAGGTGAAGGGCAGCCAAATGTAAATCAGGTTCTCATGCAGGCATTCTACTGCCCTAAATTGTGTCTACACAATTACCCATGAGACTGAGCTGTTTATTTGTTTGTGTTTGATACAATTTGGAAAAGCTGCAAATAGTGTGCAACATAATCTATAAACAGTGAAAAAGTGCCCTCTTAGCTCTTTCCTCCTGGCTAATATGATCAATTAGCTGGGATATGTGTTCCAATTAATTGAGGACACATCTACCTTAGTTTGTATGCTGTTACAAGATGTAATGTTTCACTGAGCTGATCTTTCCTGTATGATATACACAGTATCTTGTTTCACCATCTACAATTAGGTCTTTTGCCTCACTGACGATTGTTTTCAACTGTCCATCCTTATAGGATGTTGACTGACTGCTGTCAGATCTGGCAGAACTTCTAAAGACCTGTATGTGAGCTTAAGATTTGCTGCACTGGACACAGTGCAGGTAGATTATAACATTCTTAGGACCTTGCGGGATATCATAAACTGCAATACAGAAAAATTTATAGCCAGTGAACACCTGGTACTGAATACTGAGCATAAAAACCAGCGACAGCATTTGGTAATCATTTAATTTACTTTTAAAGTCACTGGTTTTTAATGAATCATTTGGTTTGTAGTGCTAATTTCTGTTTACATTTTACAGTCATACTGTGAGATTATTCTGGGAAACTTTACATTATTGAAACAGGGAACATATAACTAAAAAACTCATACACTTTCATGTGATACTTTAGAACTTGATTTTGAGTTTGTTAACTGGTTGACATCCCAAGTACAAGGCATGAGAACCAAACATTTCTGGCAGCCTGCACTGAGAAAGCTGTTTAGTTTTCCTGCGATAGATGATAGACAGGTGGCACTGGAGTTTTTGCTTGAAACCATGAAGAAATTTCAGGTAATCATTTATTTTAATATTGTGTGTAGTATAGCTTGTAGAACAGGTGCTGGGATAGGTGGGTAAGATTGGGTCTCACTGACTTTCAGTGTTTATTGAGCAGGCTCTTAAACTTTTAACCATGAGGTAATGTGCACTAGTAGTGGAGAAGCTAACAACAGTCAGCAATGTCTCAAAATTAAAGCCTGGGCTTGGGTCATCATCAACAAAGTCATTTAAAAAGTTCTCTTCTCTTGTGAATGGATTTAGTTCTTGAAATGGATTGATCAAATCAGCCGTCAGTGATGTTGTTTTTTTGAGACACTTAATATGCTGGCTTATTATGCTGGTTTAATACTTTGTCTTTTTGTGGTGAATACATAATTTGTGAGGTAAATAACTCATGCAAAAAGGTGTTTGGGTTATTTAATGTGGAGAGAATAAGGCAGCTTAAGTTGTGGACAGACTTTTAAACTGAATTTTGTCTTATGCATTTCTTTGCAGACAGAAGAGGAAGGTAACATCCAACTGGTTGATCTGTCCTTTGTGATTTCCAATCCCCCTCCATGTTTGATGTCCAGTCCCTTTATCCTAGCCTCATTTCTGAGAGGGGCTGGTATTGTCTTGACTTCTTCTCAGGAGGCTGATGATGGTGAGAGATATGAAGAACAAGTAGTATTTCAACCAGAAAATTGCCAAGAGTATTTGGGAATTTTGGAAGCTCTTCTCACAGTGCTTGTGAAAGGTATGTCTTAGAACAGCTTCGGCCACTCATAATGTGTAGCAGTTGCAGTATTAAGTGAAGGGCTAAATTGATTTAGGTTAGCGGCCACTGACTCAGGTTTGCCAAGGTCTCCGCGCTTAAGGTAAATTCAACGGAGAAAAAACTTTGCGATTACATTCTAACAGGCGCGGGCCCGAGTTAAAAATCGTCCTAACTTTTGAAATAGGCTACAGAACAGTAGCCCTTTGAATTATTGCTAATTTCTTTCTGGCCACAGAATTGAGGAAGATGTTTTTTTAAAACAGTTTGAAACTGCCATACGCACTTTGAAATAAAACTGATTTTAACTCTCACTTAGGTGTTGTAACAGAAGAGCAGGGAAAATGCGTTTCCCAGCTTCTTGCTACAGAAGTAGTCTCTCTACAAGAACTGGTACGTGATTTTCATCCCAAGACCTCACCCAAAATAATCAGATATACAGTTTACAAAGCTTTCGATAATTTACAACTTCTAATACTCTGGCGCCATCGATTCAGTCAGTGTAGCGTTGTCTAGTCAAAAGTTTTTTTGTATTTAACGGAAGCTTTCAGTTTTCAGACTTTCAGTCTCAGGCATCTTTTTTATGTGAAAATGAGTTTTGACAATATGTATTTTTATACAGAGACAACCACCTTAAAATAATTTTACATTGCTTTGCCAAAAGGAAACCCATTTTCATAATCTACGAAGCCGCGTGCGGAAAAAGGGGTGTGTATGGAGATAGTTTTTTGATTAATTGAACAACTGGAAAACCACTTGAAAGCTGTCGAATGTAACCAAATAGTTGTTATCAGTCAACTGAAAAAATAACTTTCTTTCAATTCTGTTTGTTTTTTTGTGTTTTAGTTTTACACGCAGATGGGCTGCATATGCTCGCCATGGAAAAGCCTAGACCCATGCGAAAAGCCTTTGTCGGAATTATGGAAAAATCCCTCAAGGACAAGAAATTTCCTGAAAAGCCTGGGACTTCAAGAGATTTACCAAGGAAACCAAGTGGTTGTTATCTGCCCCGAGGACTGCCAGTTACTGAACATTTTAGCGTTATTTTTCGGAAACATTGACTAAGAAATGATACCGCGCCGTGATAGGTTAGAGTCTCTCTTTCCACATGTACTCGCTCAGTACTGAAGCATTTTACCGTTCACTGATTCCGATCGTCATTAAACTATGATTTCCGCTTCGCCCTGCGCTTGCAAGAAATCTGTTGCATATATTTCTTCTGAGAAAAACTTTCTCACTTGCCAAGAGTTAGGTTCCGATCTCTCAATATTTATTATAGTAGTTGCGCTAATCTGTTTGTAAGTCTGTGTTTTTTATTTAATTATTATTTATACACGGTAAAAAAAATTATGTGGATATTCCGTCTCCATGGTGAACATAACATGCCTTTTATCTTGGCTTAAAAAAATTTCATAACATTTCCGTGGCCTTGGAGAAAGTGTCTAAGAATTTATATTCTCTGCCCATCTTTATATATATTTCAGTGGAGAGGGAGTTTGTTTGCAGATCAAGGCTGATTAACTTTTTGCTTTTTCGAGAAAAGTCTTCTATTCGGCACCAATCACTTGTGAAACAGAATTTCGTGTCTTAGTTCCCAGAATACGTCCAATATAATCTGATTTTTTTTGTTTTCGTATTTTTGTGCGTCAAAAATATTATGTGCGACGAAAATATCTTCAATTTTCAATTTCAATTCCGAGCAATTTGAATATTTACTTTAATATGACTTGATATAATGTCAAGATAAACATGACAGTGTTGATAATGGACTAGAAATGTCGTGTTATTTTATTGTTGACGTTCTGTGTTTCTTGGCAAACCAGGCCTGTATCGAGGCAGATGTATTTTTATAATAAAAAATAACAGTCAGACGCGAGCTCATTATTATTTATGCCATTCATTTAAACGCTGGATCAATTTTTATGCCCGACTAAATTTCGCGTCCGGTGTTGTTGCTCGGTACCGCATTCAGGGAGGAAAAAAACGGTAAAAGAAAAATGAAACTTTTACAGATAGGAAATAAGATGTAACTGTGTTTTAAACATGGCGGACATGGTCGATAGAGAAACCGGAGGTTACGAAGCAGAATTTCTGATACCGGTTCCTGAAGAATACGAATGTCCTATTTGTCAGCTAGCATTTCGCGATCCAGTTCAAATCGAGGATTGTGGCCATCGATTTTGTCAATCATGTCTTCAAGAGTTAAAACGAAGGTGAGCTGCCGTTTTTCAGAAAATCCTCTGCCGCGGTTGATAGGTGCACGAAGGAAACTTGAAGAAAATGATATTTAAAGTGACTGGAGGCTGGTTTGATATCATCAGTTAATTTCAATCGTTTCGGTTCGAGGGATACTGATTTTACTTTTTCCTGAATTTATAACGATGGCATAGAAATTTCTGTCTATGATGATAAAATTTCATTTGTTTGGTCGTTGTCCGAAAAAAGTAAAAACCTTGTGTGTTGCGTTCTAGTGAATTCGAGGGCCTAGAGTATCAGAATAATTTTTTCCCCATTGATAAAACTGCAGGCAAGGAAGCCCATGTTTATGCCCTCTGGATAGAAAACCAATTTCATCTTCCAAGGTAATTGAAATAACTTTTGTATTTTCGTTAATTTGTATATTGTGTTCACTTACTTCGTTACCATAAGGTTTCGTTGTAAATATCGCAGTGGTTGCGTTCATAATAATTATGTACATCTTTTCCTTTCAAATGAAATATCGAAATTTGCGTTTGTTAAGAATTTACCCAAGAAGTAGTTGTTTAATCGCTTATTTTCTCTTTGACGTCTTCGGCGAGCGCCTTTTAATGACTAGTGGTCGATACCATTGTCGCGCAGACATAGCCGTCAAACATGCAAACCGCAAATTAAAATTCAGAGTCAGAATAGACAATACATATATTTCGACTTGTTGTTCCAGATTCAAGTAAAGTTAACGAGAGTTGTATATAAGTACTTGAGTTTTATAGCTGCAATGTTAAAAAGGCAAAAGGCTGTTTGCGTCTCATTATCCTTTTAAATTCTTGAAACCATTATCGCAAGTGTCCCCGTGTACCCGTCGTACAAAAACATTTCAATGCCATTTGCTATTGACAACAGCGAAAGCGTTGACAAAAACGGACGCGACAAGCGCTTGATTGTACTAGAAGTGTTTTTGTTACATACTGAGTCATAAAGTCTTTGTAAAATGCGGGTCAAAGTCTTGTTTGTGGTTTGAAGGAAGGCCATTCCCTTGCTATAATTCATTTCTCTTGTGCACACAGAAAGAACACCGGCTATTACATTTGCTTGTATGAAATAATTTTAGTTCACATCGGAGACATCGACGACTATTTTACCCTTTTTTTCTTTCTTTCTTGTCAGATCTTTGTCGATAAGGCAGCAAAGCGAGCCGTTTTATCACTCGGAGTGAAATGTGCTAATTGGAAAAGAAAATGTGATTGGACTGGAGATCTTATTTATGTTGAGGTAAGATTAGAGAACATTTAAAATATCTTCGCTTGCTTTGTTTTTGTCTTGTTTTATTGTTGTTATTGACTATTTGAACCTTCTCACTATCGAACAGCCCAATTTCCCCATAAGCTACATTTGCATCGTTGACTTTGAGAGAAAGTATTTCCACGAAGACTTTGAAGTATGGCGATAGATGATTTGTTACACAATCGCATGCGGATATAAATTTTCAGTTCTTCAACCAGCTCTCATCAACCCAGCTGCATGTCTCTGATTCCAGATCACGTGTCTCAGCATTTGAGTGCTTCCTTTTACAGATGTCAACTTTCCTCTTTTTTAATTGTTTCGTCTTGCTGTTCGAAAGTAATAAAAAAAAGCGATGCTACAAATTGCCTTTCTTTGAGCAGGATTAGATGGCGGGGATTTAATTATTATGAGATGTTTTCCGGCGTCGGAAAACATTATTTCTAAAGATGTACTATTTTAATGCGAGCGGTTTATTGTTTTCATTTAGAAATGTAATTATTATTTTAATCCTAGGATGACTGTAACATCGGATGAAATTTATCTTTCTCTCTTTCTGGTAAAATTTGGCAATATGAATATCCCACCCAACTACGAATTTACCTCTGCAATAGATTACATCTAAAGGAAACACTGTTTACTCTTTGGAAGGTGTAATTTTCATTTGACATGTCTCTTCCAAGAATCGGTCGTCCTTTTTACTAATTATCATTTTTCAGTGCAAAGCAAACACGACATAAAATGAATTTATAACAAAAGAGTTCTCATACTTCTCCATATACGAGTCATCTCAACAATAAATAAGCTCAAGAACTACTCCAAAAACGAGCTCAGGTATTGCAATTTCTCCACACGATTTCCTTTGTTTAAACTGTGGTTTAGATTGGGTGTTTTGATATATCGGCTCATGAATGGTACGACCATCTGGTCAGAGTATTAACACATTTGGTGTAGTCTTCGAATTATCCTTATATGTTCTGCTTCATGAAAGGCGTCACACAGTAAATATTTTATATCGGACGCGTGTTTAAAATCGAGCCTCGTGATTTCAGCGTGGAGTTTTTATTTTAAGTATCAGTAAATGAAAAGGCATGTGTTTCTCTCTGCTTTTCAGTTTATTGCTAGTATTCTCACACGCGCTCATTTGAAATTTGCGCAATTTATCGCACAACATATGTCTCTGAGCAGTACCGAGAGATCTGACACCGTAAACACTTTCATCACTCAAAGAATATTTCTCAGGCTTTAAAGCATGAGGTCGTTTTGTAATGCCAACATCTTTTCGTGCTTCAGTACTCTTTGTTACCGACAGCTGAATCTTCTTTTTCGTTGACTGTCGATTGATAGTATTTTCGAGTAACTGGCCAGTCCTTGTAAAAGCTCCTTTAACAATGCTTCATTTGCACCACGAGCAAATATTGGTAAGTCCCCTTCAAGCACATTACCTTTTTTTAATTCATGTTAACAAATTCTAAATCCCAGACAAAACATATCTGATTTTTTTTTTATTTAAACGTTAGTTTTAAAATAACTGTAATTTCTTGTCCGAACAATTTTTAATTTGAACGATGGAGCCTTAATTTAGCTGAAAATTTCGTTGTCAGATTAACAAAATGTCCGTCGTAATTTTCTGGAAAGACAAACCAGAACTGTTTTTAAACCTTGCTTCCTCCAAGGCCTTTGATGACTGATTTTAGATCTGTTTATTGTGCGGATCAATTTATGTTTCATGATTCTTATTTGAAATAGGATTTGTTTTTTCACTTATTGCGATCAGCTTTCTGCACAGGAAACAGCAGCAGCAGCAACGACAAACAACTAATTAATGTTTGCTCTGTTGGTAACTGCGTCCAGCTGGTATCTGAGAAGTCTAGGCCTAAGTTTTCAAACTTTGCGTCATTTACAATTTACATACGATTTCAATCAGCTCAACTGACCCACTGACTCACCAAATGCCCGGCCAACGTACCCATCCACTGCCTGACCAACCGACCGAATTTAGAATAAATAGAATTCCGTGAATATTTTCCTGTAGGAGCACATGAAAAACTGTGCGTACGAAGATGTCCATTGTACAAACGTGGAATGTAATGAACTCATGCCTCGCCGAACGCTTCAGTATCATCTGGTGTCAAAGTGCCGTTGGAGGGTGGTGTCGTGCCAGTTTTGTTCAGAGATGTATACCTACAAGGATAGCAAGGTAGGTATGACTTGTCGCTTTTTTTGTTGAAACGATCACACGCATGCGCCATTCTTCGCGTGCCATGAACTCGAAACCTGTATCAACAATAGTAGGGTTTGCGCAGACAGTATAGCCTGGGCTCTACTGATGGAGATGTGCTTGCCACTTGGCATCATTTCCTTGTCTGGTTATACAAAAACTACTCACTGATTTTCTTCCTCCTGTATATTCGCTTTGGCTCCTGTTTTGAGCCAGATTTTCCAATTTTAAGAGGCATGTAATTCACTTTGGAATATGAGAAGTTCACAGCTTGGGTGAGGCCGCTTCCTTGGCAAGACATTTTCTAGATAGTGGCTCTTTCATTATAGTTTCATAAATGGTGGAAAGGGGTTTTACAGCACGAAACTGTTAGGGCGTGACTTTGAGCCCAGGCACACTTAAAAAACACTGAAAGAATGTTGTGTTGCTTGATCACGATGTAAAACGAAGAATCGAGGAATTTTTTTCATTTGAGACCCGAACTGATTGCGGAGCATTGCTAATGTAAAGTTCTAAAACCAACCTGTGGCAGGCTTTCAGTGGGAAGAGACGATTGCGAAAAGGGTTGTGGGAAATAAGCTGAGCATTTGAGGAAGAAACAAAATAGATCCTCATCCCCCACTGGCTTTGCTTTTCTTTCACCTGCTTTTTCATCGTCTTCTTGGACGCAATCAGAGCCTGGAACAAGCTAGTAGAAACAGAGAGAAAAGTTGTTTAGAAAACGTCATTTTTCTCTCTTACTTTCTATTTCCGGAAAATAATAGATTCACATGAAAGTATGCAAGCGAATCCCTTTGGAGTGCGTCAACAAGTGTGGAACTAAAGAGATTCCTCGAGAGGAAGTGAGTTGCAGCAAATATTGTGGAAGGCAAGATGAATGAATGGAATAATTTTCATAATTAGTTTGAGACCATCTAGTTTCTGAAATATGGAATTTTGTGGAGGACCTTAACGAATTATACATCTCTTTCCAGAGTATTCAATCTACATGCTAATTCAGAATTGTTCGTCAGGGAGACCACGAAGCTATTCACCTGGTTATGGGTAGAAAACAGTACAGATAATTGTGTGTGGATGTCAAATTCGTCTCCCCAATCCGAAGCTGGGATTGGCCCGACAAGTCCGAACGACTAATGTTTAGCCTGTATAACAATCGTTGAGGAAGGGGAAAGGGGGAGGGCTGGGTCTGAAAGTTGAGTTTTGGCTCAGTCCTTTGAGGGAGGGGGAAGGGAAGGAGGAAGGGGGGAGGGGAGGGTGTATTTCAACGTTTAATTAATCGTGCGAAGATCGAAACATAGGCTCTAGCTCTACTGAGGAGTTCCATAAATCATCAACACTTTTTATGTCATGGGGTAAATAAGTTATGTCGTTTTTTGGTTAGCGTTTATTCAAGGGACAGCGTCCTTGAATTCCTAGGTGGAACGAAACAGCGACTTTAGTAACCATCGTCGTGGAAAAGAATTATCTGAAGTTTGACTTGTCGCCTCTTTTATATCCTATAGATGTCTTTTCATTTGACTGAGTGTCCGCTGGCAATCCATCCATGTCCTTATCAAGACATTGGTTGCGTATTTAAGGTTGGTGTTCTTTGGTAGTATGGTTTTGTTTCTTTTGTTTTTTTTTTTTGACATTCAGTAACGTGTTATGTAATAGTAAATTAGCTGCATTCAGTAACGTGTGCGGCAGACGTCGAGATGTATTGTAAAATGCAACTTGAAGAGGCACATTTCTCCTACGCAAACTTAAACAAAACCATCAATCCTGAGCTAGACTAAAAAATCTGGCCTTATACTCTATGTACTTGGCGCTAAGACGATAGCCTGCAAGTAACCCCTCATTATTGGTGCTGCAGCTGCAGGAGGCGCGTTTCTTCGCCCGCGAGAAGATTGGAGACGAGTCGGGGAGAGGTTTGCCGGAGGGTCTGGCACTAATAATCAGTTTTAGACACCTTACTCAAACCTATCGTCGGCTCACGTTCTTTAAGCTCAGTTCCTGCGGGCGAAGAAACGCTAGACCCGAAGCACTTATAATAACTACCTGCTTACAGGCTTACCAAGAGCCCATTACTTGGGCTCCTGTGGCTATCAAGACGATGGGTGAAGGTGAAGACCAGAGTATGATCACAACCTACTTGGGGAAGGGGCGCGGTCGAGCGGTTTACGGCACTAAATTTGAAATCTAAATGTCCCAGGTCAAAATCAGCGCTACTCTGCGACCCAATTCTTTGCGCGATTTTCCCAAGTTCAGCTCCTCCTGTGCGTTACGCAAAGAGCCAACTGGTTTACCCCTGGCCCGATCAGATATTGAACAATTTCGTTCTTCTTACTGCTTTTGGTAATGTGCCTTGAGGGGCTTCTACAACCATCAGCATAGAAATTATTGATAAATCGGTGAAAATTTTATTATTTATCATCTGATTTGGTCTTAGTTATTAGTTTATCATTTTAACTTGACCTTTCTTAATCAAGAAAGCAAGTTATTGTTTATCTGTCTGTTCTTTCAGGGAAAACGCGACATTCTTGAAGACCATTCTAAGACTGCGGTTCACACACATCTGAGCTTAGCTCTTCTTAAAATTCGTGAAAATGAGAGCCGAAGTACTTGTACAAACGGCGTCTTCATCTGGAAAATCAGCAATTATAAACAACAGTATGAACACGCTGTTGCTTCACCTGAAGACCTGGCTATCTTCAGCCCACCATTTTACTCATGCCAATACGGATACAAACTGAGATTAAAAGCCTATCTCCAAGGCCGTGATCGCGGCAAATCAACGCATTTATCATTGTACATTATCATAATGAAGGGAGATTATGATGCGTTACTTGAGTGGCCCTTTAAGCAGAAGATAACTTTTTATCTCATCGATCAAGGCGAGCAGAAAGCGCATCGTACACATCAGCTCAGCCCGAATCGATCACTACCTAACATTAAAGTTGTGTTTAATCGACCTACTATGAAAGAAAACCTCGGCATTGGTAACCCTTGTTTTGTACCACACGAAATGCTTGAGTCTGGCGAGTTTATCAAGGACGATGCTATCTTTATCAAAGCAGTTGTTGAGCCATCAAAAGCAACTACTTAACTTGTTTAATTTAGGTAAAAACTCGGGGTTAACGTAACTTAATCCTAATTAATCCTTGTTCTTTGTTCAGTGTGTAGCCACAATTGGCAAGATTATATATTAACTGAAAAAGTACAATCTTGGAAAAAGTGTTGTGGCACGTTCCTAAACTTAGAGTTCAAGTTCACCCACCCGTTCTCAATGCACCTCGCAGAGTTGATTTGGGCCAGCGAGGCTTTTACGTAAATGATGTTTTCCAGAAAGCGAGTGTAAGGAAGGACAAAAGGGGGCGGGTCCTGTTCAACAAAATTCTTGTCAGTGAAAATTACTAATAACATGCATATTTCTCTGCAATGTGGTAAAGCTACTGAATTTTATGAAAACAAATTCCGACGAAATCAAAACAAATTTACTGATGAGACGATCGATCACCCTGGATGAAAAAGCTCACTAATGCGGCGCAGATGAGCTTCAGGTTAACTACTACATAAATCCAACGTTTGTGAAAAATAAATAAAGAGAGCAAGAAAGAAATGATAGTGTTATTACCGGTCCGTTGGGGAAACTATCGGCATTCATGTAGGAATTCTGCTTTTAACATTAGAGATTACATGTAGTGATGAGGAGTTGAGCCGTGCCGGCTTACTTCAAAAACTAATTTTTTAGAATACAATTACATGGTCTGCTAACTTTTTGTGATATTGGAGAAGATCGTTATCACTTCAACCAAAGATCTTCCACTTATTGTTTGTAAGCAATGATTTAAAATTGAAAAATACAATACTTATTTCGTTGATTCGGGCTGAATTTCTGGAAACGTTACTGATGATGACAGAAAAAATACGCTGTAATCAAACGAACAGTCCATTTCCCCGGAGGGTGTTAATACATGAAGCGTGACGCTACGTGTCCAAATAATTACTATGCACATCTATTTTTTCAAGTTTTTCTGCGTTTGTTTTACGATGTGAAGCGAATGGCCGCAGATACATGTATATGGCTGTTTTATCAACTTATATTTGGGCAGTAACGCTGTTCTCGGTCACTGGAGCTTGGGTAAGGATTTTTTAACATCTTCAAGTTATCTCTGTTGAAAATAACGAATCTAAGCATCTATCTTATACGTATATGTTCAGCATGTTTTGTCTCGTCGGCGCTCAGACGCCATGTTAATTTATTAGGTTCAAATTAAAAACCTAGTGCGCAAAAAGTGCGTTTTGACCTAGCTTACCACAAGTTAAGTCGAACTTTTTGCGAAAACAATCGTTCAATTTTGCGGTTTTGCAGGATAGCTGAAGATTGGTTAAATAATTTTATCATGACTTGTGCTATGTTTTGTTTAAAAATAAAGCATTTCTAAGTTGTTTTGAACCTAGTCAATAGGATTTTTTTAAAATCATAATGGCTTTGAAGACGATCATGTGTTGAATAACATTTAACATTGCATGATACCGTACAAAGTTTCAAATGTGCCTATGGCAAATGTGCCTATGCGGCTCTACAATTCCCGTTGCAAGTCGTTGCCCTAAGGGATCTTCGTGCTTTGAAAATATGCGCTCCTAATCTTTCAAACTTCGATATTATCTCTGTCTAGTATGAAATAGCGAGAAATTTGAGAAATTTGAACATTAATACGTAGTATTAACTGATTTCCTTAAGTTAAGAGAGGAAACCCAGAAAATCACACATTGATCGACCTCAGTTTTAACGTGAGTTCAGTTGTTGATCTCCTCATCGTGTTCTCTCCTTCTTTGACCATACAGGTGGATGGTTCCTATTACTGCAGAAGTGACTGGTAAGTTTTCATTGTGTTTCAAAATCAATCCAGGATTGCCTCGCTTTACACCATCATTAGTTTGGAAACACAAACCCCCCACACAGCCAATTAGATGCAAATTAAAACTAAATTCAATCGCGACTTCGACACTTACCGTTTTTCCAACCCTTCAGCCTTAAGTCTTGCTCATACTTTACAAGTTCCACTTTTTTTCCCCAGTGATGTTTACCTTTCCATCTGACGCCTGACCATCGTAACTTTTGCTTCTCTTTTACTTTTTAACAACTGAACGTTCAATCGCAATGCACTGTACACGTCTAGTTGTAGCTTATATAACACGTAGTCAACAGATCTACTGTCCTTCATAAGGTGGGCCAGAATTATCGAGGCATACTGTGAGGAGCAATAGGGAATTGGTTTGGTTTATGACAATGTTGAAGAAACCAAAAGTAGTTTTCATTGAAAGTAAACTCAACCTGTGTTCAACTTGATTGATAGGTGAAGTTATTAGAACCTCCTTGACTGAAGTAGAAAATTTGGAAGGTTAACATCCCAACATGTAATGAGTTCTGTTGACTTCTCCCTTCTTTTTTGTACTCATGATGTATTCTCTCTTTAACTTTTGGTGACAAATTTGATTTGACATGTTCAACATGATTACTGATTCAACATGGAATATCAAGCTAGGCTGATCATAGTAAATAATACTTAAGTTTATTTTTTTCATGTAGGTGTAATTATAATGAATATTGCTGTGGTGATGATATATGCTGTGACTATCTCACTGGCTACTGGTATATTTGGTAAGTTTTCAGCCCCATTTCAGGACTGAATCAATTTTCATTACCTTCTTTAACCATCAGTGGCCATAAATCTTAATTCAGGGAGTAGGGCTAAGGATACTTGATAAATTTATATGTAGGTGGGGGTAGGGACTGTAATTGTAGTAATCATAGGCTTAAGTTGTTTGGAAAGGTTACAAGTGATTTGGAATGCAACTGATGTTGTAAAGAAGTACAAATCAATTAATTATTTCAAAACTAAGAAAAATTGCTCAACAAATAGGCCCAGTGCTTTATTCCAAATTCCAAAAAAGAAAAAAAGAAAAATACACTCAGTCACCTTTAAAAATAATGCTAACACATTTTCAACTTTTTACTCTCAATTTAATCTTTGTGCAGTGTTCCAGATGGTTTGACATGCTCTCAGCCAAATAGTTTATAAAAATATTTGCTTGTCTTAATATTAAGAGCAAAATCTTCTAATTTTCAGGCTTATGACAGGACTTCTGCTGTCTACTCTGATGTTAGTATGCTGCTGGTTGCGTTACCACAGATACCACTCCAGAGAATCTATTGAGTCAGCAAAATTAGGCTACGTTCCTGTACCTGGGGCTGTGATGACATATGGGGATGAGTATTTCATTCACCAACAGCCACGTCAGGCACCATTGGTGCGTGAACCTCCACAGTTCAAAGCTGCATTGGAATATGCAGCACAACAGCATGAGAGTTCAAGATATTATCCACCTCCTTATAACTATATAGAGAGACGGACACCAAGTGCCCCACCTGAACCTAACAAATGAATGAACTAACTGCTGTGATCAGTTCTGTGCAAATGGTCAAATGTTTTCAATACTTATAATAATGATGATCCCTGCTGGGAATAATTTTCCTAGTAGAGCCATTCCATGGCTTTGCCCACCTTGAAAAGTTTAGCGCAAATTTGTAAAGTTATTATTGTTTCATTGTGATGTAGCCTGGTAGTTAAAGGTTTCAATCTGTTTATAAGGAAATTCTCTGAATGTCCAAATGTTCCAAAGTCTTTGATTTACCTGACTTGACCTTAATGCAATAACTACTGATCACCACAAGACACTGGTATCTATCAAGGCAAAGAGTGGTTTGTGGCAATCAGAAATAATAGGCTCAAGAATATACTTTGATAACACTGTGGCCAGAGATATGCAATTATTATGTCAGTTAATTTAAGGCTTACTGCAACCTGAAAAAATTAGCCTGAGCCTTTAGATTGGGATCAAGTTGCTCTTCATTACAGTAATATTGAGAAATTAGGGAGGAAATGATAACAATAAGCAGTGAGAGTTTAAGTTGCCATCATTTGAGATTCATTAAAATTTAACTTCAGACACAAACATGTGTTAGGCTTTGTAAAGGGAACATTTTTGAAATGAAATCAATTCAACTCTGATGGTCTCTATAAGAAAAATCTCAACTTTCTTAAAGGTATTTGTCAAAAACTAGAAGAAAAACAGTTTGGAAAACATTTAGCTTTAATTCTACAAAATAAGGAGGTGCTAAATATTTTTGTCAATTTTTTTAACCTCAGAAAGAGAAAACTTAAAATAAAGTTTACTACCTGTATTTATTGTACATTGTCTTTTTCTCTTAAATAAAAGACTTACAATAATTCTATATTTTTAGGAAATTTTAGCTATTTTTTGGTACGCTTTCTCTTTGGCTTGCTTCCTTCATGCGTTGATTCAACTGTTGGCTGAAGGTGTCTCATACTTCTTGTAACCTTAAAAAAGAGTTATTTTTTTGTGAGTTCAGTTAATAATTAAACCTTTTTACCCACTTGCTCTGTGGATGTGCCACTGGAAAAGTTTATTTCAACTCTGGTTACCTTTCATAAGTCCAACAAAAGTGACATTTTTTACAGAAAAAATATAACTTGAATAAATTTGAATATAATCAATGGTATTGTATACTGACCTTGGATGCTGTGGAAAATGATCTCTTCTTTATGTCTTTTATCCTTGAGCTCTTTGATATATTTTTCTGCGGAGAGAAATCCTTAATATTTTAGTAATATCAAGTATTAAAAGAACACACATGCCAAGACAGGTGATGAGGTGACGTTTAGTCAACATAACAGCTCTAAAAAACAATTACACCACCTGAACTTTAACTGTTATTAATTATTTTAATAATTATCAAAATCATAAAAAAATTTGTCTGGCTTTGTTCAAAATTCCAATTTCTGCCTCATCCTCTATCCTGGTTCTGAAAGTATATTCTGTCAATATCGGGTTCTTCAAGTTTGTCTTCAATCTGAGCTAGTTATCCTTTGACTCCCAGAAGTGATTAACATGTAACTTCTCCTTATGATATCCACATGTTTTCTAGCAAATGGTTCATGAGAATTCTAAAACTTATCAGGAAGAAGATTTTCCCTTGATCTTACACCAAGTTCTCATTATTAATTTACAAGGAATTGTGCAGCAGCACCAGGAGAGAATTAACAGTCAGATCTTGGGAGTTAAAGGGTTTTAAAAATACATGACCCCTCTTTGTATCTGGTTTTTATTCTCCTCTCTTTTCACAATTTAACAGTTCTAATCAGTAAAAATGTTTGAGCATAAATAATAAATTTATGAGCTTGTTTGTTTACCTGACTGACAGCTGAGGTCCCAGGACAGGCCTCCTCATTTGTCGTTGTTGTTGTTGGTTGGGTTTTTCCTGATTGAACACTATTTGCATCTGATAATGATGTCCCAGTTTTCTTCTCCAATACATGCTTTTTTAAAGAAACAAATGACCAGATGAAAGATAAATTTTTATCAAAACTTGATTCAATTGTTAGTCACTCACATTTAAGTTTACAATATAGTTATAATTACTATAGTCAAGGTTGATTTTGAAAATTTAGGTAATGCAAGCTTTTTTTGACAATGTGTTGTTATACTGAGGGGGGGGGGACACAACATGTCTAATACTTGAAGGCAAGGTGAGGCAGCTTGGGGGGCAACAAGGCCTAGGAGGAAGTGTTACCCCTGACATCAAAAGACTACACCTTGAACCCATGGAAACAGACTTCTGAGAAAATCTTACCAATCTTCCACTTTGCTCTAACAAGTCTAAGATGAACTTCTGAACTGCAATCTTTTAAAATTATTTTGAAATGGCCTTATATAAATTATAACTCTTGCCCCCAATTTACATTCTGTTATGTTCTCCAAATTAATGTTCTAGGAAAATGTAACTTGTAGAATATGACACATAACACACTTTCAAATCCATACCTTCTGACATTTCATTCGCTTCCACTCATCAAATTTTTGCAATTCACTTGGGAGAGAAAAAATTCTCATTAATTCACAATAAACTTTAGCTTATCTAAAGAGAACTGCAAAACAACTTCAGGCTACAAACTGTAGGAGAAGGAAAAAGGTTATTAATAACTAAAGAACTTTTCCTTAATACACTGTATGACATAAGTTAAGATTAACATACTCTCCTCCAGTTTAATTCAGTGATATCACACTGTTTTTGCATGCAGTTTACAAAGGACTTTTGTTGAAAAGTTTTCAAAGTTACTTCTGTCAGTATACTTGGCATCAGATAACTCAGTACATCAAAACACTGTCTTTATTGATTAGTTAAAGTTTAACCAACCTGGCAACATCTGTCACCATTTCTTCAGATATTGCATTAAATGACCTATCTCCACTAATGAGCCTTGTTTCTTGTAACTTGTTCTTTAATTCTTTGTAGTTGTTGTGAGCTTCTTGTAAATACTGTGACAAACAAAGCACTTGTAAGCAAACAAAGAAAATTTGTCTTAATCTCTGGAAAGCAGGACAAGTTGTAAAGATCAATCAACAGCTTTACAAAGATTGACATATCATAAAGAAAGATGTTTTTTTTCTGTCCTCATGAGGAATCGAACCTTGGATCATCAGATTCCGCGCTCCGATGCTCTACCACTGAGCCACAGAGACTCCATGGTGAGTGAGGTCTATTACAAAGTTCATATATGACATGCATCCTGCATACTGCTAGGATCAGCAATGTTGATAGCGTAATGTTTGTAGATAGAAATGAGAGAGATGGTAAGTTTGAAATATCTTGTTAAAATCAATTTTAATGTTTACCTCCATTGCTCGAAACCTTTCTTCCACAGTTTCATTCACCTCATCAATCAAAGTAGAACTTTGACCTTCATCTTGGCCAGTAATAGTTTCTCTGGAACCATAGGAAAGCTAAAATATACATGAAATGGCTAAAAGTCAATGTTACCGTCAGTTTTGATTTTTTCACATTCACTCTAGTCACCTACTTCATCTTTAAGATGCTTTTGGCAGTTCATTTACTATGAAAACCTCTGGGAAAACTGTAAAATCCTGGTAATAGGAAAAATCCCAGAAGTTATACAAGTTTGTAAAGTGGCTACAGGAAAGAATAGTTATAACTTTTTCTGTGGATCAAAGTGGCAATCCCAGGCTGGATCAAGAACAGCAAATCAGAACACAGGATTGACCTCATCTCTCCTACTTCTGCCACTAGGTACCCGGGCTGTCACTAACAGCTATAACATGTTATACAGCCGAGCTCACTTGATGTACTAAGTGAAGAGGTCAATTGCTGTCCTATGACACCTGGGCAAGTATTACACTGCCACAGGTAATATCTCTGATGTAACAGCTGCCCAGGTGCAAAGAGAAAGCACTTGGTCACTTCTAATGGACTGTTAAAATCTCTTTTCGAATTATTGTCCTGTGTGAAACATAGGGAGAAGATGATGGCGGATCAAAAGCCATTTAGGGGTTAATTCCCAGCAGCCTTCACTTACTTTGTTTAAATAAGCATGAAATTCAATTTTTTTTACCGGAATTGGCATAGCAACAAATAAGAAAGCCTTTCCATTGTTCAGAAGTCTCAAGATATAATCAGCATCATGATGCTAGAAAAAAACAATAATAATAAAAAAATGATTGATGCTAATATTAAAATAATGAGTATAATAACATTGGTAATATCACATGAAGACTACATTGTTGAACACATTGTGTATAACTTCCTTAAGAGACGTCCTAAAGAAATGTATGCATAAATCATCAAAGTGCAGTATTGTTTAGGAGAGGAGCACTAGTCCAGGGTTAAACTGGGAAAGCAAATTTACTAAATACTTTGTAATATCACTATTCATTCATTTTTTAGTTAAGGTTATGCTGATTATTCATATTGTGCACTCAGAGGGGTACAAAAAAAGTAAAAAAAAAAAGGGAAAAGTCTATACTCAAGACTATTGGCCCACCCAGCCAAAGTTTATCCTGATTTTGCTAGAGCATGAAGTGACTAAGAGTATCACTACTCCCCCCCTGAAAGGGATGCTAGTCCATTACAAGGTTACCCCCTTCCCTGAATGTCATCAGGCTTCCCTTACAATTTGTTGGTATTCATTTATACTCTTGGGTGGAGAGGCAATGTGAGAGGAAAGTGTTTGCCCAAGAACAAAACATGTCAACCCGGCCAGGTCTGAATCCTGGACCTCTTAACTGGAGTCCACTGGGGTCGATAGGGTACCAATAACGTCATTATCTTGAATAATCAGAGTTGGTATCAGCAATACAGCAATTCTGTATCACCTTTTGCTCAATGATTTGTTTATGAAGTTCCTTGAGGTCCCTCATCATCGATAATGTCATTCGAATCTGTAACAAAAAAATATTACAATTAATCTATCAAGAGAACCTGCAGACTGGATGATCTCCTTACAAAAACACAACACAGAAAACGAAAACTGCAGTAGATTACCTTCACTTTTGGTTGGCAAAGCTGTGTATGATAGATGGCATACAGAGCATAAAGAGCTCCAATACGACACTGAAAGCTACTTGGAGTTGATTCAAGGTAAGTGCTGATGATACGAAACAAGTAGTCTACAAGCTGTAACAGAATTAAACAAAAAAATGATAAACCAGGTTGCAATTGATTTGCATAGTTTTGCGCTGAAATTTCGTATCATAAGAATCACTTTGTATGACAATGTATTACACCTGTATTCTTCGGTCGCCATCTCTTCCACCGCTGGAAAAAACGAAAACAGACATCGATTGAGCTCATAACTGGACGGCCTAATTCTAATAATTTATATTGAAGACAGCTTGCAGAAAAGAGAACCAGCTTCTATTGTCAGATCAAATACTATCATCTTGGAGAAAATTCTTACCAGTGTATTAAAGAGAAGTTCATCTCTCTCCATACTTCACAAAATTTTTCAAATCTTACAGTGTTTAGGCTCTCAAACCGCGACAATAACAAACGACAATCTGCGATCAAACCTTCCGCCATTATTTATCCTCTTTAGTCATCGCCAAGCTACCACAGCCAAGAAAAATCATGGCGCTTTTGCAACCTGGGCACCAGGCGCGCTCCTTGAAAATCACCGAAAAATCTGTAAAAGTTAGTTAACTGACTTGAGTTTGATGAAGTGGAGTAGGTGGTTTTGCGTTTTTCAGGACGTTACACAGCCTTGCTAGTTTCTTCATGGCTATGAGGAGCAGTTTGACGGCTCCTCAGTATTATGCGGGACTGCGAAAGGATGCGACAAACCATGATTGTTACATTGTCTGCTTACAGACTTTCCATTGACAACGCTGTTTCCCGTATTTAATTTTTCGTCTTCAATTTCGCGCCGTTTCGCGCCAAATGACGCTCAGCTCAGATCTGGTCATAGTTTGCTTATTTTTCAGTTAAGCGGGGAAACTATGGAGTACCTCCAAGTTCTCTTTGAAACTTCATTTCCAATAGTTTTTATCTGTGGGTTTTTACTTCCAAAAAATATCTTTTGATCACCAATCTAGTAGGGTCCAAGCGTTCAGATATTAAAACGAAACCCGATAGTTAACGACGGTCAGTTCGGGTCGGGTGATGATGTTAAAAAAAAAAAAAACATCAAGTTTCCCGATTCAGGGAGGTTGCGAATGTCGGCCATGAAGCAAGAACTCCACTCTGCTACAAATGAATGCAGATTGTAAAACTGATACTCTGACGTTCAGCTTACAGCTGGCTGAAAAAAAAAAAAGGGTCGAAACTTGCTTCTCTTGATGAATAGAAGTATTCCCTGGAGCGGAAACCACAATCAAACTTTTGTCTCGAATTCGAAAGTGTCAAATTTTCTTACAGAGTTGACTGAACAACACATCGTAAAATCCGGCATTACATTGAGGTGTAAAGCTACTCAGAATTGCCAAAAATAAACAAACTTAGATATCAAACCGAATTATATTATAATTAAGCGATGTAAGATGAATAAATTTATACGTATTATTGATTTATGGAAAAAGGAAGCTAAGTAAAGGAAAGAGAAAAGATGTGCATATCTCTGAGAAACACTAGACTCGACAAGATAATTGCTTTCGAATTTTTTTTATTTCTTGCTTAAACAGCCGCTGATCATGAGATAGGCTTTTTTTAAATTCTTTATGTAAATTATTCTAAATATAGAAGGACTACATGGGTGCAAATGATTTTTTCTTTAATGAGCACCGATACGATTAATATGATATGTCTACGTTGATACTAGCCTTATGAAATTAAAGATCAAAAAATGAAAAAAATTGTTATTGTAGTTGATGACAGAAATTTTTTTAAAAACTATTTCATCACGGTTGCTTACCGTCGAGATGCTTTTCATTGCATCTTGGACCTGATGACTAATATCTATGACTGATATTGACTTTTTACAGGACCAGAAAAATACTGTATAAAAATGGCTGCAAAAGTATAAATATCGTTTGATTTATCTAGCTTCAAGGTACAGAGTTCACTCCATCTAGAACACGGTATTTCGAAATCGAACAGTTCTTGGATAATCAGTCGGTCGGAATCTAGAAGTAATGGTGTGAATATAAAAAAATTTGATTGGGATGGTAACTTGCGTCACGAAAAGTACGGAAAGTGATATTCATTCTAATATGTGACAACGGATTTTAAACGCATTCTTGAGGTGACACAAGCGCATTGAAGTGGCACAAAGGTTGGATAAAGCTGACAAATGTGAATTACGACTGAATGGCCGAGCGACTGAAGACTTATCAGACAGATTTTCTCTCGTTCAAACAGAAAGCACTGCGTATCCAAGCCTGTTACCAACGGAGAGAACCAACAATTTTGGAAATGGAGGTCAGTTTTTTTCGTAAACAGAGACAAGTGTTTTATGCCATTGAGCGGGCTGATGATCAAATTATTGAATGCGATACTTAATATTCGTATGCATCGATGCCGTGCTCTATCCTCAACTTTACTAAAACATAATGTTATTATTACTATCGATTACATTGATCAAATCTCAAAACTCCTGCCAGTAATTTCTTGCTCAACCAAGAAGCTTTCTTCACAGATCAAACTGCGATGTACAAATTACGAATCAAAATGGCTGCTCTGAAATAATCTATTACCCGTTAGGACTGTCAACAGAAAACGTCGAAAGGAAATGTTTAGCACTTACGAGCGATAAAAAAAACCAGGAAATGAAAAAACGCAAATGGCTTCTCGGAAATTATTGGCCAGAAATGATTTCTGCAATAAGAGGAACATTTGAGAAAGCCAGTTCTCTCTTATCTTTTTTTCCATAAAATTCTCTTTCTATAGGGTAAAATAGAATAATCATAACAATCAGGTGATCTAACCGCAGATATTGTAATTGTTTTACTGTTGTCAAACTCTGTTCAGACCAGTCTTGAACTGAATGTGCCTTTGCGGAACAAGGAAATTAACACTGTCAGTATCAAACTTGAATATCGATAGACAGTTACTGGGGTTAGAAACGTGCGTGACAAACGTTGAAAAAAAAATATACGTCCATATTCAAAAAAGAGAAGAAAGAAAAAACACTTTTGTCAGGGACGGATGGGTAGAATGCAGAGAAAGGCTTCATTCGAGACGGCTGAGGGTTTTTTCTGTTCCAACTTAGAAAAATAAAGCCGCTTTGTGACACTCATTGATCGATCAGCCTGTCTAGTCGAGAATTGTGGAACAGTATACACATGACAACAGGCACCTTGCTGTTGCTCATGATCCTCGATTAGGTACAAATGAGGGCTGTAAAACAAATCTCCTTTCCCTTCCCTAGTGAGAAATGAATTGAGAAATAAGTCAATTATCATAAAAAGAGTTTATAGAAAAAAATTGTTGAATATTCAAAAAGTTAAGAAATTAACGAACAACCCAACGAAGTAATTGCTATTAAAACAGATGGATTAATGAATTATTGAATGAAAATGATGACTACACAAACGAATGCTATGCAAATTGCGTCGCTAGAAGCTTCTGTTAAAGTGATTTGAAATGAAGGTCAATAGATGCTATGTTCAAAAGGTAAACTTCAATCTGTTCACAAAATCATGAGACATTTTTCGAAGCCGGATTTTTTAAACCCCAGCTGTCGGATCGTTTCGATGTCGTTTCAGTTGCCGATCATTTGCATTGAATGATAGCCAATGGATTTGTCAGCTGATTTATTTGCCCCTGCTAAATTGTTGTTGTTCTAAAAGGAATTCGAGGAACGAAACAATTTATTGTTTAAGATGAAGAATAGCTTATTGTTCGAGTGGCGTAAACATTTTAACAGACTTGACTAACACTTCCTATCCGGATAAGAAGCTTTGTGTTGGTTTCAGTTTGAGCGGAAGCGAGGCTGAAGCGCTACATCAAAGTATTAATTTGGTGACATTACGCAATAATCCGGAAAACTGTAGAAGGATTATTAATAAAAAGGTTGCCCTCGTGGGATGACCTTGAATGAAATTAATCATATATAAATAAGTTTTATCAGCATCCAGTCGAACTAAATTTTACGTTAGAAAAAGAGAGAGTTAGATTATTCTAGAGTCATAGATCAAAGAGGTTTCGTATGAAACTACGATGGGTTTGTACTTCGGATTATTGCTCAATCGCCGGCCAGATTTGGGGGGGGGGGGGAAAGGAGTGTAACTCATCCAGATTATTTACCTTTATCTTGGTACCAGATCCTAAACAGTTGCTAAGCTGATCTATAACAGTTACTTTCTTGCGCTATCGCATTAGAAACCTCATGTTGATAATGAAGATGTGTTGGTGTAAACCATTACGGTGGCCTCTGATTTTTTTGTTACGTTATAATCGGTGATGGCGAACTTCCAAAAACAGAAAGTGAAGTACTGGAGAAGATACAAAAGCAATGTAATAAATATACTAAAAAGATTTTGCAAAGCTCTATATGTTCAATTTTCTCGTAATTATTCAGCTACACTTGCATAAGATGCAGAGTGCTGGCTGTACTTCACACTTAAGATACATCAACTGATTAGCAAAATTTTTATAGTTTTTTTTTATTTTTATTTTTTTTAAGTTTATTGTTGTTTGTGAAGTTGAAATTTTTTCTCTAATACAATCATCCGGTATTTTTGTTCATTTTGATGGAAGAAGTCTGCCTCATTGGTTATTTACAGTGGTTTTTGATTTGTATGCTATTCCTGATGCTTAAAATGATGGGACAATTTTAGACACTTCCCTTTCCATTTTTTCCACACAAATAAGGAACCGAGCGATTCGTGTGATGTAGTCGAATGGAATTGCGTAAATAAATTTGTTAACTGCTAGATGATGTCACAGTCCATGTCAGACTAAAAAAACGTCCATCAATAATTATAAAAATCAAAATGCGTATTATGAGATTAAGACAAAGAGAGTTAAAGATGGGCACGGAAACTCGTGTCACATCTGAATCGAAGAATGATCGGTCATCGTCATGCTTGTTCAAAATTCTTTCAATTTCATACGATTTATTTAGGGATGACGGTTTTACTCATAACATAGAAAAAATCTCGAACATGCTCTCTCTTAATGTCAGTTTTTTAATGAATTTGTTCTTGAGAGTTTTAAATATCTCTTAGCGACCCATGCAAACGAAAGCTATTTCGCAGAATGACATCATGTCATTATGACTCCCACACCTCCCTACTAAGTCGCACGTGACCAAAATTTAATGACACACATAATAGCGCTTCTTGATTGGTGGTTTGAGTCACGTGGGAGGTCGTAACCACAAAATCCACTCAAATTTATTCATAGTTTCATAACAGAATGATTCGAATTGGTATCTTTATCGTTGAGGAATGATTCTTTCGTTGTGTGGCAATACACCGTTGTACGGCGAAGGATTTGGATTTAATTTGGCGCCGAAAACATGAAGGTTACGGTGTGTTTTGATGCTGTGCGTGTCATCGTTCCGTGCGGGAATGGCGAACTTACTGTCACTGAGCTTATAGAACGAGCGGTTTCGAGGTATCGCAAAGCTACAAACAAGGCAAGTATACGGTCTGTTTATAAAGTGTCTCTCTCGACAGTTAAGCACTGCTGTTGCTTAAATTCTGTTCTCAACTGTCTCGCCCTTGTCAACTTTCGATAGAGACCGAGTCACGATTATTACTTGTGTAATTCGGATTTGAATTGCCTAAGGGTCTATTAGAATCTCATTTTTGAGTACCACAGCTTCGTGCGTTTGTTTTTTCTCTGGGTTTGAATTGTATTCAAACTAAACTTTCTTTACCCACGAATGCTAATGTCTTTTGGTTCAGTTTGGTCGCACTCTCTCGAATAACTTGTATAAGTCCGATTTCCGGCGCACGGTCGATGGAGCGTTCGATTGAAGTCCTACCAAATTTAGCCAAGCTGTGAGTTTAGAGGTTTGTATCGAACTAGCAAATGGGATTTAATTGCCTCAGGTCGGTTTCTAAATATTAGATTTTCATCGTTTGATGGCAACATTAAATAAACTACAGATTCCGGTAAAAGGCTTCAAATATTCTTGATTTTTCGCTTTGCCGGAAAACTTCGTCGCCTAAAGGGTTCTACATTGTTTGCAGCATAGCATATCGATTTATTATATCTTCGCTTCTAGTAAATCCACAATCGATATATTGCGGTGTAATTTCTCTTAAACCTAACAATGAGAGCTTATTTATCTGACAAATTTTCTGCTTTCCTTTATTCTAAGTGTTGGTTTTAAATGTAGCTCTTGTGCCCGGCTTTGGTCAGGGAGGTTAAACTCAAACACAATTTACAACTTAACACTGGTTTTCTTTAAGGGTATGACTAATGTTCAAGGTTACGTTGACTAGATTTTCAGCGATAAAATTGCTTTTTTGAGGCAGCAATTGTGCAGTGCGATCTTTTTAACCAAATACTCATTTATATTTGCTTTATTTGCAGCCTGCAGATGAGCACGTTCAAGTGCATTTTCTTGAGACCAGCGATGATCGTGCTATTCTCGATCCTGACGATATACTCAGTGATGTAGTCGACGACAAAGATAAGGTACTATTATCCTTTCCTTCTCCGATTTCATGTCTATCGTAATGTTTTTATAAGGTATCACTCGCTTAGATTAAATTTAAAATTACACATTTATAAATTCCGATTGCGTCCTGTGTTATTGAAATTTATTACGCTGAAATGATCACTTTGTTTGATAGCGTGACACGCTTTACAACTCTAGTAGCAGAATTTTTTCCTATCAAAACTAGAACTGTTGTTTTTATCCTGTCCAATTCCACATCGGAAGTTAATCTGTTGAGGTAATTTAGGAAATTTCAAATCAATTTCGTAAGAAGATCAGTATTTTTGTTTGTTTACTGAATTTCAAATATGAAAACCTCCTGTTGAGTCGTGTGAAAAATTTTGTCTCTTTTCCAGACAATTTATTCATGAATCATTGTAACAAATTTAACAATGTCCCTTGTTCAGGACAGATTTACTTGTGGTTTTGACTTTGCTTCCTTCTGTAATGAATTGATCCGGGTAATTTTGTTCCTCATTATGAATTGTGAAATGTGCTTGTCATTACAAGTAAAATTTGTGTGCATGCATTGTATTTTGTGAGAAAAATCCGTGATTTTGAGAACCAATTTCTGCTAATTTCAACATATGTTTTCTTTGTTGATAATGTTATTCTCATCTGCATTTCTCAGTTTCAAATATTTTATTATTTATCACCTTGACTTGAAGATTTTACACATACACACATTCCAAGGTTTTTGTATTTCAATTGCTTAGACAGAATGATGCAACTTTCACATGTCAGTTTGTGCCTGCTAAATTGAGTTGGGCCTTAAATGCTGCAATGTTTTAAAACTACTGAATACTTACATAGCTTCTGGGAGACTTAATTACAGACTTAATTACAGAGTATTGGCTCATAATGAAGAAAATCCAACAGACTGTTCATGAAAAAATTAAGAGTATTGTGTCTGCCCTTTGAGAGTTTTGTGCCAGTATTTCAGACATGACAATTGATTCAGGCATTCAATTAAAGGGTACTTGTTGTTTTAATGTTGACCTCTGAAACTGAGACCATGAATGGACCACTTCTTCTATAGTGGTCCATTTAAGGGTTGATGTGACAAGATCTTTGTTGTCGCTATAAAGAAGGGTTAAATTTGCCATTATGATTTTCTAGTCCCAAATTCACTTGTTATATGGCAAAGGTTGTTTCCATAAGCGATCAGTATTCAGTAAATGTAGGACCTAGTTATCTTAAACACCTCTTAGGCTGGCAAGAGATGGAAATTTAAGAGCTTAGTCAGGAAGACTGTAGAAGTTAGCCATCTAAGTCCCATTAGGATTCATGTCTACATTGATGTCATAATTTGGGTAAGGAGTATAATATCTGTGACGGAACAGAGAAACAATGCTGTGCATATCTGAAGCTTACTGATCTTACTATTTACATGATTATCGTTGGTGGTGTTGTTGTTTTTCTTTTCTGTGGATTTTAATATACAAATGTTACAAATGTTATTATGCCATAATCCTTGCATAACTGGATCAAAGTCCATAACAAGCTTTTTTGTTCACCATGTGTAGAGTTTCCTTTCATGACACTTTTTACCTTTTTCAATGGTACTATACAGGTTACTGATTCTACTTATAAATGGGTCACCAACTGTAGCTTAAAATTCTCGAGTGGAAGTGTGTTGTGTACATGTCTAACAATACCAACCTGTTTATGTATTTTTCAAGGTTGTGTAACTACAAGCAGGTTAATATTTTTTAATCCCAGTGCAACCTAATATCTTATGCTATCTCTAAGGATAAGTTAACTCCTGAAGTGTATCTGTGTAAGGTTTTTATTGAATCATAAGTGCTAGTTAGGTATTTACTTAAAAAACTTAGTTGTATGGGAGGATGTTAATTTGGGGCAAGCTCTGGCAGCTTTTCTTCCAGCCTTGTGGTTAGTCTCAGTGTATGAAGGGTTTCCTCTAATTGAGTATTTGAGTTACTCTGTGTTATTGGAGTGTCACTAAACAAAATAAGTTAACTTGGGCACCTCTGGCTTCTCATTGCAAGTGATTGACTGGATGGAAAAATTGCACTGCAGAAATTCTTGTAAAGAGTTTTTGACCAGTGGTGTTGATTCAAACTTACTTGCTCATAATATACTTTGTGTATAGTTGTTTTGAACTTTCAACGAAGAATCTAAAGAAAGACTTACTATGATGTCCAATCACTCGCTTGTCTTAAAAAACCTGAGACAGTCCAGCATTATCCCTAGTTTTTTTTATGATACTGAATGATGTTACAGTTGAAGAGATACGGGAAGTGACCTTTGGAAAGTCATGATTCTTTGATCCTGAAGGCTAACTACTTGTACAACAGACAACAAAGTCCACTTAGACAGTACAATAGTGTCTTTGTACAGCTTGTGAGCTCATTAATTTGTCTTTCTTAGCTTCCACTCCTAACTATTAATTTTGTGGCAGACTAGTTTTCAGTATTTGGTGTTGTATATAGCTAAGTAGCTGTGTATGAATATGTTCACAGGATTAAAATACTGGTTTCTCCAAAAATGATGGCTTCTTGGTTTGGGTATTGTTTAAAAGCTTTTACAAAAGATTAATTGTTTTGGCTGAGATTCTCCTTTCAGGTACTAATAAGTGGCATGATCCAAATTCACATAAAACAACATGTGTGTGTTTGTTCAACCATTGTAGATACATAGATAGACCAACCTATCTTTTTTCACTTTTTCAGCTGTTGCTGAACTTTGATCAAAGGGTTCTGACTTTAATATGATTAACAGTGAGCTTGATCATTTAACATGGTTTTTTTTTATTTTGGGACCCATGCTGTTTTAATTCATGAGTAGTTAATTGGAAACTGCAAAAAAAAATATAGGCTATGTGAAATGATGAATATAATAGATGGTTGTTGAAATAACCTTGATATGTGTGGGTGTTGATGGCTAAAATTGTGTAATGTGCAAATCAATGAATGTTGTAATGTTTTATTATAAACTGAGGTTGTTGATGACTATATTTGTGGAACTTTACTGCTGTGTCTGAGGTGATGTTGCTTGAATGGATTAAGTGATTTTATCCAATTTTTTTAATTAATATTGGGAAGTTCTATGGAAGTGTATTTTTGTTTTCACATGTCTTTTAGCTTTCACCTATTAAAGTAAGTGAAAATTCTTAATTAAAAAAAGTGACCCTTTCTATTGCTAGACAGCTCTAACAGAAGACATTGATTGCTTCATTCCAGAAATTTTTCTAATTTTATTTCTTGACAGTTAAGTCAAATTGTCATTTAATTGTTTGCAAACTATTCCTAGAGTGTTTGCCAATAATATCTCAGCGAGATTGTTATGCAAAATATTATTGATAGAAGTGCCAGAATTATTTTTCTTGGCAAGAACTTATTGGATAAAAACATTACAAAGATGTCACTTTATACCATATTGTTTTAACTGCAGCATACACAACTCCTGGAGTAAAATAAACAGAAATTAGTCTTAAAACTGCCTTATATGGTTTGACAGAATGGGCTTTTGGAAAACCTTTTTAAAGTTAATTGTTTTTACTTTTTGTTGACATTTCTGATGTCAAATCAATTTCATACTCTCAAGATGGTCATAGTATATTTCAATATGGTTGCTTTTCTGGCTAGAATGTCATTAGAAAGAATGTAAAAATTCAAAACCTCTCTTTTATTGTCAAAGTATTTAGCCTGAGGGGATTGTTGGAGACATTAAACAAAAATTTAAAAAAAAAAACTTTTGATGGGTAGGATACTTAAAAATGAAAATTTGCATTGTAACTTAATCACTGCAAAGCTTACAGCAATTGTTATTAGTAATTAAAACACATGTTATAGGTTTTATAATTTTCTCCCTTTTATTTTGATAAAATGTATATAAAGTGGGAAATTATTGTTGATCTTTACTCAGTTTTGACCGTAAGAGTGGTCCTGCATTTTTAATGGTTTGTTTGCAATAGCATGAGTTAAAAATTGGTTTAGCAAATTGCTGGTTCAAAGCTAGTTAGAATATTTGGTTTTTTAGCCGATTGTACATTTTGAGTCGACTTCATCTTGTAACATCTTGCTCTTTCAATTACTTGGTCATAACCCATTAACTTCAAAATCTCATTTGTAATTTTCCAAACTGTCTGCTATACTGTTTTTGTGATGTTAGTTTGGAAAATTTGATATTGGATCCACTTATAATCCCTTAACTGATATTTTTCTTTATTCTCTCATTTGTCTGCTTGATATTGTATTGATATTGTAAGGAGAAATTCTGTGTTGGTCACTCATAGGAGCTAAAAAGTTAAAATACATGGAAATAAATGATGATAATAAATGGAATTTGGTAGTTGACATTGCACGAGGTAGCTCTTCTTGTCCACTGTTTCCAGGTCAAATTAGGCTCTAGAATGTTGGTTTTTGTGGAGGGAAGAAAACAGGAGAACTCAGAGAAAAACCCTCAGAGTAGGAATAAGAACCAAAAACTAAGTCAATCCACGTGTGACACCAGGTCTAGGAATTGAACCTGAATTGAACACAACCCATCCAATTAATAACTATTTACCCACATAGTACAATGCTTTGATTTGTTTTGCAGTTACTCGCTGTTTTTCAAGAAGGTTCTTCTCAATTTCTTTATCGGCCAGCACAAAATGGTGGCTATGGAACAAGTGCATCGTCTATAGGAACAGCAAGTCCTGACTTGTCACTGCATGAGGATGAACCTCCAAAATACATAGAAGAACCACCCTTAAAACAATTTTCTCCAACAGAACCAAATGCAAATGGTGAAATTAAGAGTGAACCAAGGGCAGTGAAAAGCCCCCCACCTCCTGTACCACCTAAACCAGTTAGAAACAGCACCAAGAACAACAGTAGGATTTCTTATATTGAATCTATCCCTTCAGAGGATTCTGGAATATCCTCACATGATGACAGATTTCGAATAAGTTCAGACTCATCAAAGTCTGAAACAATAGAGAGTGTGGTTGTCAAACCTACAATTTACAGGACAGGTGAAATGACCTTTGTTGCAGTTGGGAGGCCTGTTAACCAAGCTGTGCATAATGGTCATAATGGTCATGCAAACCATGATAGAAGACGTTTCTCATCGAGTTCTGACCATGCTGATAATGAACACAGTGATATAGAAGAAGAAACATTTTCACTGGGTCGTAATTCAACTCGGAAATCTATGTTTGTGGATAGCCCAATATTGGACAGATGGGCTGAGCTACAGGAGGAGAGAATGTTTGTGGTGAGAGAGGCATTTTACTTTTAATACTGTTATTTCATCTGTTGTGGTGCAAGGTTGTTTTTGGTTATAATTTTCCTTTGTTTGGAGCTTGTTTTTGCTAATTACTGTTCCAAAAGGTAAAGGAAAATAGAATTTTGGCCAACAATAAACTGTTTTACAACATACATGTTTTGTATTGTAGAATTAGTGAAGTAGTTAATATAATGAAGTGTGCAGGTGACTCAGAAGTCTTGTAAGTGTTTAAGGAGTAAAACTAGCACCTGTTAACTGTTAAGGAAACCTGACAGAATGGTGGGGTATAACATATGACTTCATAAACCCTTGCAATAATTAACAACTGTTCACTAAAGTGGAGGTGGCCAGTGGTGGATATTCAGCAAGCTGCAAATCAGTGAGGTGATATTCACTGCTAGCCACTGAGGTAAATAGTTGTTTTAGTTTATACTAAGAAACAGTGAGATAATGTGGCACAAAAAGAGGATTTTATCTTATTTATTTCAGCAATGATTACAAATTTTTTGGGTGCAAATCTTGTGTGAGTAGCTCTGAGGTGAATATTAAAGGATATTCAGAGTTTGAGTAGCCAATTAGAGCACACCTTCAACTCTATCCACTGTTTTAATATATACAAATAACCTTTATTTCTCCTTGCTCCAGAGATTTTAATAGGCTCTTACAACTCTGTCTCCTCTGCAGACTTAACTTAACTGTAGATCTGTTAGTGGAAATATTGTCATTGTAATCAATGTATAATCTGTTGGTTTTCCTAAGACAATGCTCAAACTTCATTTACACTTTTTGTAATTGTGAAATGCACCATTTCATAGAATAATGCAAATCGAAGTGAGCCAGTTAGTACAGTGACGTCTCCATCAGAACCAAGCTCTATTGAACCTGACTTTGCTCTGAAGTATGACGATGATCAGCGATCTCAAAGCTCTCATAGTAGTGGGTAAGGGAATGTCTTTTACTTCTGCCTTTTAATAGTCATTGCATTAGGCCATTTCCTAGTCAACAACTGCATTGCTAAATGAAGGTTGGGTGCCTGAGACAACCAGGAGCTTCCACTATTGGCAGCCAGCTCCTTAATGGAGACTGCTCCCATGGCAGACAAGTCCTGGCAACTCAGCCATGAGCCCCCACACAGGAAAGGGAAAACAGGCACCTGTGACAGTGAATGAAGAGTAGAAAGAGGGAGGGAAGGGGTGGGGAAAACTACCTGGAGGATGAGCTGGCACTCCAAAAAACACTGAAAGTTCATGCTTAAAGCATATGCAAGGGGACTGATACTCTTTGTTGTTAACTCATTAAATTACTGTAAACTGCATATAAAAAATAGTCACCTATACTATAGGCCAAGTGCCTAAACCTCTGGTGGGAAAATGACATTTATTTGCTAGTGAGAGATTAAAAAAATTAATATCAAAATGTTTTTACTTCCCTTAGATTTTGACATTGGGCTTTGGGAAGCTCAGAAATGGCCTCTTAAATTTATTTCTGTGAGGTCTTTTTTTTTTTTTAGTACAAGGTTCATACTAAAAATAATTCAAATGATCTGAAATAATAATTGGTCCAATTGAATTTATTACTGCACTAATCAACACATTGTAAAGGCAGGTGCTTCATTAAATTAAATGAAACTGGAACACAAGATTAACTGCAAGAAGCCTATCAAGTAAACTGTGCTTTGTTTTTCTCTGATAGCACCAATCCAAATATTTTCTACTTCAAATATTTATTACAGGGAACCTGATATGATTATGATTGAGTTGAATCGTGAAGATCCACAGGAACCCTTAGGATTTACGGTGACAGGATATAGAACAGCAGATAGCAGGTAAATTTATGTTGAATTAACTTGTATCGTTTTGTTTTGTATGTAGAGGGGATACCAATTATCTTGGCTACGTTCACTCAGTTTTGTTCGGGTGCAATACTTTTAACATTTTGCTCTCACAGCACCCTTCCCACTAAAGAGCCCTTATGGATACCAACGAACCATCATGACAAAATCCTTGTAGGGTGTGTTGGGTTGGTTGCTTCGAAAGTAGACCTTTGGGGTATATGTGGTCACATGTTCGATATCTCGCCCTGAGTCTGGATACGTAACAGCACCTAAACACCAGCATTATTTTCAACAATATTTGAATCCATTTCTCAATGGCAGGGAACTTGGGCTCATCGTTCGAGACATTTCACCCAGTGGGTGTGCAGCGAGAGATGGGAGATTAGAAGTAAGTTGATACTGATCAATTTGATCAAGTTTGTTTTTCCTTTTTTTTCGGATGTGTTGTCTTGGCCAAACTTTCTTTTTAAATGGAAAATTTGCTGAAGAGAACTTATGTCTCCGCAGATAGCAGATCGAATTGTCGAGGTGAATGGTTTGAACCTGATGGACGTACCAAATAAAAGGTAAGTGAAACAAAAGATACTTCGTCTTTAAGCTGTGGGAAATTGATATGTAATTTATATACTGTAATTTTATGGGTCAACAAGGCCAAAATATAAGTTGTACGGTAAATTCAATTTTGCAGCGCAGTTCAAGGATGACATGGCATTGCAGGGTAGTTTTCAATTTCAAGTCGATCTCGAGTTTTTTCAGGGAAAGTGGGAAGGAGGCGAGAAGGGACTCTTTAGGGAGTAAGGGCCTTGTTAAAAACTTGAGGTTTAGAAGTGAAGAGAATGTTAATACACTAGAAGTAAAAGAAAGCTGGTTTTGCAATTTTAACTTTGTTAGAGTAAGCTTTAAGTGTTCAGTAGACAACCGAGATTTTTTTCATTTTAGAGCGGAAGAACTTTTTGCGGAAGCAATAAAGGCATCAGTCGTAAACCTTGGAGTGTCTCGTACACATTCATTCGTCCCGGGACAGAAGAGTGACACACCACATGAAGATGAAGTCGTACACGCCCAGCCCATGGAAGAAAATAACGAATCACAAGAACAAGATCAAACACAGAGAGGGATCCTTCCTCTTACACCTCAGTCAATGATCAGTTCGCCTTCGATTCCTGACAACAGCTTCAAGAAAGTGAATAAAAGGATCCTCGTTGAACTTATGAAAGGTAATTTTTTGGGTAACTTGGCGCAAAGGTTGGAAACTTTGCTGTCGAAAAGAGAGACCAACTGTAACTTTCTGTAACATGGTCGACTATTTTCAGAGTTGTACACGCACTCGCCTGCTACTGAAAAACGTGGGGTAACCTTATTCGGGTCATTGTGCCCCTTTTTTGGCAGGATGATGAAATTCCTGCAGTGCCTATCTTCAAACTAATGCATAAATAGTAGCAATTTTTTCAGGGAAACGAATTAAAAATGCTGGAAGTACCTTGCGATAGACTGTCCCAAAGGAGAGTAGCAATGCAAATCAGTAGGTATACAAACTAAAGCCCTAAAATAATTTTTTTTTGGTCAGGCACTGATGGTCTTGGATTCAGCATCACTTCACGCGACAATCCGGCCGGAGGGAACACGCCAATATTCGTGAAGAGCATCCTTCCGAAGGGTGCCGCTATCGAGGACGGACAGTTGAGAGCAGGAGATCAAATAGTGGAGGTAACTGAATTCGTTTCGAAAACCCACACCGCCGTCATAAACAATCAATCAGGTGTACAGCTAAAACCAGTCGCGACCAGGCTCTTTCTTGCGCTGTAGGTCTCGGGAAAATTAGTTTTTTTTACTTTGATTGGCTTCTTATGAATTTTTACTTGGTTCTGATTGGCTTTGGTTTCATGAATATTAATCGAAAGGCACAGGGAACAGGACACAAACCCGTTTCTACCTTTAAATATTTTTCATGTTGTATGTATCTTTTTACAGGTAAACGGACAGAAAATGTTCGGCAAAAGCCAAGCGGAGGCCGTGAACGTTTTACGAAGCACCAAGGGTCTGGTAAAGATTCTGGTTCAACGTGAGGAAACGGTCCAGTCACCCAGAGCTCCTGCGATAGAGGTGATTACACAGAAACACTCCAATGATAATTTACTTTTCACAAGTAAATTTTAATCAGTGTCAATAACGAATTGTTTCTTCATGTAAAATCCGCTTTTGTTTCACAATGGTTTTCTGGTCAGGGATATTTACTCTTTGGGTTTTCGCTCAGTTTTGCTGACAAAAACGCTCAAAGCGTTAAGCGGATGAGTTTTGAAACCGCTCTTTTTGCTCTTTTCCCCCGAAGGTAAATGAAGACAGTATGAGTCATTTTAGAGAGGAAGGTCTCCAAGTTCTTACGTTCAAAATTGCTTTGGACGTATCTGGCGCGGCAGGCCTAGGGGTGAGTGTTAAAGGCAAATCACGCGGTACAACTGCGGAAGGTCGAGACAGTCCTCAGGACAAGGGAATCTTTGTCAAGTCCATCATTCCTGGCGGCGCTGCAGCAAAAGATGGTCGTCTTTGCCCAAACGATCAACTTCTCCGTGTAAATGGTAAATCGCTAGTCGGGTTAACAAACCAGTCCGCTATGGATACGCTAAGAATCGCTATGCAGTCCACAAGACCTAATCAAGCCTTCATTGATGTAACAATCGCGCGAGAACAAGAAGAGGCTCCACCACCCCCTGGGGAGTTATTTCATAGTAAATCCCTAGAGAGGCTCAATGCGCCTGATCAAGAGAGGCCCATTGAGGCGAGCTCCGAAGAAAGACTCATCGGGGGATCACAATCACGCACTTCCGAGACAGATGGTGGTTCTCTCAAAAAGGAACGTAAGTGAAGCCCTCTATTGGTTGTATTGCCTCCTAGTTGCAGTTAAGTCTTCAAAGTTTAGAGTTGTAAAGATTTTAAGTGATAATTGCATATTTTACTTTTCGTCATCAAACGTAGGACTTCCAAGTAGTCAGGAGGACCAATTTAATGAATCAATGGTCAGCAGGAATCTGAGCCCGATTCGAGCGAGAAACGCAGTTCACCGAAATGACTCGTACTGTGTGGCTATCAACAAGAGCCAAACACCTGGTTCTCCATTTTATAGCCCCTTCAGGCAACGCCCAGTCCATCGCCCTAGTCCTTTAGCAATGGCAAATGATCGAGTGCCACCCCTTGCTACCAGTTCTCCGGCAAGAACGTCAACGCCGATGGATGGTCGATCTGAAAATGGCATCGAAAGTGGAGCAAATGTACTCACAGGAAGGCCCATCAGTACCATTGCCATACCAACACCGCCTCTCGAAAGCACCGACGAAAAACCTTCTAGTCCCTCACAGGCACCTGTTAAACCTCTTGCTCCTCAGCCCCCGCCGAGATGGGACTCAGAGGTAGATCCTTCTGCGAATAATAATTATAATTTACAAGCAAGGCTTAAGCTAAGGCTCAAAATGCCAGATGCTGAGAGACCTCAAGAGGAAGGCACCAATTCCAAACCCCCATCTCCGCCCTCGCAGTTTTCGAACCAGTCACCCTCTCAGGAATGCCCTCCTTCTTATGATCAAGCTGTGGCCCGCCTTGGTAGGTCCCCACACGCGTCAGTCAGCTCGGAGCATGCGACGCCGAGAGAACAGCGGAAATCGTTGACGGAAGAGAATGCGGAGAACTCCATCATTGCTCCTCCCAGTCCCTTCTCCACCGAAGAAAACCCGTTTCAAAGGGACGGCTTTGGGCGGACGTCAATGTCGGAAAAACGAGGCCGAGCAACCCTGGATGCAAGGCAATCAGAATTCTTTGTGAAACGAGAACAAGACAGGAATGAAGGTCGGTAGATGTCAATCATCTTTTCACCACTACTAATCATGAACAAGTACTTCCTTCCTGCAATATCAATACGTTATCCAGAAAACCGGTCAGAAGAGTAGAGAAATAAATTAAGGAAGATTTATTGAAGGTTAAAATTAGATGCTAGTTGATGGTTTTCCGGGTCAATTGACCTTGTTTGGTACTAAATTTGGCCAAAAGTGGCTTTAAACTGATCAACTTAGCAGAGCTTGAGCGAGCATTAATTGAACGAGAGCTCGTAAATTTATTCTCACTTATGTTTATTTGATCGCTGTTTTCGTGTGGCTTTTGTTTCCTCGTTGATTTGAGGTTGATTTCTGTCGCCAGTTTTATTTTAACTCTTTGGTTGTTTCTGGTTTTATTTGTAGAGTATTCGTCTCCGTCAGAGGATGGTGAAATCGACGTGGAAAAACCTGAACTGACAGTTACACGCCAACCTCTCAGAAGGGCTGACTCAGATGATGAGCAGCTACGACATCAATTGGAGGAAGGTGAGGCGTTGTAGGTGCACTATGATATAAGAGTACAACAACCGGAGCCTTTAAAGTAAGCTCGATATCCAGATCTAAAATTTTTTATTCATCTCTCATAACAAACGGAAGACCGTCCTCAATTTCAAATGGTTTCCATGGATTTTACGCCGTAAAACCCGTGAAAACCATTTAAAATTGTCTGTAGTTGCCTTACTGGAATCAATGGGTTCAAAAAGGGCTTTAACTATTCGTACGTTCTGATTGTTTTTCTATTTACAATCCTTTTTTATCTTCCCCATCAGTAGCCATCCTTGTTCCTTCTCGACATTTCATTGTCTTAATGTGTTTTTATACCGTACCTAACTGAAAGTTTTAGTCTCTTTCAAGTAGCAGGTGTTTTCCTTGTCACAATAAATCTCGTGTGCAAGAAAGTTAATTAATTAATTGCTTGTCTCTCACCTTTGGCAGAATCTAAAGAGGAAAAACGACCTTCTCCTTATGGTAGAATGACAAAAAGTCGCTCGACTGGACAATTGAAACTTGTGGGACTTACAAAAGCCAAGGAGAAAAAGTAAGCAGTCAAATTTAAGAAACTAAAACAGCATATTACGGCAGAAGTAGTGTTTTGTCATAGTGCTTAGGAGCAGATCAAGGAAATTGAAGATTTTCTTTCTCTTTTGTTGCATGTTGTTTACAGCAAGAAGGAAATTATTACTGACAAGGGCTTCTTCTTCATTTCCAGGGCCAAAAGTAACGATAACTTGAGTTTCACAAGCGCAGTGGAAAATGCGAACCGATCTTATCCAGGTCAGCTGTGACATTGGTTTTACCATATTACTGCATTTAAATTTTCCGAAATGTGGATTTTCCTCAACAGAATAAAGTCATGATACGGTTAGTTAATGGACTATTTTCTTACTGTTCTGAATGAACTGGTTTATTGCGTTACAGGTGACTTTCAGAATGGTCACGCAAGGTTTAGTCCTTCGGACGAGCAAGAAGTACCCATAACGATGAGGAGCAATGCTGATTTCACAGCAGTACAACAGAAGCTTGGTGCGAAAAAGCCCTTCTACAAAGGAATCAGTTCTGTGTTTAAGTGAGTGTTCATTCATTATTTTTGTTTCATGTAACTCCTTATGTAACTACAGAGCTAACACCTTCTATCACTCGTACTCTTTTCTTTGGAAGACCACGGAAACAAACGTACGAAGGAACAAATAAAAAATTACCAAAAAATTAACAAAGAAAACGCTTAATCACAGTTTTAAAACCTCAGATTATGAAGAAGTAATTTAAACTTTGATTAACGATTCACTCACGGTTTGGTTTCAATGTGTGTAATTATCTTTCATCAACTCTTTTAGGATCGGAAAAAACAAGCGAGGTGACTACAATCTATCGGAATATGATGGTCCAGCGTTTAAACACACTTATAATAAAGAAGCACTCATTGACTTTCCCGCCGAGCAGCGATACAGACAACTTGTCAATCATTACGGTCAGGACAAATCGTCAGAACGCGCTAGCACGCTGCCGACTCGAGGACGCAAAAAACGGGAAGCGAGAGAAAAGGAGGCTGAACAAAGACGCCCTCCCCCCCCTCCTCCACCTCAGGTGATGAAAGTTGGAAGAGTTACAGTTACTGCGCCCACTAGAGTTTAACCCTTTAACTCCTAAGATCTGATTGTTAATTCTCCCCTCTAGCTGTTACACATTTCCTTGTGAATTGGTTACGAGAATTTGTTGTTCAATCAAGGTAATATCTTGTACCTAATGAGTTTAAGTATTCTCATAACCTGTTTGCTGAATAATGTATGAATATTATAGGGAGAAGTTACATGTTAATCACTTCAGGGAGTTAAAGGGTTAACAAGCCTTCAAGACCGTCAAACGCTTCGCGAACGTTGAAAAACAAAACTGAGTTATTTCTCTTTGTATGGCAACTTGAAATGATGATGCTGTCATATCCTTACTGAGTTTATAGTTGCATAGCGAAAATTTTCAAGGAAAAAAATGTGAGAAATCTTTGATAGCTATTTTATACCAGGAGGTATATTAACCAAGAATTTATCGCATTCTATTGATAGATTTATTTCTAAAAAAAAAACCTATTATTTTTGAAGAACATGAAACACATATTCAAATATTTTGGCCTGACGTTTTGTAAAATTACAAAAGCATATCTCTACCTGTCTTGTAAATAGATCACCTCGTAATGAGTAACTTTTTGTGATTCCGTTTATCCGAAATATTTAGCAACGTTTGTAAGTCGCGGTTTATAGCTAAAGTTGTTGGTAATCTGAGATCGAGATATATACCAGTATAAAAAGCCCGTTTTATAACTGTTTGTTGTCATGTTTTCTAAAATATTATATTTTTTAATGTAGTTATTAGTTTATTTTATCGATGGTTGATTCTGGTAAAATTCCTTCTTTCTGCAAAGAAAACTGTAACATTGTCAGTAAGAAATAACGGGGGGTGAAACTAACTGTGAGGAAACTGGGGCAAACCTAAGAACTCCTCTTCTCCTTCTCCAATGCCGATGGGTTTGTGCTGGGTGTTTCTTCCTACGCTCTGTGATTGGTCCACAAAACTCGCTCCACCTTCTCGACCAATGTGATACAGACCTTAAACCAATCGTGACATAATTGCTCACGTTTCCCGCTCCCGAGGGAGTTTGCATTTATTTACTTGAGAAATTCCATTGGCTTCCTGCTTGTGAGCTTTTCCTATGTTTTGATTGATATTTGAAGTTTCGTCCAGAATAATTTCAGCAGGGTCCGAGGGCATTTATTTTTTTACCTCTGTACTGCTGCTTTTCCTTTTATTTTTGATATCATTTCCCACCCTTGATCAATAGATTTGTTATGTTTGCCCACGATATTTTGAAAACGAAATTCAACTAGACCCTGTGAGCAGGGTAACTGGGATACCTGGATGGTACTGGATCCTTGGAATCAATTGTAGCGATAATAGGGGTGTCGGACTAGTATACTGAAATAGTGAGCTCAAGTCTGGCCAAGAGCATACACCTATTTCAAAACATAGGCATGCTATGCATGCAAGAGTTATTTTTTGTAGGGTGGGTGGATTACTTGAAACATTGTAAGTGGTCTACATTCTTACAAAAGGAAAGAAGAGTATTAACGCGGAAAAGAACGAAAATGTCGAATTACCTCACACACAGGTATTTTGTGGTAGATTGTGTGTTGTGCGAATAAATGTAACCAAAAATAAACTGTATTGGTGCCACGGATACCTGTTAGTACAAAATGCAGATAGCAGACTGCAGACCGGATACAAAATATAGACTGCAGACTGCAGACTGCAGAGTGGGTATAAAATGCAGACTGAGAATCTGAAGAGTTTTTACGTCTGGTTTATAATAACATGTCATCTTACAGCTTACCGAGCGTCACGCAATCGCTTTTCCTCGATCAGCCTTCACGATTATTTGCACTATTGTGGAAAATTCCTGGCCCATTTCTTGATGAAAATCGATCGTGAGATAATTTCAAGCCTTCAATATAGTCTTCTTACTTTGTGCGCGAGTTGGTTTGTGTGATGTCTGTGCAGATTTTACCAACGTAATAAAAGTAGATGATGGGAATAACAGTGATGGTTAAGCAAGCTTAAAACGGCAGAAATCACCAGAAACTACAACGGATACACATCCGGTCCAAAATTACCGCTCAATAACATCTTTTAGTGTGGATTGGCGCGAACAATACGACTTGTGTAAGCGTCTGTAAGTATTTCGAGCGTTTGCGCTATAATGCTTCAGGTGATCGTAATCCAAACACATTGAAATACAAAACGACCAACAAAAGAGTTTCTAAGCAAAAATCTCGTACTCGTCATGTGACCCGGACCTGTCCGTGCATGACAACGTCAATCATCATCAAGATAACACGTGATCAGCATGTGAACACCTTCACCCTCATTGGATCACAGTTAGTTGTCATGGTGTTGAGGGCCCAATGACCACTGGGTACTATTGCGCAATTTTTCCATTTTGTGGCGGAGGAAAAAAAAAAAAAAAAGACGACAAAAAAACAAAGGCATTTTATGACTGGGCTACCACAGGTATCCCAGTAACTAGAACAGTGTTAAATAGAAAATTCTTATCATCACTTTTATTGGAGATTTCATTCTCTAACTAAAGGAAACTCTAAAGGATAGTTTACACGTGCGACTATTAATCATGAGTGCGTGATTACAGCATTATTTTTCCAAAACAACAAGTGACTGTACATAAACACTTCTTTACTAAAGAAGTGACATTTTCAAAGCAAAACAAACCTGGGAAGGCGGCATTCTACGTGCGAGCAGCTGAAATTCCCCCCTACACCCCGAAATAATCTGTAAATTGGGTGTTTGCGCGAGAAAATTCAAAACCAAATAATATCACATACATATCTGTTTGCAGTCCCTCGCAGATTCCACCTCTCCAGTCTCGGCTTGCATCTTCACAGCTTGTAACGTCCCTCGCGAATGAGAGCTTACTCACACTACACATACGGCGAATCTCTTGAATCACATCTTAACCCTTTACACCCTAACATCAGTTTGGAAGTTCTCCATTCTCTTCTCTACACTTATCCTATGCTACTTATAAGGAGATGTTGCCTCGTAATCAAGACCTTCTTGGCCTTGCGATCATTACCTTAAATCTAATGACCTTAGGGGTCATACTATTGGGAGAAATTAGATGTTTATCACTCTCAGGGGTTAAAGGTTAAAGGGTTAAGCGAAATCAAGTCGATGCCTCTTTTTTCTTTTTGCATCAATCCAACACAACCGGAAAGTAAATTTTTCCCTTGCACGTCTTCTCCGAATCCATTAGTTTTTCTCTGCAGTTTTCTTGGCTCGGTGCAATTTTGTATTTCGATCTTTTTTCCCTTCCTGCGAATGTCTCCACTTGACTCGTCTGTTTTGGAACCAAACCTTTATCTGATGCTCCGTAAGCCCAAGATACAGCGATAAGTAGTATCTCTCCCGTTTATTCAAATAGTGTTGACGCTGGAAGCGGTCCTCCAACGTTTTTCGTTGGTGGTCGGAGAAAACCGGACGGGACCAGGATGGGGAATGCGTTTGCCTTGTCACACTGAGGGGAGTGGTGAAGGTAACATTTGGGCGGGTGTCTAAGAGGTCTGGAAAAATAACGAAAATGATCATTATCTGTTGAAGTTCCTTCCTAAAACCAATGTATTGAATAGCAATTCGATCGGAAGATTTAAAGGATCTTAATATCTACTTAAGTGTGCACTTCCGGTGAATTAGTGATCACAAGACAAAGGCTTTTTGGCGTAACAAAACAGGAAAACCACGGCTTGCCCAAGTGCTAATCTGCTAAAATGGGGTGGGGTTACGACCTCGCACTACTTACGCAAATATTTTTTATTCTCTCTATCTTTCGTTTACAACTGGCGCGCGACCTCTGTGATCTTATTGCTAAACGAAAACTATTTCTGACTTGCCTGTACAATAATTGTTATTAAAAAAGTAGGCAATTTGTCTTTATGATCATTTTATGATCGTTTGAGTGCAAAACTTAAACTTATTATCAACTGTCACTCTTAACAAATACTTACATGAACAAGGTATATTGATTTAAATTCAAAAGGAGATCTATTTTTTTAAGCAAAGATTATTTCCATGGCCTCTTGAACGAAAGGTGAAAGATCACGAGTTTCAATAAGCGATATCTCACGAAATTTAAGAATAATTTATGGTTCTTTCTGAATCATATGAAATTCAATTTTAGTCAGTGTAAATGAATAATGCTTAAAAACGTTTTGAGGAAAGAAATAAGGAGTTTGTAAGTTTTTTCATGATGATATAATTGTGTATCATTGGATCAATATTCTAAGTAGAAGATTAACCGGAGGTTTAGACCGGTTCAAGACCCAGTGTGAGGTGAAGATGGCACCAGCAAAGTGTCGAAGGTCTTTCCAGAGTCACAGTAAGCTGCTAAATGTTTCGACCTCTAGATGCCCTCACAATCAATAAGACCACCATCGGTCTTTGGTTTTTGTTTTTCCCTTTTTTGCTTTCAGTTGAAGAAAAAGTGAGAAATGGTTGCAGATATTGAATGAGCCCGCGCGTCAATTTAACGGCGGTTTCTTGTCACGGCGGAATTTTGTACCAATTTAGTGTAAAATCAATTAAGCTTACTTTTCGTTCATGTATTTTTGCATTTATTTTATGAACCAAGAAAAAATATCCTCTTGTGCAGTAAAGTCGAGTAACCACGCCTTAGTCCTTCTTATGATAACGATATGTTTCCTGAAGTAAGGGTCAAAATGAATAAACGAGAGGTGTTATCCTTCCACGATGACACTAGACTCTCCATACTGATTTACAAGGAAAAGAAAGCAACTAAATGCAAAGTAAATTACTAGCTACATCATGGGAGTTACGGTTCAAAGCTACCTTTGTAGTAAGTTCTAAGAGGGGTCAATTTTCGTAATACTAGCTTTTAAGACCATAAGTTAAAAAAAAAGGCAAACGAAAGTAATCAAACCACGATCTAAAACTGATTTAAATCATTTACTGATGTATCCAAACAAAGATAATGAGAGAACAATGCGTTAAAATGTTGGAACATCAAGTAAACTAGGCACTTAATACAAAAGTAGATTATTGGATTTTTTTTTCTTACATGAGGCTATGGAATTGGAAATAAAGAATGTTCCGTTGTTTACCAGCCATCAAAACGTTTTCTTACTTACACAGAACGAAGACGCAAAACGTTAAAAACTGCGCGCAGTTAACATAAAGAAGTGTTACGACGAGGTAGGTTTCCCAATGTTTGAAAATTTCTGCTATTTCCCTTTTTTCACACCTAAGCAAGAAAAAGACTGGAAAGTGAAAATGCCTGAGGAATGACCTTCAAGTTGCTGCAACGCAGCTATTTCCGAGAGTAACTTGAAACAGGATATGTCACATACTGGCGAAGCTCTCAGAAAAGATAGCATTACGTCTTGTACATATGGTACCTCTTGTACTCAAGTTGGAATCACTCCATCACTCTCCAAATTAACTTATTTTCCGGCTTTAAATAAGTAAAGGAAATAGTGGCCGGTAGTGTAACAGAGAAGTAACAGCTTGGTTGGTTTTAAACTGATCAGTATCGTGAGCGTGGCGGAAGCGAAAGCGACTCACTGTCCGAAGAAGAGAACTCTGTAGATCAAAAAAGGACACACACGTGGCTGTCAAAGAGCATCGCGCAGATTTGCGCAAAACTCTAAGAATAGAAAAACTCACTGTCTCTTACTTTTGACGGTGAAAAAAATATTTCGTGACTTCCTTTATTACGTTATAGGCTAGGCCGTTAAGTTCTAAGCTTTCCGCTGTGTAATGCGCCAAAAACCAAGATTTTCTTTTTGTTAGCCGCTTTTCGCCTTGAGCAGTAAGACATGTTGATTGGTGGCGCTTGACAATTTCCAGTTCATTTTGAGTTTGCATCGTGGGTGTCGAAGTCGGCGAGTCTGGTCTGTAAATTGTTATGAATGGTTTTATGGCAAATTAAATTGAAATACGTTAAGCTGTTAGCCACAATCCGCTTTGAATAATCACGATTTGCAATCTCCATTTCACTAAGGTTGGATTCGATATTCTATCCTGGTTCGAAGTTATACTATACACTCGATGGAGAAAACTTTTATTTTGCTTTAGAACTCAATTTTACCTCTTAGTAGTTGCTTTAACAATTTTCAGGTAAGGATACCAAACTGTAGGGATTTCAAAATGACACAACGCTGAAAATCTGCCAGTAAACAAGTTAATTCGCTTTAAGTGCGCGCTTGCACCTTAGAAATTGATAGTAGTAAAGAAAAAAGGTCGCCCTTTGTTCTTTCTAAAGATAAACCATAGAGCTTTTACCTGATTTTGAAGAACCATACAGAATCGTCTCAATCCCAAAATTCAGTTTTTCTTGTTGTCTCTGATGCTGAGGTTTCCACGAGGCGTTTAATTCGGTTGTTTCTCGCGCTTTATCTGTTTGCATTGGTGTTGCGAATGGCGCGTCCGCAAAGCTGTTAGCGCTCAAGTGTGGCAGAGTTGTTGTAAGTTTTAACTGAGTCACCAGGCTGTCAGTGATAGCACTCATTTGTGGAGGAACCTTTCCGTAGAAATCACATTGACAGTAAATCATCGACGAGTTCATAATTTTATGTCGTAAGGATTGTCCAGTTTGAGCTACTTAGGAAATCCTCAAGTCTCCTGTGACCATCCTTGGGACCTCCCACGTTATCACAGATCAGCACAGTCGATAAAAGTTTCCCGCCGACACCCATTTCTGCCAATCACCTTATCTTGGACTCTGTGGTGTCTGTACGTATCTTCATTGTTTTCTGGAGGAGGAGGAGGAAGGGGGGGGAAGGTGTGTGTAAAGGGTACCACTCACGGTAAGGCCTAGGGATGGATGAAATCTGTTGTAACCTATGATTAGATCTGGTATTTTTAAATCTTGGCTTTTTTTTCAAAGATATAGAAAGTTTTACTTATTCATTTCAGACGAGAACAGTTAAAAAATCTTGAGCCTATGCGGTGTAGGGATGTGTTGCAAATTAGGTTGGTAACACTCGGAGGACGCTCCCTGTCTCCCCCCCCCTCCCCACCTTGTCTTTGCTTCCTGGGTGTCGAGATTCCAACTTGCGAATTTTTTTTCCAGGTTTCGTGCAAAGGGAAAGATGATGCTTCGGTGTCTTTAGTGACCTTACGGCTTAACGCTAAATTTAGATTGTTTCATTCTTGTAAACAAAAATTACACTCGGAACGTTTGTCAACTAATTGAGCGCTGTACGCTGTGCATAATTGACGTTCTAGCGACAAGTTTAGGTCAGATGAATGAATTATAAAATGAATAAAGCACCGCTTTAGCCGAAAACAAATGCGAAAATTTTAACGTGGTAGTCTTATATTTTCCGGATATCGTGCACTGTAAAAAAATTTGTCGCCTTTTATTTATCTTAACTTGAAAGTGTTTTCCTTTTAGGACGACGACATTTTACTGTGTGGTTCCAATTTGAGATAAACGAAACGATAAGAGACACCCCGGGGCCCATGAAACTTCATCATGGATGTCTGCCTACTTTCCATTGATTTCAATAAAAGTATGCCACATTTTTCCGGTCGTAATGGTTATTTTGAGCTTAAAAAAAACGATATAAAAACACAAGTTTGTTTACTCAGGTCATTGCGGTAGATGAAATAATTACAGTGCAACTGATCTCAAAATTGAAAACAAATGCTTCTTGAAATGTAAAAAATGTAGATCAGTTTATGATGATTTTTCCTTAATCAAAAAAATTCAAAGCGTCTAACAGGATAAATTTCATTATAATTTTCGTACTAAAAGTTACAATTTGTTAACTGATAATCACCCTTGGAACGAAGTTGGTTCAAAACCTAGCTACAGTCTCTTTCTATTCTTCCGATGGGGTTTTAGAGGTTCACCAAAAAAATAATTGCATTTTGTAGAGAAATTATGCAAGTTGTTGACATATCTTTTACTCTTATGATTGTTTAAGGCCACTGATTGTTCATTGTTTTCAATCCGGATGCTCCACTATCTCATGGAGCTCTACGTCAAAATATTATCCGGAGACTTCCATTCGACCTGATGTGTTACATTGAAATGCAGGGGGGGGGGTGGTCTGTCTTCTACACCAGCGAACTACATCAATGAGGGTGCCATTTAGCAAAGAAAGCAAAAATCTTCAAAGGTATTCAGCGACGTGCATCAGAGATCTGACGAAACTTTTTAGCTGATGCTGTTCAAATTAAAGAGGATTTCAAACCAAGAATCTTTTTAGTCTCTACTTTCGCCGCTCATTTCCGTGTAAATAAATGAAAAGAATCTCACATTGATAGCGAGATGACATATTTTGGTGATTTGATTGTAAATTCCCATAAGCTTCAAACTGAATAATTCATTGTCACCTTTTGGAGAAGTTACATATTAACCACTTCTAGGAGTCATATAGTTAAATATCACCGGCTGACGTGAAAAAGCAAAGCAGGACAGATTCAAACAACACAGTGGGGTAGTTAAACTGCTTCCGTCGCTGAGGAGCGAGAGGTGAGGGTTTTAGTAGTAAGAAAAATCAATCAAGTGCCAATGTTTTGATTTACCTTATACTTACATCAACTAGAAGTGAGAACAATGAGGAACTGAATTATATTGTGTTTTACACGATACTCCAATATAATGACATAATATTGACTTCTTTCTTCTCAGTTTAGTTTCTTTACAAATGTCGGTGTCTTTATAGTTTTTTTTCTGTTATTCAATGCTATCTTTGCCAGGATTTCCTGTCAAATTTCCAGACAAAGTTTTAGGCTTTGTCGAACTTGTTTTTTCCTGCTTAGTGACAACTCGTTGCAGTTGAATCGCAATTAAAGCTATTTTAATCCTTCTAAATGAAAAAAAAAATTGCGTTCGGTTGTCGCTAAGAATCACAATTACTTTTTTCATGATGTCATTTTTCGTCATCATGTTATCACTACTCTTTGACGCTGACCTCACAAGAACACTCTCCAGTGATTTCCTCAGTCTCGTCACTTTCAATCGTCGTTTCTTCTTCTTCTTGCTGACTTTCTTCCACCTTTTTCAACGATTTCTCTTTCAGTTTTTCTTCTTTCCGCGCAGCCTCGTGTCTCCATTTCGTTCTCCTGTTCTGGAACCACACTTTCACCTGCGTCTCAGACAAACCCAACATGGCGCCGATCTGTAACCTCTCCCTTTTTGTCACGTACTTGGTTACCTGGAAACGCTTCTCCAGGCCTCTTCGTTGGAGCTGCGTAAAGACAGGGCGACACCATGGCCGGCTGGAAGCGCGCATGGGTGAACTGAAGGGCTGATGATGAATGTAGGCGAGCTCATGATTGCTTAGGAACGGTCTGTGAACAACATGTTGGTCTGAAACAGAAGTATTTATATTTATTCGTAAAAGCTTTCACATCGGTTTGCTTACTTAAATTGACAATTTTTTTTTTCAAAGGAATATTAGGTCTGCACCGACAAAAGGTTCATCTTCCAACGAACATGATGTTTTTTTAATTTCCAAATCGAAAATCAAATTCTATCTGGCGAAAATATGGCCACGAGTAAATAAAACTTTTTAAAGTTACATAAAAAAGTTGTTTAATTATATTCTGGTATGACTTTCTACCACGATGACAAAAGCGTTAAATATAGCGGCTCTGCATAAATTTCGTTAACCTATTCGTCGGAAGAGAAAGAGGATACCTTGCTTGACAAACGAGCAGAGAGAGTAAGATATGACTCTTTTTTTTACAACACCATGATCCAAAATTACGCAGAAAATACTCATCCTTGTTAAGTCAAGAGCTCGTGCATAATTTGATTTAACTCTAAATTATGAAGACGGACAAAATAGGAAGTGTATGGCAGGCAGGAGAGAGAAGATTTTGAGAGTGAAAAGCCTAACCTTCTCATGAACTCTCCTGAAAATCAAGGTACACACATCTGCTGCTGATGTAGTGCTACTTTATGTTTAGCTTCATCCAATTTAATAAGCAAAAAAAAAAACCGGTCTATCTAACCCGGATATCGTCTGGGGAGAGACCAAAAGCTGTTTACAACATAGCGCGCGTGCTTGCCTTATGTAAGTCCTATTGAGCCGCTATATACAAAATCTTTACTTACGCGCGCTCGTGCGTAAATAAGATGACGTGAACATTTTTTGTTCTTTGTTGCTCTGTTATAAAAGAATTTGCTCATGCTTTTAGCTGTGCGTACATCGAGTTATGGATGCACTTGGGAAGTTTAGAGAGCACTCAAAAAGCTAGAGTTGCTCTCGGCTGCGCCTCGAGCTACTCTTACGCATTTTTCGTGCTCTCTAAGCTTCCCGCGTGCATCCATAACTCGATGTACGCACGCTAAACATGAACAAATTCTTAAATATCGAATAGGCCACAAAACACGATCACCAAAATTCCCTACACTGAAAATCTATAAGATTCACTGGCAAAAAACGATAAACAACAAAGAACTTCAGCTCGAAGGGGAGGGCAAAAGCATATTTGAGCGAGATAGGAGTTAGCTGTGTTTGGAACTCTTATAATTTCTGTTGTTATTCAAAACGTTGCAAAAAAAAAAAAAGGGACTAGGGTCAAGTTATGACAATTCATTTCGTAAAGAAAGATTAAAGCTTTGGAGATTTGAGTTGAGATGAAGCTTTCACTCTGAAGGTGACAAGTCAGTCGAAGGCAGACAGAACTAAAAATCCTTCTGTTAACATATGCACTCTTTGTTAAGGCGTCCTTAAACTTAAGCGAGGTCATGCATTTTCTTTCGTCCGAAGCCATATTTTAGTCCCAGATTTACGGGAGCTTATAAGACGGAAAATTTGTCGCTGTCTCGACCGATTGGCTCGTCAGTCAACGAAATCTTCTTGGCGATCGCTTAGTTGTTTTTATGAACGGGATGATTTGGGGAAGTTTTTTCATGAACAAAGTGTGAAAAACATCTGCGCGCAATCCATCTGTATCATGAAAAAAATTGAACAAAGACATCAATGACAAACGAGATTATAAATTCTCGATATTTCCGACTACCATTATATGTATTTAACAGATCTCACTTAAAGATGGATTAGCACAAGTGTCATTTTGCAATACATTTCACAGTTTCAACACGCAATTTTGCGCTTTTCAAGGAAACCTCATCATACTCGGGGCGTGTCTCAAACTTCTAATTTATCGAGGTGTATTCATTCCTTCAGTTCCAGCCTAGGAGCGCCATGCCGAGTTTCATGCAAGGATCACACAAATGTTTTCCATCTTCACTCCACTATCTCTGCCATAAATCTTTCCGTGCTCGAAGCCGGATTCCTTTACTGACATTAGTTGAATTTATTTCTTATATCTGATGCAAGCTTCAACATGATATCATTATCTGAACAAACTCCTGGTCCATTCACTCATCGGAGTACAACGAGGTATTTTTAATTAAAATCAAATCATGTCATAAACGCAAAGCTTAGTGATATCTTTCAGCGTCAGATTGAAAAAGGAAACGGCGAGTTTGTAAACACCTTAACACAGTTACGATGACCGTACTATCGCAGAATCTACTTACTCGGGAAATATTTATTAACCCAGCCGATAATGAACAAGCACACGCCCTAATTAATCATATCGGAAATATACTTCAAAGAAGTCGGGAGTTAATACCAAAGGACTGCCTATCTATAAAGAACAATAGCTGTGTTTTTTACGCAGCTGAGCTAGGACTGAACTGCAGCGATGATAAGGGAAAAAATTTTGGAAAGATGAAATATATGTTAGTAACTTTCCTTTGTGAGCAGGTCGACTGGAAGCCGCTTTTGATAACAAAAATTAAACGCGCAGGCGAAATGAAAAATCAAAATGTGATTGATAAAACAGAAAACACATCATGAACGAACCTATAGTGGCCGTTTATAATGGGAAATTCCATTCCTGAGATAAAACAAACGAGCTACACATGTTTAGTTCCAGCAGATGTAATAAAAAGATGTTTATTAACTATAGGCTATTAAAGACCCGAGGAAAGCCTCATCGTTTGTAAAATAAACTTTAAAACAATCTGATGACCATTAGCGAAGATCGAAATCTTCACAGCAATTACCGTATTCAGCTTAGGTAAACAAAAAGAGCGGCACCAGGATTGGACATAAAATAAGCAAGGAACATCAAATGAGAAATACGTGGAAGAGAAGTAGAAGTTGAAAGATGATGTTATTCAGCGAACGAATCAGGCGAATACTCGGAGAAAAAGAAGTCCGTGTGCTCCAAATGGGGGTCGAAGCTACGACCTATCGATTAGAACTTCGGAAGCTCTACCACTGAGTTGTAAGAGACTTGTGATAGGCGAGCGGGGACTGTATTTTGAACTAAACTGTGATGTGACTTTAGCGGAGTCTGTAATGAAGTTTGATCTTTCTTCTCACAATTTCGCCATTTCCAACGTAGATTGCGATATGTTTCGAATGCATATTGCGAGTCTTCTTCTTCTTCTTTTGTCACTGGTTCAGAAAAGGAGTTTATTGAAGTCGATGAGGCACGATCAACATGCGAAGTGACCTCATCGTGAAACAAACGATGTAACCCTCCACTGCTATAGTATTTACCGCAATGAATAACCTCAAACCTTTTTTATTGCCTTATTCTAGCGACAAAAGATTACTGTAACAAAATTTTGCTTCAGAAAATTAAGGTTTTTCTAAAATGTATTGTTCCAGTGCTTTTCCCATGTCTTTGGAATGTTACGACAATACGCTTTCACTCACTGAAGTTAGAAAAGCATTAAGCTTGTGACAGGATAAGAAATATTTTATCAAATTATTAGCCTGTTTTCGGAATTTCTGTGATAGCAGTATGGAAGATCAACGTCCTTGTTTTGAAACTTTTTCGAAGCTTCGCAGCTACGACGTTTAACTATGTCGCCCAGAATTCTCTAAGTAAGAGAGGTCAGAAATGAATTGTGAAAATTCTTACGACCAAACGCTAGAGCACACGATTACCAAGAAGCAGGCATACTTTTCGCCCATAGTGTATCAGTTTCAATTCAGTCCTATACGAAATCAAACCATTTCCGCCACTCGATATCAGTTAATTGATAAAACAACATCAGCCAAAAAAATGCAATTCGGTTTTAGCACAAGGGTGAGATCTGAAACGTACATTAAATGTCTCTGTGTCGTGCAAGATCAGAAACCACAAATGTGTTTTTCGGATAGTGTTTATGATTAATTATCATAATGTACTTAAAACTGTAATACTATTAACACATTTCAGTTGAGGTTCATAGTGCTAAGTATGCGATAAATGCTTTTTTAATTCATGGTATTATGCATTGTCTTTACACGAAAAGAGGCACGAAAATTATTACTCATTCACTTGCTTTTTTTTAAAACATTGTACAATTTTTGCCAGTGCCTACTCTGGGGTAATTTTTCCCCTATTGTGATATTAGATACAAATACATTGTATATGTATGTATGAAAATTAAAAATTTCTCTCTATTTTGTTCGAACAATTCAATTGGAATATTGAACTCTGAACTACAATGGCCAAGAGAGTGCCAAATACACTTACTCTTTGCTCCAGTGAGTGGACTATGAGTGAATGGACTATGCTCTTTAGAAATTTAGCTACCTTGTTGATGTGACGCAGACTTTAGCCTGCTTGCCACTTTATACATTTTTCGATTGCATAACAGTTTTCAAACATAACGTATTCAAACAAATCCTCGCATTCAAATGACAATTGCATCCATTTGGAATCTTACGAAAACTTAAACGAGTGCTACAGCTTGTGAAATAGGGGTTTCCGAACGAAGGTTCCCCATTTTCAAAGCTAGTCATCGTCAGTTCAAAATGTTTTTTTTCTTAGGACGAAATTTCAGCGCTTTTCTCCATCTATCTCGCTTTGAAAGGAAAAATAATTTTAAATTAGAAACTAAAATTTCTTTGGTGAAAGTAAGTTTACATCTATCAAGAAAAAGGTCCACTCTATTGAATTTCCACGAACAGGTTGTTTTTGAAAGTAAACTTATTGACAACAGTTTTGTAACCGCAATTAAATGAGACTCAAGTATTCAAACATTCATTAATTAGTTTACTTTAAAGACGAAAGGCTTGGTAATTGTTTTTTAAACTCTTCTTTTCAACAGAAAAGTAAAGTGAAAGTCTCAAATTCAAAGTTGTTCAGTACGCATCCTTTAACAAGAAAGGGAAATTTGTAAGTGTCTAATCAAACAATAACGATAAAAACACGTCGTTGAGGTTCAGACGAAAACGCGTCAGTTTTGCCACTAAAACAAACCGCTGCCTGGCAAGTTATTAATCAAGAGTTTCAGATACGGACACACAAGACTTTTTGGTTTGTAAAAGCCTTATAAATTCACAGTCGACATTCGCTCGGTGCTGTTATTAACGAGACGCGCTCGCTCATCGGGCACCAATGAAGATAAGTAGTCTCCTGTACAGCTTCAACGCTTGCGGGCAAGCTGAGTATACAACGGGTAACAGAGCTTAAAAATTATCTCTTTCCCAACATAGAGGATTATCATTTCGTCGCCATTAAGACGAGAAACCAACGGGGTAACTACTCGTCAGATAGCGCTGAAAAATAAAGAGACTTGCGAAGGTATGGTCGTTTAAAGTAAAACGAATAATGAGAGAAAGCTCGTTTCTTTACGACTCCGCAAAAGGTGGTAGACGCCTTACCAAGGTTTCCAGCCTTTTAATCTTAGGTCGCAAGGAATTAAAATTTCTAAGAGCCTTTCCCTTTTATACATGCAGCGATTTGCGCCGAGCTTCAGCGCGGCTGTTGTTCGTGACGCACGTCAGTAGTCGCAAATTCGGCCAGAAACACTTTAAAAGCGCTCACATTTTACTGGGTAAACGTTAAAAAAAAACCCAGTTTTATCTTATGGCATCGGAGCAATACGTTTCACCGGTAAATGCCAATTGCACACAAAAAAAAGTCTATCTTAAAACCGCAACTGAGTGGCCAACGTTAGTATTTGAAGTGATCAGCGACCGACGGATGAAGTCGTTCGTGACCATACCTCCTGCAAGAATAATTCTTTATTGGAGATTAAAACACAGTAAAGATCTATCAAATAATGAAAATTATTTGTATGTTTTATGTGTTTTTCTGAGATCAAATCTCAAGTTTAGTAGCTAATATTCGACAGAGTGAATCTACTGAAAATTAATTTGAAAACACAACGATTAGAGACATGATGCCATTTAGCACCACTCTGTTGGCTTTATACGCTTTGTGTCTTGATTTTTTAGAAACCTTACCTGATTGTAACTTGCCGTATAGAATATTCTCAATTCCAAACTTGAGGTTTCTGCTTGACGACGAGTTCGTTTCGCTGTTTTCAGTTTGTTCGCTTGATCCGCCGTGTGTGGCCGTCCTGTCTAACGATGTCCCGTAAACGGAGGGCGACGCTTGGATAGGACAGTTCCACACGGAATAAACATTGGGGCTGTGAAGCACCGGTACAGAGGCGCAGTTACAGTAGATCAAGTGAGGTGAGTTGAACATGCTGCATCGAGCGAGCCCTCGTATAATTCAACACTGACGCACAGTGGTGTCAATGTTATTCAGGGACTGATCAACCTCTACTTACAGACCTCCCATATAAAAGATAATGTATGGGAAAGATTGGCAGTAGATTGGCTTTATCTCTAGCATCAACGTCTGCTTGAGGATATTAAAGTCTTTATTATTATTTCGCGGACATTCCAAATGCGGTTTTGATAAACGGATTTGGCAACCGTGTTGAATGGTACACGCGCTACGGAAATGCCGAGAAATGCACTCCTTTTTCAACATAGTCTCTTAAATTGCGCTGTTAATAATTTTCATACAAAGACGCGCAAACTTTTGCGCTTTTTGCGCACTCAAAGGCCCATTTTTGCTTTACCTGTCATGCGTTCAAATTGAACTCGCCAGATGGGTCCGCCCTCCTCAATCAATTTAAGGGCCTCATTTTCTCCTGGTCAATATCATATCACAAGCACTCTATATCATGTTTTCAAAGGGTCAAATTTTATGAGTATCATATTTGGTGTTGAAGAATCACTCTGGGCTGCAATAAATCCAAGCACATTTCAGTGAACTCCTGTAATCTAATTTGACTTGGAATCATTCTACGATAACAATCGATTGGAGTACATTGCTTACAATTAGCGCGTCTAACAGTCTTCTTGCTGAATTACTAAACATCACTTTTGGCTTTCGTCGTTCCTCGCTACTGACTGTTGCGTAAAATGTGGCCTGTTAAGATTCTATTTTGATTGCGTATTGATAAATTTGGCGCCATTATGTCAACTGAGTCTCCTTTATGACATATACCACGTATATACCAGAGGTAAAGTAAAATTCGAGAACTGGAAGAAAAGAAAGATTTATAGAGAGGTCGTGTATTTGGGGGAATCCCTTCATCACTGCAAGCGACGAGGCAAACTCTCATGCAATGCAGCAAAAAGGAGAAGAAAAAATGGACACTTAGATTTATTCTCTAAACTAATTTGTCATTAGCTCAGTAAAAATTCACTTTTTTGACATTTGCTGTAATGTGTCTAATAACAGCATTGGCCTGTCCACGCAAAACTGATTTGGTTTATATCATTGACAGCATTGTTTTCTTTTCAATGAAAACGTGATAGACTCGCCAGTAACTCCAATGACCCCACTTGATTAACGGAAGCCGATGAAATTATGACTTTCTTGACCAGTCGATGAGGTTATTTGTGAAATTTGGACTCTTTCCTGATACCCACGCGAAAAGCCTGAGAGTACAATAAAATATCCCACTTTAAAAGTATCAAAGAATCGAATCGAAAACAAACATATCCACATGGAAGCATCGCTCATCGGGCTCTATTTGGCTGGTCACACACGAAGCATTTGAACCGAAGGAAATATTATTCAAATATTAATCAAGCTATGATAGCTTCTTAAATGGCCCCTCACGATTGGCCTTAACAGGTTCGTCAAAGCTGCGCTTGCCATCTTCAAGTGATTGCGACAAGCACAGCCGTTTCCTGCGGCTCAATACATATCATTCAAAGCTTTCAATAATCAGCGGTAAAAATTTCCTTTATTTATTGAATCAAACGATGTTTGACCCAGCTAGTAAAAAGATTAGCAAAATAGAGAAGAAAAGAAAAATATGTCATGTATGATAAAAAACATGCGTATCTACCGCACCAAGAAAATTCTCACGCTCCATATTTAGCACAATTACGAAACTTTTCAGCTTGGGTCATCGCGGTTTTTTTATCTCTATGATGGTTACATCATGCCCTTCTTTCTTAACCGAGAGAGGCATGGGGAGAGTTTCAGGATGCAACGCAGCCAACGTCTCGAAACTATTAGCTCCCGCAATAGCTCTTGGGCTATTTAGTCCGGAGCTTAAAAGATCCCAGATCTACGAAAAAATTTCAGTGCACATAAATCATTTTAACATTTTAGTGCCAACGAACAGAACCTGGAAATGAGTTATTCATCTAAAAATGTAAAATTATTCAAAAAGGAAACGTGATGAAATGTAGTCGAGAGGTGTGTCAGACACAAGCATTTTCCCAGACACTTTAAAGACTTTCTTGTTGCTGTCTAGGCTTAGTTTAATACTCTTTTAGCTGATACTGAAGAGTTATTAAAGTGTCATGATTTCTCCTGTGCTCGTGGGAAGCAGGGTTTTTTCGGGTGGAACATCAGCTCTCGGGCAAGTAGCATTGGTTTAACCTGATTTGAGGCAGAATTTCCCAAGACTGTGCGAGGAGAAAAAAAATTAGTCCCTGGAAATAGGAAAGGAGCTATTTCTCGCGGAAGTTTGAATGCAAATAAAAGAAATTGTCCAAACTGAGGCAGGAAAATTCTTTTCTGCTTTGCAGACCTTTTGGGTCGTGGGAAAGCTTGCCAACTCCTAAGTAGCTCAAAAAACGGCTCAGAAAGGACTAAGAATACACGTGCATTCCATTCGTAAAATCCTTATCCTGCTTCAATGCAGAGTAATAAGACTAAAAATTAAGCACAGAAACCATGAGGAGTCTTCATCTTACGGTCTAAGAGAAGTGAAACTCGACATTTTTTACCGAAATCATTCAATGAAATAAAACCTCAAGAGAGCAAGCTATTGCTGGCCACGTACCCCATATCCTCTCTCCTCTCGCCAGCAAAAACCATGTATATGCGTTTTCGATGTAGGGAGAGAAAAAAAAAAGATCTCTTCATTCACTGGTGACGACTTATTTGTCTTTCCGTTACGCGAAAAAGAAAACGCAAATCGATTTTATTTTGTACGCTCAACCGACCTATGCACTTTTTAATTTCTGACTCTCGCGAAACAGAAGTTTTCTCCTCCGTTGACAAAATGTAGTTAAGCTATAAAGAAAGAGATACATTTAGGTTACTTTAAATAACAAAGGGTGAATTCCCAGGCTTTATTAATTTGTGGTCAGACGTTTTGTGGTGGGGAATGCACTTAACGCGGCGAGAGGCGCAAACCCGCATAGTTACTGCCATATCTTCTTCATTCCAGGCATTTCTTAAAATAAAGACTGTTTGGAATTGAGAAGGAGAGACGGTACGCTAAAACGAATTGTCGTGACGAGAGTCTTGCGCGCCAAGCAAGTATTATTGTTATTGTAATACTTTGCTTTTCAGAGTTTAAAAGGCTGACATACATTGATCTTATGTATTATTTAAAGCCTTTAATTGTTCGCCTTTCAGATTAACGGCAATTTACGCCAAGCCCTTCACGTTTGGAAAGTTTTGTCGTCTTGTATAAACAGGGAAAAAGATTACTTTATTGCTACAGAGACTAATTTGTAATCCTCTTATACGGATAAATAAATAATTTGGGACAACAAGACACTAGGTTCATCTCCTTGCTTTAAAAGAATATCTGGGAATTAAATCCACTGTCATTTTCAGGATTAGTCTCTGCGTTTCTGCTCTAACAAAGAAAATGCCTAGAGCGATATATAGCTAATAAAAACTGCTATGCGGAAATATGAAAAACGTTATGACGACTTAAAATCATGGACAATCACTTTATTATCAACTTCGTATTCATGGCTCAAAAAGATTTCTTAGAATTAACTTTTTGAGATTAATGTTTCATATTTTGAAAAAAAGCGAAATTCCTTTTCATTAAAATGTGATTGAGGAGATTGCCTCTTTTGTTGAGCCTCGATCAACACGAGAAAATCAGGACCACTACAAAAACTCTGAAGTTTCGTAGCATGAAATCTCCTCTGACTGAATGGCACATGAAGAAAGAGACTTTTTGTCCTACTATGGAAACTTGGCGGGGATTATTCACAGTTTTAGGGCAGAGCAAATCTTATGCGACCCGACATTAACAATCGAGTACGGAAAATCTCTCAACCATTGCAGCATCTTTGCTGCCAGCTGATCCTACTTTCACAAGCTTTTTGTAAAACAAAGTCATGGGCAAAAAAAAAATCTAAGTTGTCAGTCGCGACTCCGGAACATCACTGGGCGCTGTCGAAGAACTGCTTTGATATTTATAGTTAGGATTTGTTGCGGTAACTACATCATACGTTCATGGCATAACAGGGGCAGCCATTTTTTCAAATCTGGTTTAACTCAGAGATTTAGAATGCGAGCTTCTACGAGATCAGCCAAGCTTAAAAAACTGTGCAGAACTTCGCAGTTTGCTGATAGGAACAACCGCACAACTTTGAGATAACCTTTTGAGATTTTATTGACAAAAATTTGAACTATGTGGCTAGGGCTGAGGCTTTCCTGCCTCTCAAATCTATGGAATTAGAAGCGTTTAATTTACATGATGATTTTGTTGTCCTAAGAGAGGGAGATGATTACGAAGCAACTATTAACTATGTAAACTACAACATCAGGTCTTGATGCATTCACTTTAGAATTTCTCAACACATTACACCGTGTAAGTTAACATGTCATGTATTACCTCTACACAAACATCTCAGGCGTGGAACTTGCCTAAGTCAACGGATCATGTATTGACGTTCTTCTCGATACATGAAAGATATTTTGTTTGACTCCAGATAGTGTAGGGGAAACGCAATCATTCAGGCTTAGATACGTCCCGCTAAATCATACCATTTATAGGGCTATACTTGGTGAACTCGAGCTTTTCAACTCTTTGCTACACTACTCAAAAACACGTTGGGTATCAACTTGCTACCGCAAGGTATGGATTCCTTGAACGGCAGGCTCTGGGGTCAGCGACTGGCCGAGTGAAACACTTCTGTGTATATTATGGGAGGTTTTTTATGATGATTTCAAACAGATTCACTGACCCTAAACCTAAGCAAAACACACCGTGGTCACCAGGGGGAAGCTTTAAGAAAAGAACAGCCTTACCAGGGATGCAGTTCAAGATGGACGGTTATACGTCGTGGAAATCTGGCACACGTCCTCAAACGGACGCTCGGTGCTCCACTTGCACAAGCTGATATGTGCTTTGTGCGGTTGTCGTAAACCACCATCTCTTTGCACAAGTGATGCCCCCTGCAAGAGAACGACTTGCGAAAATAAAATCATAGTGACTAATGGAAGGACTGACATGCTTGGACAGAAAGCCCGGACCAGCAGTGAAGCATGCGACGAGCGTACATGCATAACCCAAGATTCACCGCGGGTGTGGCTGTCGTCGGATGGAGAGTTTATTTAGTTAGAGGAAGGGTACTTGATAACAGTTTTAAAATTATGAGAAGTTAGTCGGTAGAATCTGGAAAACTGTTGACAGTATAAACTGTAAATTAGAGAGAGTAGGAACCGCAAAAACTCTTCTTCAGGATCAAAATTAGCAACTTCTGCTGTTGATTTAAAAAGGAGTTGTGGAAAAAAGTATTTTTTCGGGCTGTTGATTCCAAAAGGAGGTGAGCAAAGGAGTGTTTTCTGTGTTTTCTTAGTTCGATGTCCTAACTGGTGGAAAGGAGGGGAAACTGGAGAGGAGGCTAATTATGCAGCGTGACGTGCGTTACGTTTGCGTGACAAGTCAGGAAGAAACAAACAAACATGGCGGACGACGGTGTGCAAGTATACAGTGTGCTCTGTTCAATATTTTGTAAAGAACTTGGCTTCGCTTAAACAACTTTCATTATTCAGAGATAACTTGGTGAGTTGTATGTGATGGTTCTTACAGCTCTATGATCGCTTGGGGATTCAATGTCCCAATCTGACAGACAATTCGAACTGTTAGGAGATTGCGAACAGCGTACATTGCAAAACTGTGAAAATTTAGAAAAGTTACACTCGCAAATTTCGTTTAAAGATTTGGTCTTACTCATGAACGAATTTTATGCGCCTAAATTTTCAGTCTCTTATAGAAAAGGGAAAGAAATAGACCCTCTACACAGTCCATTGCTGTCCTAACGTATTTGGTAATCCCAGGAGTGTTTAAGGCAGCAGGAGCACTGATAAGATTAAATCTAGTTATTTGGTGATTTCTATGCAAACTATTAAAGGGTGTGCCTGAATTTGGTGAAATAAATTCAACTCGTCAGGTGAATGGCTACACCTCAGAGGAATGACAAAGAATATGGCCGCCCAGTGGCAGGATCTAAAACCGAGACTCGTGGCAGATTTGCAGGGGCTCATATCAGCCAAGAAGTGAAGCAGTTGTGCCAAATTATTCTCCAGATGGGTGAGGAACAACCAGATGGAACTTCTACTGTCACATTTCGACGCTTGTTTGACAGGTATACCAGAATATCCAACAAAGTAGTAGGAATGTTACTCAGGGCTCGGAAGCAGAATTTGGTTCACTTTGAAGGGGAAATGCTTTTCCAAAGAAGAGATGATGATGTTATTATTACTTTACTGCACATGCCTGAAGAATTGGAAAATGACCCAGAAGAATATTGGAACATCCGTGCCAGATAATGAAATCATTTTGTTGGAAGATTTGTGGCACTTGAATAATGTTTCAACACAGTAGATCATACAGTTTGCTAAATCCTTACACAATCCTGTAGACATGGTCTAAGCTCTCTCTTCATTTTATGAAATCAGTGGACTTCACACTACTGTTCTTAGCAATGGTTTTACAGCGGACACAAAATTTTACAGTGGACATAAATCAAGTCCTTTTAATAATACGAAACAATAGTTATGTACGCTGGCATAAATATGTTTTGGGCCAGACTCGGAGTCATTTTAGCCCCAGACACTCGGCTTTCAGGATTAAAATGACTCAGAGAAGGGCACGAAACATATTTATGACAACAAAACAGTTTGAACAAGTATTTAAGACAAGTATTTTCACTCCTTTGAAGAATCATCAATGGTTTTTTTAGTACGTACACTATAATCGGTCAGTTTAGCCAGCCGTATTTCAATGTACGGCCCGCTAAATTCAAAAGATTACTTGAATTTAAATATTCCTCCGCTATTTGAATAAAATAAATATTTTACTAAGCTCGTTTTCTCGGTCAGTAACGGAACCTTGTTTTTTTCTGCTGCGATTTATTGGCCCGCCTGCTGCGCGCTTGGGTCCTTAAAATCTGTCTATCCGCAACGTGGACAAACTAATATGTGCTCGTCTAGCGAGTTGCTTGTTGCTGGATTGTTAAGGGTAATTTAAATTACAACGGGTACCAACAGACTAACAAAGCACGCAGCTTCCAGACTGCGCCGGTCCCAACTTGCACGTGAAGTTCCCTTTTGACTTTTTCTTTCCTCAGTTTTCTCTTCTCTAGTTTACCCCAAAGAGATCTTTAGCCATCAAAACTTCAATAGTTATCGGAAGAATTCAGTATCTTTCCTAGCGTCAAGTCAAACCTTCTGACTGAAATAGTGCAGTGTATAGAAATATTGGCCTGTTGGAGTGTCACAGTTTGCTGGCGCTTATCTTGGCCAAGCCACCAGAAAAAGTACGAACCACGCGCTGTACGAGATCTGGGATTTCTTCATTTATACGCGTGGCTGACATAATAATCGAAAGATGTTTGTAAACTATGATGGCCGCCGTTAAAAAACATTGAGGTGAGTGATTTAATCTGTAATTATATCAACCAGTTTCTCAGCAACACTTCTAGGACTAACAATAATAACTCGTAGGAAGCAAAATATTCGTCGAATACCTATAGAAGTTGAAATTGAAAAATCAACAAAATCGATTTCAGGAGTGGCTTTGTTCCCGAATAGAACTGAAAGCGAGCAAGATTATCATTTTGTTAGCTTCACCGTCGCTCGATCTGAAATCTTTAGCTGTTTTTTGCGAAGAAGAAATCACTCCAAGATCAAGAGAGAAGCTGGAATAAATGCAAATTGAAGACGGTGATTCAGGATAAAACACAAAGATTTTTTCCGCGTGTCTGTTCGGTAATGGTGGATTACAGATGACGTAAAAACGTTGATAGTGATTCTAAATCGATAGATGAACAGTTAAAGAAAGTGGCTGTAGGCTCGAGATAATATTCGTACCAGGTGGTTGAAACTTTCTACAAATTAATATTCCTCTATATTGGATTAAAATAGACTCTTTAAATGCATATTTGTTTTCGTTAAAAATGTCATTATGGTGATCAATTACTTCGCAAGTATAAATTAATAGTCTGAAATTTCCATCATTTTATTTTTATGTTATACACTTAGTCATAAGAAGTCGTCCAACTGCAAACTGCATTGTAACCACGTAGCCAATTTCTATCTATATCAGAACAGACATATTGTGATAAGGTAGGGTCGATTTGTTTTGTTCAGTGACAAAGACTGAAAAAAGAGGAAAAATTACAAATGGCTTGGTAAGGCTTGACTGTTCGGGCTGTAGCCCTGTTGAGGTATTTTGAAGATGCTAAGAATTCGGTTCGTTGTTTCTCGTCACTGCCGGTTAAACTCATCATCAATAGATGAACCACTCACAGAACGAAAATAAAGCAATTACTTTCGACACTTAGTTAAAAATTGTCCTATTCAGGTATAATTAACTATTTGTCACTAATACTTGCGCATAACGTAAAAACGTTGAACTGGCGCAGAAAAGAGCGCAGAAAACCAAATTAGAAGGTAAAACAAAACAGAACATTTGAATTTTCACTGTTCAGTTTTTGGGGGTTGTGCTTCATCCCAGTATCACATTTGTACTTTATTTTTGTTATTTTTCTCCTTGCGCAGAATGTTTCTCGATCGATATTATCGTCGTCGTCGCTGGATTGTGGGTGGTACTTTGGTGTCTATTGCTGTCATAACGATGATGCTAGTCCCTCCCCCTAGGGCGGTGAGTGTCAAAACCTCTAACATTACGTGTCGACGAGTTTCTTTTTCTAACGAACATTTAGGTACTTTCTTGATAGTGTTCTGCATTTTGATAAAATACTTTCAATCAGAGCCATTTGTAAACTTTCAAAAAGTTAGAGTGAGCGGCTTAGTATTGAGCTCAAACCCCTTAAAGCAGTTAGCTGCGTAGTGAACTAAATATATCTGTAGAGAATAAAGCCACTGTAAAAATATGCACGAGTATATTGACTGGAATATGGTGGAATGGTAGGTCGTGATACTCCGGGCAAGAAACATGATTTTTCAATGAGACGAAATATCTGAAAGCTCCAAAAACAACCATTGAGGGGCACATTAGTGAGATATATTATTAGACTTAGAAAGTTCAATTCTTAAGTTGTCACTAAATATAGTCGGTAAATTCCTGTAAACCGTTTTTTGACGCCCTCTGCAGATCCCTCTGTTTTTCACTGAGAATGTAACCCAGACGAGAAGAGAAACCGATGAAGTTACAGGTAACAAAAAGAGAATTCTAACGTATAAAACTGCATTGAGTGCATTATGGTTCATTCACTTATTCAGTCATATGCCTCTAACACACTCTAAATGTATTTTAAAAGGACTCAAGAAAGCAGAAACAGAATCTATACAAAACCCAAGCTTCACTCTCAAGGAACCACAGATGTTAAGCACTCCACCGCCCACACCGAGCATATTTACTTACGTAGAAGAACCTCCCGTTGAAAACGAAATGAAGAGGTTCATGACGGCGCTTTCAACGCAGGGGGCTGTTTGCTCTGACGTACGTCGAATAGGAGGCTTACCGCAAGGTCCTCACGGAGCCCCTCGTCCGCTTGGCCCTGATGGGATGTGGTATGTTTGTTTTGACGAGGAGGTTCATTTAGAGTCCGGGTCTTGTATCGTTTACTCCTTTGGGTAAGTTACTGAGGTATTTACCATTGGTCGAATGTGATAATCTGGCTAGACTGTGACGGTCATGACAAAATTGGATGGGTATTTTCCAGAAAGTTTCTTTGGTGATACAAAATTTCATTTGAACAGAGGATACAGTTTATCAGTTGATTATCTGATTTAGACGTCGGTTTAAATGATAACGTTATAGAATTCGTCCTGTATGATAAGAACAGATTAACATGCCATTGGGTTCTAGATAGCTGATGGTAAATACATTAAGAGATTCTTGCTGTGGTCTTGACATTCGCCTATTGAACAAATATGGCCGGGCCGCGTTTGTTCAAAAAGGGATTAACAGGATGAGACGATCTGCGGTGGCCATTAGTTATTTACATGGTTGACGCGAAATAATTGTCTTTCAATTAGACAGCCAATGCCTAATGTGTTTCACTAGCCTCGTACCTTCACTGCCAGTTTGAAATTTTCCAGAACTACATTGGTTTCAGCTCACTACATGAGGGTCTCCATGAGGTTAACCGTAAGCCGTAAAACGGTAAAAAAAATGTAGCCGTCAGGCGTAAAAAATTAAAAAATTTTAACTGTTAGTCGTAAAAAAAAGTTAACCGTAAAAACTTTCAAGTGATCACAATGGAAAGATATTAACTGTTAGCCGTAAATTGGCCAAATTTTAAATTTTACCTATCGACGTAAAAGCCATCACCCCATTGAGACCTTCCTGTATGCGGTCCGTGATTGGCCATCCTTTCAACCAAAACAAAAGCAATGTGATGGCGACACGGAAATTCGTTTTTCTCCGCACTTTGAATAGATCTAACAGCTGAGATTCCCGTGTTCGAATCTCTTCGAAGCTCATGTTGTTTCGCAGTTCCTTTTGCAGTAGCTTAGGCCCTCATTCGACATTCCATATTGTTGTCCATACAGTTTGTTTGTTTTTTCTTTGACATCTCCCTGGCTCCTTATTTCATTTCCTATTTTCTTATTAGCTGTTCTGACTACCTGCCTTTTTTCGACGGTGATCAGTGAGATGACCTCAACGGTTCGAGCTTGCCTTCAGGAAACAATCAAAGCAAGATTAAATTTACGCTTGCATGTTGCTACATTTTCTTTAAACTTTTAAAACACTTTAAAACTTTCAATTTCAAAAGAATTAAGATATTTACTTGCTGCTGATTCCTTATAGAACAGGGGATGACTTTTCCTTTGATGAAAAAATGGTCAAACATGGCTGCAGGGTGTTTGCTTTTGATCCTTCTATGGGAAAAGAAGACCATAACCATAGTGCTGGCGTAATGTTCTATAACCTAGCCCTGTCAGACGAGAATCTCGAAGGACAAAAGGATCCTCCCCCTATTAATCCATTTGACAGGAATGGATGGAAGACAAGAACGCTAAACGCCATTTTACAGGAACTAGGTCATGATAAGGTATTATATTTGTTTAAATTCCTGCTGAGATAGCATAGACTTTGAAGATTCTGTTGTTATTAAGGCTACAAACATAAAAAAGGTGGGTGGGTCGGTGAAAATTTAATCCTCTTTCGTTTCAACGTCTATCCTCATTTCAGTTTACTTGTCTGCAAGTTTCAAAGGCAGTGTGAAAAGTCAGCTGTCCAACTATCTAAATTTCAACTGAAGCCGGATAACTTGTTCACTTCATATTTTCCTTGATTTTGATTGGTTATTATTGGTAGGGTAATTCATAGTCATTGGCTAGTGGGATTTGATGTATTATTTCTATTGGCCAGTTTACCGTTCAATTTGACCAGTCCTCGGAGTACACGTATCTTGCATGTAATTGGGAAAGCCAGATCCGACGGTTACGTACCGCACCAGTCAATTAACCGCCCAACAAATAAAGATTTGTGCATTTTGTTATTTACATAATGATAAGAAATACTGCGAAATACAGTCCAAGCTGGCGAGGTAATAGCCATTCGTTATCAAACCTTCCTATTCTTCGACACTTTTTACTGTCCCTAGAGAGAAATTGACATTCTAAAGATGGACATTGAATCTGATGAGTGGAAGTGCTTACGTCATATGCTTAGCCAAGGCACTTTGTTGCGTCACGTGAGACAGCTCGACGTAGAATATCATGTGATCATGCTAACACCAGAAGCGCTGAGGCAGTACTACAGTATAGCGAAGTGGCTTGAGAGACAAGGATTCAGAATTTTCCATTCAAGAAGAAATCCTTACTGCCAGGAGTGCTGGGAAATGTCATATATTAACTCTAACCTAGTCAAGTTGACATTAAATTGATTTTTTGAAAAAGTTCGGAATCGTGTTGATTAAGGCTTCTTTAGCCATCGTTCACCGTCGTTGGAGTGGTGGCTTATTTGATAATGGTAATGTAGTCCAATTCGGGCCTTTATCATTCGAGTAATTAACAAAATCGGGTGACCTCGAGACGGGAGTCTGATTTGTCGATCACGAGTATGATTAAAGACAGAATTGGAGGACTCAATGTCCTGTTACCAATTAATTAAAATTATATCAAAATTTGAGAAAGAAACTAGACATCGGTTACACGTTTTTATTAAAAGAAAAAAAAATATATATATATAACTGCAGACAGTACTGTTTCGGCCTTCTGGGCCTCATCAGTGCAGTGCTGATGCTAGGATGGAGGTAAGACCATATAGCCACCCCAAGTGATCTCACATATGTGGGATCATCTATATATATATATATATACACACATATATATATAAATAAAAGAATCAAAGACTTATATATACTCAGCTCTGCTACCACAGCATTGAGCACTTTATGCCAAGGTAGACTCTACCCCCACATTTATATATATATATATATATAACTAACTGCAGACAGTACTGTTTCGGCCTTCTGGGCCTCATCAGTGCAGTGCTGATGCTAGGATGGAGGTAAGGCCATATAGCCACCCCAAGTGATCTCACACATGTGGAATCATCTAAGCCATGCCAGAGTGCTCAAACTAGAAAAACTAGTGAGCATGCATATATATAAATTAAAAAATACACAACACTTAACAAGCATGACGCGTGCACTGTCCTATTAGCGCTCAAATCGGGCCAATGGTAACTAATCACATTCGAGAATTTTTTTATAGTTTTGATTAAACCGAATAAAATTGTAGTTTTTCATTGCTCACGAAAAACTCTTACTTGTATAAATGAGTCACGCGACCCTTTTGTTACAGATCACGCGAGCTTTGTCAGCCACACACCAGTGTTAACTATATTCTCAAACGTGAAGGATAAATCATCAAATTTACTTTTCTCGGAAAATACGATCAGTGAAACGCTAACGAGAAACCTTTCGAGGAATTGTTTGACCTTATTTTATTTTAGGCGAAATTTTCGCATTAATGTGTTTTTTGGAAGGAAAAAAAAATATCTTTTAAATCCCAGTTTAACCAAGACCCAAAGCCTTGTTGAACTATAAAACATATATTGGGTGATAAGGCTGCGTTTAGTGGTTCCTTTGTTATACGCGAAAGTGATTTGGTCACGAATGAATAAATGTACATGGCAAACTGGTCCTCGCACGTAAATTGTACAGCAAAGCAGATGTAAAAACAATTACATAACCTTTTAAAAAATATAAAACGTGACCTTCACAAGTCATGTTTTGAACTTGAAAGTGGTTGTTATGTTATGTAACAGTAAACTTCGATACGGAAAAAAATATTTTTAGGGAAACAAAACCCGCACAGCATTTGTTTGGGTTTCCTGTGATCCATATCTTTGGTTTGGTGCATGCAGTTAGAATCATGGTGCGTCATACTGAAAGTAAACTTCATCCAATTCCTCCTAAACTTATTTAAAGAAGATGCATTCGAAATCAGAAACATCAACTGGTCGCAATTACTAGTCACGAGGTTGAAGGGACTCCCCCTTCACGTGATGTTTGGGATCACATGATGAATTGCCCCCATACTTCACCCTAACTATTTTCAACATGGATGCCTTGCGAGTTAGACGTATGAACTCAACTGCGGCAAAGAACGTCGTGCGTTTTATTCTAGAAACCTTACTCTGCATTTACCAGAATCCACAAGTCTTTGGTCACCATTCTTTGTGTGTTCTGGTGTACGCAGCAATCCATGGGCTTATTTATCTCCTTCAAAGAGGAAGTATCTTACAGAGGAATGTCGAGGAAAGTACAGCATCTTCGTCGTCAGACTCTCTTGTTGGTTGCCCTAAAAACTCTTCAACGTCGAAGGTTTGCGAAAGTGACGGTGAAGCGCTAAAGTCTTCCATAGAAAAGGATGATTCGACGTGGGAAAATGACTTAGGGAAGCCCGCCGAACGCAGCTCACCTGTTTTAAATCCGGATCATTTCGATGCTCGGAACAGATTGTCTATGCTTCGAATGAAGGATATTATTTCAATCCTAGGAGACTGTAGAGCTAAAAGTGTGGACATTGCTGCTTCAGGGAAGAATGATTTGGATGGCTTTTTCAAGGGATTGGGTAAGTTAGTGCGTTGCATCTATTTGAATTTCAGTTTTCTTCCATGTAATCGAATTTGGAATTATCAGGTCTGATCTCATTCAATCGTTAATTGTTATATACGTGCTCAGTAGCCCTCAAAGTTCACGTCTCTGATCGTCCTTTTCGTCCTTTGTAGACGTCTCGTCATTCCGGGGCGCTGGTGAACGAAGGATTTCTACGAAGAGAGGAATTCGAGTGGATTTGGCGGACAAAGAGTAAGCAGTCCGGTGATTTAGTTCCATTTTTAAAGCATGTCTCCTGAGACCTTCAAATATTGTTTTGTTCATACATACGATTTTTAATCCTTTTAAGAACTGTTTTTTAAGAAAGTTACGCAGTCGTAATTGCCAAAATGAACAAGGTGGTCCCAAGAGAAATATTTTCTGCGGGGAATTTTTTGAGCAAGGTAGTTTCCCCCACGATTTTATCATAAAACAGACACGAACGTTTATGAAATGTTACTTTTTATTTTGGTGGTCTTTCAATATCTTTTTGTCTGTATTATTCTACAGAAATATATTTCTGCTGCAATTTCCTGGTTAGGAAAATTTTAATAAATCACTTTTAACAAGGAGAAAAATTATTAAAATAACTGTAGTAAAAGGAAATGATGGGTATGATTTGTGCATGTGTAAGGAGTGATTCGTATAAGTGTATTGTTGTGTCTACCGAATCAAGGCATTAAAAAGATAAAAGTCTAATTTCCAATACGTTCATGACACAAATTTTCAAAATTTCAGATTTTTTCTTTGTTTTATTGATTCAATATAGACTTCAACTGTGTATATTTTCATGGTAGTGCATAACGAACATGCAACATAAATTTTGTCTAGTTTGAGGTAAATTAATGTATCTTGGTATCACAAGAAATCACTAAATTCAGCACTCCATGCTCCATGTTTTTCTAAATAATCATTTGAGAAAATGAAATCCTAAAAACTAGTGGCCAGGATTGAAATATTGTTTGCTAGAAAAAACAAATTTTAGTACAATTGGAAAAGGACATTATATACAATACCATATGATGTACTGTACCTCTGACCAAAGCTGAGTTCTTAGAGAAAAAATTTGGAAATGTAGCAATCATTTGGAAAGGTTCATGTTACATCTCATGACATAAAACGTTCATGTTTGTTTTAAGTCAAAGGAGAAAGAGGGAAATATTATTTTTAAGAAAGTGGCAGGATATTTAACATAATTATCCTATCTGAATTTTTATTTCAACTTGATTTTGGAACATAAACACTAAGTATTAATTGAATGAAGCAAAATACCATTAGTGCTGACCCAAGGTGAAATTTTAATCTGGGTTTCTTTATTCCTTTATTCAAAAGCCTTTTTGGGATAATGTCCTGTGTTCTTTTTAGAGCATTAAATAGTCACATTATAGACAAGAAGAATTCAACTGAATTTTTTTTTAAGCTATCAGATCTGATATCAGATTTCACACTAACCCTGAGTTATCCTAACCCAGCTTTGAAAAACTCAGCCCAGGTCACCTAACTGACCAAATTAACCTTTAGTTAATTATTTAGAAATATCTTCACCCTTTCACTCCCAGATCTGTAAGTAATTCTCCTTACTGTCTGCCATTTGCCCAACTGATATTTCTCTATATTCTTATCACTTGTCTTCTTGGCATTGTAGGGAGAAATTCTGTCTTGGTCACTTCTGGGAGTTAAAGGGTTAAACCAAAGCCTTCACAGCTTGGAATGCTGAGTTACTGTTGAATTTAGTAGTAATTGCATGAGATAGTGAGTGTCTTTGTTGTGTTTTCAATGGCAGCATAAACTTACATGTGTCACTTACTGGAAAAGCCACTAAAATCCCTGAAGAACATGACTGGGTTGGTATAGAGGAAGAGACTCTAACTGTTACAGTGAAAACAACTCTATGTGATCATGGCACACTGACAAGAGAACCATCAGATACAGGTTCCACTCAGAAAGGAAGTGGTGATCCAAATAAGACATGTCAGACACTTCCAGATGGAGGAGGACCCTCCCCACAGGTTGCAAAGATTCAGAATGGAAGCATCAGCTACTCCCGCTGCAGCAGTGGTAGTGGAGGAGATGATGGAGATGGTGATGATAACAGGAAGCAGACTGGTCGCATTGGTGGCTGTCAAGGTAGTGGTGGGAATGATGTAGACAATGAGGATGAAAGTAAGCAGGCATCCAAACAACAGGGTCCTGAAGATGATGTTGCTAATGATGATGATGATTGTCGCGGCAATGAAGAGAATCACAGTGAATCTCAAAGAAGTGGTAGGTAACTGTATTCCAGCTCTGGGTGATTTTGATACTAGGGTTGCCAAGAAGTTTGAAAGTAGAATACAAGGAGGAAGTAGGTGACCTGGTTATTGCGAATACCTTGTTGTTTCATTACTTTACTTCCAAGACTAGGAACTACACTTACTCTGTTTAAATGTATCCCATTATTGAGATAGTTTACACAAACTTTCAAGTGAATTCTGATTGTAGAATTAATTCACATACCTTAACTTTTTTTGTGGTAAACTATGCATCTAATCTTACTCAAAACTTGGGAATGGTTGCTGCAAGAATCTCTCTGATGGTATTTCAAAAATTACTGGCTTTCTAATCAACAGGTAGGGTAAAATGAGGTGAAAAAAGCAAGCTTAAGATGGGAGACTAGCTGTCAGTTTTGACCAACAAACAGCTCAGACTGACAGCCATGGACACCACCTTTAAGTGAAGGCTTGATGGATGTGTCATTATAAGAGCTCATTATTCATACATCCCTCCTTTTAATGCAATGTTAATTGGCTTTCCCATAAGTAGAGTGATTGTAGGATTTTCCTTTCCTATGATCAGCTTAACTCTTACTGTTTGATTTTAGTTATGGAGATGATTCCTTCTTTGATATAAATTTCATAGGTGAAAGAACAGTGCATACTGAATTAACATGTGAAAAAAGTGTATTAATACTCAAAGTAAGATCAGTTACTGTTGTTAAAAAAAGCACTTTATATATCCATTTTGGAGTGCTGTCATTTACCACTAGAGTTGTATGTTTTTTTCAGATGAAAGTCAGAGAGATGGTGCACGGTCTTCAAGTAGCTACAGCACAGTGCCTGATGGAAGTGGTAAATCACCCTCCCAGAAAAATGGAAACAGTTCATGTTCTGACAATGCCAAGAAAGCTGCTCAACAGGTTAATTAAAGCTCTCATGATGTTGTGCAGATTATGGATAGCTCATTCTTGTCACTAAGTCAAACTATGTTAAATTTTACTGACAATAAATTTATCAAGACAGTATTTAGTTGGTTATTGTTTAGACTGAAACAAGACTGGGTTTTCAGCTCAAATCTTCTCTAAACCTAGATCCACTGGTTCAAAAATCATGAATTAAAAGTTCTTTGGACCAGTATAACTTTTGTTTTTAATAAATGTCTGTATGAAATTACAGGGCTTGTGGATTGATGTTACTGTAGCCAAGATAACAGCTCAAGCACATTTCACACCCCTTGAGTCTCAGGTATTTTGAATTAACTTGGAATGTCTTTGAAAATCACATATTCTTCAAATCATAGTTCTCTAATGGAATTTTTTTTCATTGTAAGTTATTTGGTTCCTGTTGTTATTTGGTTTTGTTGCCAATGTATTTGTGACAAATAATATATAATATGTTTTTCCCTTTTCACTTGAACTCTTCTTAGGATGAATCAGAGGAAATCTGCAGGAGTGAATCAGATAAAGACCTGCAGAAAGCCTTTACCTGTCGCCGAAACTTGAATTCTGAGAGAGAGTGGCAGAAATGTACTGATACCTTCTGTCAGCTAATCCAATACTTGCTTGACCACTCGCAAAACTGCAGAATGCGTGTGTTGGGTGGATGTGAAGACTGCATCAGTTATAAGGATATGCTGTTTAACCATGTTTCAAAGTGCATTCTTCCTCTAGGACGATGTGTAGTTGCAAGGTGTGATTACATCAGGGAGTACATGCGTACAAACTGCCTTCCAGAGAACAGGAAATGGACATGGGCACTTGATCAGTTGTTCTTCAGTCCCACACCCCCCTCAACACCCACAAATGAAGACAGTGAAGAGTTCCTGGGTGGTTATAAGGAAGTTTTGGCAAAACTGGAAGCTGCAAACACCCAAGAAGACACAGTTCATGATCCAGTTAAAGACATCCTAATTGCTGATAGAAGCTTGACATCTAACTGTGAACCCTTGCGAAGTGCAAATGGATGGAATCAGTACCATGTGGACCGCCCACCAGATGTCCAAGTTACCAGAGGTCCTGTTATCCAGGAATCCATCCAGGCTGAATGTGAAGACTGTTCACCAAGTGCACCATTGAGTGTGGCTGATGTGTCTGTGACAAATACTTGTACAAGCCAGACTGTGGGAAGTGATTTGGTGCAGGAACTAGGAGAGGTCATTTGGCCCTTGAACCAGGTACTGCTAATTAACCCTGGGTCATATGTCTTGTTTGCATTTCAGCTCTCAGGAAGATGAACTTCCTTTAGATGGCTGCTTGACGTACATGTAAATGTACATGTACCCTGAATCACCCACATTTGTCTTGAACCTTTCATATACAATTAGAGGAATTTAAACCTTCAAATTCCCATAAGTGATATTGATAAATCACCTACATTTTCCTTGAACCTCCCATATAAAGGAATTTAAATCTCCCTTCGAATTCCAACAAGGGATTAAGAGGTTCTTTCTCCTTGTAATTTTAAAATACATTATTTAGCAAACAAGTAGAAAGTAACATGCCATTTGGGGTTTATTATTATCTTGATATGGCACTTCGGTGATCACTAATCAATTCACAAGAGGCTGTGTAGCATCTACTTTGTGCAAAGGGGAATTACTTGTATTCATCAGATTATTGGGGGGGGAGTCTCTGTCTCTCTCTTCTTAGTCTGTCTTGATAGGCTGTTCAACTGGAACAGTTGCTATGGCTGGTATCTGCCAGGCTTAAATTTATAATTTCTCATAACAAACTGTAGCTATCTGCTCTTTTCAGGAGAAGTTGGGTGTTGGTGAGAATGGGTCTTACATTGAGAAAACCCATTGGCAAGTCATTCATTCAATTGGAGGGGGCTCTTGTGGCCGTTGTTACCTTTGCCGTGATTTGTTAAACCAATCTCTTTTTGCCATCAAAAAGGTACATGATTTTTTCAAATAAATTAAATAATTTTTGTTGTAATGTGATAATTTGGTTTTGTTAATGGAGTTTATAAGGTAAATTAGCCACTACAAAGAATTTCAAAGCTGACATTTGAGCATTAGCCCTTTGTCAGAGCAAAAGGCTAATGGTGGAAAAGTCAGCTTTGAAACTCTTTAAGGTGGCTAATTTACTCTATCAACTTAGTTGAGAAAACCAGATTTTCTTGTTAAACTACGCCAGTGATACAGTACTACAATGATATCTCTCTAGAGCGTTGTCAGAGCAAAAGGCTACTGGTCAAAAAGTCAGCTTTGAAAACTCTTTAAGGTGGCTAATCAACTCAGTTGAGAAAACCAGATTTTCTTGTTAAACTACACCAGTGATACAGTACTGCAATGATATCTCTCTAGAGACTTACATGTACCCCCTTCATTTACATGCCCTTAAGTTTTAACAAGTTTGTCAATTTATCATTTATTTAAAACTACTGCTGTTAAAAAGTTTTCAAAGGTGATTGGTCATCAGCAGCCAGATTTGCAGTTTTTAATGCTTATAGGGAAGTGTTTGAAGAGGACAGTTAACACTTATCCCCTTAAGTCATCTTGTGACTGAATTTCATGCATTCAATACTGTCTGTAAACATACACAGGATTAACAAATTGGAACCCTGCTTCACAGCTGTCTGTCAGTTTGATAACAGACCGAATTGGACTCCATTCACTTTTAATACCATTGAAAATCATTTGGTTTTTACTGCTACTCATTCATTCATTTTAATGCTTTGTCTCCAACATTCATAATAAATAATTAATGATCAACCTTGAGTATGTGATGATATATTCTTATGTGATATTTTTTGACATGCAGATTCCCATCGGCAAGTTTGAAAGTAATGAAATTGAAATTTGGGGAGGGCTGTCTGGACGACATCCAAACATTTTGGAATTGTATGGTGCCATGAAATACAGACAGAGTGGCACAGTGATTATATTCATGGAATATATGAGTGGTATGCACAATTTTTTTTGTTTTGTGTATATGTAACTTTGATTTTAGTACAGGGTCCCCCGATTTCATTGTGTTAATTTGATAAGTTTGAAATGAATGTTAGGATACATGCTGGGTTACCTATTGAAAAAATTGTCTGTTTTGCATCCTGATGGATATTTGGGGCCCTCATGAAGTTGTAGTAGAGTAAAAGTTTTGTTGTGTGATGGACTTTCCCAAAAACTCCCTTACAAAATGTTTAGCTCTAGCCAGGCTATTGTGTTCTTTCCTTTACTAAGGCACTTTACTAACATCTCCCTCTCCCTCTGTTCATCAAGGATTACGAAGGGGTACTTGCAACTGGTAGTGAAACTTGAAAAAATTTGCTGGGTAGAAGGAGGAGTAGCAGTACTCCTTACACTTGAAAATTCAGCTTTAAAAGCTCTTTGCAGTGGCTAATTCACATTATAAACTTAGTTGATCAAACCAAATTATTCTGTAATACTCCCTACCCATGCGACACCATAGTTTCTTTAGAAACTTACTCCCTTAATTTTCTTAAGGGATTAAGTTTTCTTGCACCAAACCACTGCACAGTTACAAGTTCATCTTATGTTTTCTTGTGTTTATTTTGTATATAATCCTTGTGCAGTAGTGTGATTGTGTTCATTCATTCTTTTAGGTGGCTCTGTTGAAGAGTATGCTGGACAAATGGAGCACAATGAGATCTGGGCAATCCATGTCTTTGGAAAAGTTCTGTTTGCAGTAGACTTTATGCACTTGCAAGGAATACTGCATCGTGATATAAAGGGTTAGTGTATGCATGTTCATGGAGCTGCATCATGTTTGTGAATCTTGAAAAGTTTGGGTTTCATTTTTTCAAGTTTGTAATCTTCTTTCTCCTTAATCATCTCTGTTACATACCTTTTGGGATATTGTTGTTGATATCTTTGAAGTGTCCTTCTATTTAAAGAAAACTCTGTGTGGTCATTGAAATGAATCAAAACATTGTAACATAATGGAAGCTAAACTTACGGCTCCCATTTAGTGCTGTCCATGGGCTGTTTTAATGGCTGTTTGGATGCTGCCATAGTGGCTTGCTTTTGGTAACATAATCTGCAAGCATTGTGAAAAGTCATCTGTTAGAAAATTAAACAGATTACATTGTCAATTTAATGCTTACAAATAGACTACTTCAATTCTTTAAAGTCATTTTTACATAAAATGAAAAAAAAAAAATTTTGCTGATCTTTTTATCTCTTTTATTTTTTGTAACATCAACCTGTACTGTTTGTTTTTGTTTTTTGTTTTTTGTTTTCATGTTGTACGCTACAAGCCACATCACTTTGCATTTGTGAGAATGAGTGAAATGGCAGTCATAGTCTAAATTAGCAAACAGGTGTCCAGATCAAAGAGCAGCTTATGCTTGGTTATTCCAATTTTGGGCTTCCACTAAATGCTCATTCAGCAGAGTGTGTTTACAAGAACAAATTCACTTGTATTCATTCTGTATTTTTTTATGTCAGTTATTTTATTTTTTTTTTTGTGCACAGGTGGTAATGTTCTTGTGGATGAGACCGGTCAACATGTGAAACTTGCTGACTTTGGAACAAGCGTCAGATGTGAGAGCTTTCTTCAGGATAACATCCCAAGAGGCACAGAACCTTTCATGTCCCCAGAGGTAAACATAGCAGTCAACTTAAATTGAAACCTTGTTGTAGAAGTGTATCACACACCTGTATGTGACTAAAGGGGGTTGTTTATTTCTTTGATATAGTCATTGTGGTTTTTCCCACTTTCTTATGGTCTATAAAAAATTAATTTATAACATAGCTTGTAAATTTGTCTAATCAAATTCCATTGCACAAGTGTGCTTCATATTCCTATTGTGCACGCTCATGATGTCAGCAAACAAATCCCTCGAGAAAAAAAATTTGGGGTTGAAAATGTTATAAAACAATTGGTTCATATGTCAGCTGTGCATTCAACAAGATATGAAGCACTTGGGAAGTTTGGAGAGCACTCAAGAAGCTAGATTTGCCCTTGGCTATGCCTCGAGCAACTCTTACGCATCTTTCATGCTCTCCAAACTTCCCGTGTTCTTCATATCTCGATGAATGCATGCTGATGTATGAATCAATTGTTAATTGAATCATGGCTAGTATCTTGATTATTGTTTACAAATTGAAAAGTTTCTTTATCTCATATCATCAGATGTGTCGGAGTGAATACCACTCTTTTAGTACAGATATTTGGAGTATCATGTGCCTGCTTTACCAACTGCTGGCAGGACATCCACCTTGGGTAGATTCATGTCATGGTTCACTGATCTATAGGGTAAATTTTACCATGTTTGTTATTATCCTTGTGTACATGATACTTCCCTCCGTGTTGATCATAGCAGTATGCAATATATGTATCACTTATAAACCTCCAAATGATCTAGCTTACTATAGAGTCTCTGTGGCTCATTGGTAGGGCAGCTGAGTTTGGAATACAATGGTCTGAGGTTGTCATACCTCATGGGACTCAGAATTTTTTTCCGCACCTGACATAAAAGTTTTCAGTTTGCATAGATATTATATGGTTTGTTGTTCACCTTCCTTAGCTGCATCTATTTTTTTCACAGATTGGTACGGCTAAGGAACCACCATCTTCTCCTCCATGCAGCCCAGAGGTTGAGGACCTCTTCAGCCAGGGCTTCATTCTAAAGCCAGCTGATCGTAAGACTGCAAGGGAGCTGCTGAGACATCCAGCAATAATGGCAGGTAAGCTAGCCTTGATAGTATCCACAGGGATGATTTCAATGTAATTTAGTGCCCAAGTCTAGTCAACTGCCCTCTCAAATCATTTTTATTGATAAAAATGCATTTATACTATTTTAAGCCCTCCTATGCTGCTAAATACTTAATAACCATGAAGAATCCGTTTCTTGAGAAAGACATAAGCACAACTGTGCTCCGTTCTCCTTTAAATTTAATACTGGACAGTCATGTGGAGTAGTCGCTTTTCTTACTGGCTTAAGCTTCCCAAAAGAAGGCGCATGCTGATCCAATCCCAAAAAGTAAGCTAGATTTCTTGCTGTACTTTTCAGCCTGGTAAAGTGGCTCCGTATGCTTTCCATCAAGACTAATTATTTGGAAGCCAGGAATTTTGTCATCACAGGGCAAGATAAAATGTTCGTGTTCAGTACAATTTTTGAATGACACACCACCTTTTATGTTAGTTTCAGCTCCAGATACATCAGGTTTTCTCTTTCCAACCTGGGGGGACACAGAGCAATATTCTGATGGTGCCTCCAGCATTAGCTCTTTCTCAAGTAATGTATTGAAGTCCATTGTGTCAGAAATGTCTGCGGACCAGCTACTGTGTGATGATTGTGCCTCAGATCTGGAGGGTGATGATGCAAACTTCAGTGACTGTTATGATGATGGCACTGATGATGATGATGATGATAATGATGATGATGATTTGTCAGAGGCGGATGATTTTCAAGTGGATGGGTTAATCTTCCCCCCTAATGGAGCTTGGCTGGGTGCTGATCTCTCTGTTGAGCAACAGTTTCGATCACTTCAAAGTGGTAAGGACTTTTGAAAATTACTTCATAGCTAGAAGGATTGCTTTGTTGGAAAGGAAACCCTTAAGTTTGTTTTAACTTTAAATTAGGGGCTCTAAAACTGAAAGTTAGACACTTAAATTGCATAGTTCCTCCCTCCATATAGTGACAGAAATGGCTCAACTGGCTCCTCAAAATTTGACTTGATCCTCTTATTGTGGTGAGGGAGGGAGGTTAATGAAGGTGTGCACCCCTCCCCCCCACAGCAGCCTCAAGGAGAACTAGTGCCATTTGACATTGATACAGTAGAAGGTCAATAAACAGACAGGACAAACAGGATAAGATGTTCTCACCCAAGAATCCTTTCAATATCTAACAGGGGTGGGTAGAGAAGTAGAGAAAAGTCAGTCCCTAGAGTTACTTGCACTTTGTTTTCTGATTGTTTTGTTTATCAGATTTGGTTCTCAGTCTTTCGGCTGATGAGTTAGAAAGACATGTGCTTTCCAATTTGGTTACTGATGTAAGTGAAAATGATGTGAACCAACTGAGAGATGACAATTTTGATGTCAGCCAAGTTTTAGGTTGGTATATATATATATATTTTTAACTTATTTTCATACCAAGTGGGACAAATAATGTAAGATTCTGTTTAATAGTTTTCATGGGTAATGTTGGTGGTAAGGATTTTATTGACAAAGATTCTTTGAAGGAGATGACACAAAGTGCATTTTTTAAGTTGGGAAAAGTTTCTTTGGACAAATGCTAATCTTGATGATGAGAAAATACAGAAGGTAACATACGTTTTAAATTTCTTTTCCAGGGTTAAATCACCTCGAAATACAAAGTATCGATGATCTGCCCCCATCAAGTATGCCCAATGATTGGTCGTATTCCATCACAGGTAAACTTTCAATCTTTGAATCTTAAATACTATTGATTAGTTCAAATTTTTAGAAAAAAATTTTTCACTATTGTTCTGCTGGTGTGCAATGTATTCATATTTACATTTCCTGTGTTGTCTTCATCCTTTAACACATTTGGATGTGATTGACATGTTACTTCTCCCTAAAATATCCGTACATTATTCAGCAAACATGTGATAAGAATACTCAAGCTTATCAGGTAGTAGTTGTTATCTTAATCTAATACCAAATTCTCATAACTAATGTACTAGGAAATGTGTAGCAGCTAGACTGGAGAATGAACAATTAGATATTGGGAGTTAAGGGTTTTAGCTGTATGAAATCTGTATGTATCTCAGGCATTTAGTCTTACATTGTGATCCGGGACAGGGTGGTTATCCAATAGTGACTCATTATCTAAAAACAAATATCCCTGGGTATCTGTTTTGTTACTTATCCTTCACGCTATAGTTCATTTTTTATTTTGGTTTTTACATGACGACTTTATAAATGGTGCTGTAAATTTTCTCTTTTTAAATCGTGCATAGGTTAAGTCTTCTTCTGCAGTTGTTTATCTCACCTTTGCGTCACGTCATCGGAATATAGCATAGATGTCTTTTCTTTGAGTTCTTATTGGCTCTTTGCCATATGTAGCTTTGTTCTGATTGGCTGTTTTGATTCTCTGTTTGGTTTTACAACACTCAATCGAAAAATGCTGTAGAAACAAGCTACATGATTGTATTTCTGATTTAGCTGATTGCTACTACAATCGCACTGATCTCCAAGAATGTAGATTTTATATATTTACTTATTTTTTGGATGAGTAACCTGTAGAATTAATGCCTATGGTTTTTGATATTTTAGATCTCGCAAAGATTCACATCACAGACAACAGTGGAAAATGGCTGTTTTTAATCCGTGAGAGACCCACCACAGCTTATGGACGTCTTGCTGAAGACCTTCACGGCATTGTAAGGGTTTGAATCTGCTATCTCTCATCCTCTTTACATCAGATTAAATGAGTTCCTTCGACAGATCCAAAGCTTTTAGTACCTGCAACCGTCTAAAACAAAACCTTCCCCCGCAACCCATACATACATGCCCTCCCCCCCATACATTTTTGTTCCGAAAAAATTATTTTTAAGTCGCGCGTTTTTGCTGTAGCGCTCCCCGAGGGAAAAAAACGCCAGATCGCAGGTTATCACCATTCCCATAGTATTACTTTTCACCACCGACTTGTGGGTGTGTTCACGTTTGCACATTACAGCCCCTTCTTGCATGTATTTTTAGCGGGCGCTACTCCTTGCTGGACATGATGCAATGAGAACTGTTTCCATGTTTTTTACCCCGCAGATTGCACCCCGGCTCAATTTGAACTTCTTTTCGTTAACTCGAGAGGATGGAGCCCCATTGAACGTCCGCGCGGAGATTGGCCGTGAAGAGCAAACATTAAGGGTGGTGCGTGCGCAGGACGATGACCACTGGCAGGAATACCGCTGGAGAGTGGATGATCGCGGTCGTGTGGAGGAGTTTTTCGATTTAGGGAATAACTGATATCATCATTCAGTAAAGTGGCTGAAGTAACTGACGTTCAGTAGATTGTTATTAAAAGTGTGTCTAGGATGAGTTAAAGAGTGGAAAAAAAAGTTAAAAGCGAAGTAGTTTTTTATGATCATTTTCAGTAACAGTAGTGTACAACGTTTAGAATTAAATTTTATTTTTGTGTCTTTAGGAGATAAGTAGGTCATAAGCTATAAATTTAAATTAAACTCCAGATATGTTAAACATAGAAGAGTGTAAAACGTACCGCGTTAGTAACCAGATACGATGGTAAAAAATAGACTTGTCTAACAGGTTGTAAAAGGTCGTATTATATTTTTTAGAAAGGTAAATTAAGTAGAGCTGAACAAAAAATAAGTCAAGTCAACCGAATACGGTTCAATAGTTTGTTAAGGTTTTAGCCTCTGATTACTTTTTGATCAAGTTTATAGTCTTCAATAAACACACCGTAATAGCTATCTGAGACTGTTTTGTGGCGATACCAAGTTCTAATGTAAACCCAGTTGCTTATTCCTTGTGGATGTGATATTTTCAGCTATTGAGGAATCTGTTCTTAAGATCCATAATCGAGAATTTGAAACAGTAGATACTTATTGTGATGTAGCGATCATGAACACTGAGGGGCCAAACTGTGAAAGAGATCATGTAATTTCAACTTTATTTGGAATATTGAGTTAATGGTGTTAAACCAGACATTAGAGATGAGAAGGAAAGAGAAACAGAATAACTTGGGAGAGAGAAAAAAAGTCAAATTATATGTAAATTATTTCTCCCCTGGCAGCACTTTTACTTGCGCTATCCCTCTAACTATCATTTTTTCAAAGGTTTGTGACACAAGAATTACAACTATGCTTCACAAATCGCTGTAGCATTTTACAATCAAGTCGACTGTTAGATGTCAAATTAACTCCAAAATCGTCAACGGATGGTGTAGTCTATAGAGTTGGTGCACGCCTTTCCACAGCGCGAGTGTTCTCTGGTCGGATTTGCACACCTTGAAAGGGGCGCCTTCTTCTAATGAAATCTTTAACTGCCTTCTTAAATTCAGAACTCCGAAAGCTGTACAAAACAGGGTTAATGGCTGAGTTAAGATAACCCAACATAAGAAAGAAGGTAAGCAATTCAGGATGCTTTGCGATATCGATAGCACATTTCCGACACAGAATGTACGTGATGCTCAGAAATGAGTGAGGCAACCAACAGACCACGAACGAGAAAACGATCAGAAACGTTGTCCTGGCTGCACGAATGTTCCGTTGTTGTAATTTCCTGATGAGGATGGCTTCATGTCGCGATCGCATAGATTCGACAGGTTGTTGTTCTGAGGTAGGTGAATTGGAGCTCTCTTGGACTGTACCAAGCCTTGCTGGGTCTTCAATGCTTTCTTGTTTAGCTACTGAAACATTCCCTCTCTTTTCTTTCAATCTAGACATGTGTTTAGTTTTTCCAGCTCGGCGGCCAGTTTTTGGAGGATGCGCCCGCTTGATTGCGACGCAGAACATTCTGCAGTTCAGGAAGGAAGCGATTATAACTGGTATCACAAAATTTATCATCGAACTTAAGACTGAATAAGTTAAAGAGAGGTTGAAATAACAGTATTCATAATTAACACTTCTTGGAAGCCGTTTCCAGCCAAAGACTGGGGCGAGTGAAAAGAGCATGGAGTATGCCCATAAACAGCAAACGACTATAGAGGCGCGCCTACGAGTCATCAGCGGCGATGCCTTGTAGATGTCCAGGGGTTCTTGCAGCAATCGGTATCGATAAACTGTCAAAGCCAACAAGCTTAGAATGGACGTGGGTACAGCCATTAAGTATGTTGTAGTCCATACGTTGCACATGATTTCACCATGTATCCAGCGCTGGAATGAAATGATCAGCTCCAAGTCAAACGGCATCACCAGACAAGCTGTTATCAGATCAGAAACTGCCAAGGAGAGTATGAAGCACGAGTTGATGGATTGCCGCAGGGATCTGGTGTTGAGTATGACTACACAGACTGTGATATTTCCCAAGAGGGAAGCGATGATGATGATGGCGTAAAATATGGAATATGTGACCATAACTGGTGAGACACCATGATTGTAAATGGTAGGTGAAGCGGTCGAGTTAGTCGCATTTTCTGACTCATTCATGGCGGACAACAACCTTTCTTCCTTGCTAGGCCTGCAAAAGTGAAAAGAGTAGGAGACATGCTGGCTAAACATGTGACAACTACAAATATATATACATGTACTAACATCCAAAATTAAATGTTGCATACATAAAACGGGGAATATTTTTTTGTTTTTCTGTCGTGTTTTCGCTTACAGTTTTCATCTCTTGAACATTTGATAATAAACTAAGCCATCCTTTTAGAATCAGTTCAAAATGCATTTTCAACTGATGATAAGCAAGTTTTGGATGAGGTTGAGTATGATTTCATGAATCATAAACAGATAACGCAGACAGGAGGTTGCATAATTCATGATAACATGCGAAAACCGAATTCAAGAATTGTTTTATTATACATTTTCAAACGGTCTGCAAGAGAAAACACTTCCCTTAGAGTCTGAAAAAGTTTGAGAACACTACACGGTCGTAGGGCTTGAAAACTAGGCAGACTTTGAACTCGAACCCAATATATGTGCTACAGATATTGGGTTATGATGTCAACTTCACACGCTGTTGAATATTGCAATTGATTGTATGCTCTCGACCAATAAGAGTTTTCGTAATAAGTCAATTGAATAATAATGTCATTTAGTAATCAATAACGATCTCAGATGAAAGCTTAAAATAGGCTATCGAAGTGATGCAGATTTTCAAAAAGATGGGATATTCTGAAGTCTGAAATTTTGCAACTCAAAAACTGAATTTTTTTAATGCGAGCGGTGTATTTGACTGAGCTTGTTTATTTGCCGAATTTTCTTGAAAGTTATGAAACCCATAATTTAAAACAATCGCCTTAATCCTGTCTGATCGTTTCGGAAACAATATTTGTTTGAAGTAGTATTTTATCTTGTGCAGCGTCAATCTGTCGCTACGAAATTGCTGCGAGAAAACAGATGACAGCTGTTGGGGTACTTAACTAAGGTAATTTGTAATTTTTGCGCAATACTATGATAATGCAGAAAAGGCGTTCCCAGGCCTTTTTCCATGAGCTCACCAGCAGGTGAAAATGGAATCAAAGATCAATTTAGACCATAAAAAAGCTTTTTTTTACATCCATTTAGTTTTCCTCAAAATAATTTGTCAGCATTAATTTACCTCATACGAACATGCTTTGTAACTAAAGAGATTTATCACTACAAGAGGAGAGAGATCTTATCGGATGATACTTACATTTTGACGAATAATATTCTTGTTATTAACAGTTCTCGATCGTTTCATAAATTAACCCTTTCACTCCCAAGATCTAATTAGTAATTCTCCTTACTATCTGCCATACAATTCTTATGATGTTAGTTCAGAGAATTTGGTATTAGATCAACTAATAATACCATAATTGACATTCTTCTCTACTCTCATCACCTGCCTGCTTGATATTGTATTGATATTGTAAGGAGAAATTCTGTCTTGGTCACTTGTGGGAGTGAAAGGGTTAAGTATACAAAGAAGATGTTTACAAGGCAGTAGGAAAGGCAAATAGTCTGTTCGTTTAGAAATAAAGGTCTCGCAAATCTTTTTTTTTTTTCACTATTTCTTCCCGACTGAGCCCCCAATACTTTTTGTAAACTGTTTTGAAATTTTGAATTTTGCTAGACATACTCATGACATACTGTAGGGAAACGCACCGTTTTTTTTTTTTTTTTTTTGCGAAAAAGCAGGTAAGAATGTGATAGGTACTAGGACTAAAAGCTCTTCTGAAGCGTTTTTTTTATCATAGCTGATTTCCAGGCGTCGTGACTTTTACTGTCTTCGAGGAGCTAGCGAAAGACGGTTCTAGGTTCCATTTCTCATATAAAACTATAGTCAATGATCTAAAATTGTTGCCGGTTCGTTGGCTCGTTCTCGAAAAATCGCTGATGCTAGCAATGAACATTTCAGCCCCTAAAAGTCAGCCATCCTGAAACCATTAATGGTCACTGGACGTTTTAATAGGTTGTTATAATATTCAATACTCATGCAACATGAAAAAAGACGAATTTGCCGTTTCTTGATGATAATATAACCAACTTCAGAAATGTTTATGGTTGAAACTCGACCACTACCTAGTACCTCGATAACAAAATCACCCTCTGAGATTACCTCTATGGCTGACTAGTAAGCCAACTGTGTCACGCTCGAACTCGGGAACTGTTTAATCTTCTTGACCATACCTGTCTTTAATGTTCTTGGGATCTCAGAGTGGCCTGACTTACTAAATGATGAATTTTCACTCTCTCATCGGCCTTTTACAAGCGAGGCTAATTTCCTATAACAATCAATTTACAATGTCACCCATGTATGCAAAATTTCAGCACGTGTATTAGTTAAGGACGCATCAATTAATCCCAAACAAAGCAGAAAGTTGAAATTGAGTGCGGAATTGATCTACAGGGGAGTCACGAAAGCATAACCAAACAAAATAGCGGACAAATTAGGTGAAAGCATGGAAAATGTGATTATAATTGGTGAAACACCAAAATTGTAAATGGCAGGTGAGGCAGTCGAGTTAGTCACATTTTCTGACTCATTCATGGTGAACAAGAACCTTTCTTCCTTGCAAGGCCCATGAAAATGGAAAACGTAGGGGAAATCGCTGGCTGTGACAATTACAAATATGCATACATGTACCAGCATTAAGTGACTAAGCCATTATTTTACAAAAAGTTTAAAATGCATTCGTCAACTGATACTGTCAACTGGAAATCAAGAAGGATCTATTGCGGTGATGCAAATCGTGAATGGCAGGCTAAGCAGTCGAGTTAATCGCATTTTCTGACTCACTCATGGCGAACAAGAACCTTTTTTCTTTGCTAAGCCTGCAAAAATGAAAAACGGAGGGGGGTATTGCTATATGTATCTCACTAGCATCTGATTAGCTCGAAAAATCGATTAATGTTGTTCGAAACGCAATGTTTTTCGTTCTGTAATGATAATTGCATCAACACTTCTGATATCTTAATCAAATTTTGTAAGTAACTAAACCGTCCTTTTCAAATCAGTTTGAAATGCATTTGCAAACTGACAATGTCTCCGGGCATTTTAGAAAGAACTCAGATGAAGACTCGTTACCGACTGTCACTGGGATGAAATATAATAATTGATTCGATAAGATATTCTGAATTTTTTTTTTTAAATTGACTTTGCTCAATATGCGTGGTACTTTTGACTGCGCTGACTTGTCTGCAGAATACCATTAAAAAAGGAAAAAACTTAAGCGAAAAACGACCCCGCTCGTAGAGTACTCTATCTCCTGTCAATTTTTGTTTCACATAAAAGCTGTTGTTGAACTCCAAATGAAGGTAATTCGTAATTTCCGACCTTTACACATTACGGCAAAACATTCTCAGGTTAGACAAGGTTTGTTGCTACTCTGGTTTAAAAATTTAATGAATGTAACCTAGAAGGTACAATTCATAGACCCAACGTTTCGATACTCCTGTCTAGCGCCTTCATCAAGGGTGATCTAAACGCTGCAACAAGAGGTCTTTCAATATGTTCACTAATTAGCTGCCCTTATTTCTGACAGGGTGTAAATAGGCGTCAGGAAGTAAGCCGCCATCATCACGATTTAAAGGAGCGTGGGCGGAGTTCATATGCTAGGCTTTCAAACAAACGGCGCCTGTGATAACGTTGATAAGAGGAATAATTTTAGAATTATCCCACCCAATTGTATGATTAGTCAGGCATGTGTGCTCCGACAGAGCTGAATTTTCTTTTTTGCAAAAGAAGACCGCTTTTTGATGCTGTCTCAAACGCGTACCAAACTGACGTTTGGTCTTTCCTATATACTCGTGATCACAGTCATTTCACGGAAAGAACTCAAAAGAACTCTTCAAAATTTTTTCATTATTTCCTTTAAATTAACATTCTCTGTGAACCAGGAGAAAGATGTTCCTTGATAATGGTCATACAGTGCACAATTGTATTGTTTTCATTATCAAATCTTGATCATTTTATCAAATATCTTTCAAAGGATTAGGAATGACGAATATTCTGTTCCAAAAATAACGTTCTGGCAGATTCATGTTTGACCAGTTCTTCCCGTCAATCTCGGTTATATCGTAATCTCTGTAACTATTTTGAGGTCTAGAATGTTTTAGTGACTTAGCCTCGAGGTCAGCTTTAATTTTTACTAACCCAGACATCCATACGACCGACGCACTGAGCGGAAACGAACTGTTAGTTTTTACTGAATGAGCAAGCAAGAAAACAGTAGGCCCCGAGACCTTCGCCCTAAGAAGGGCTAACGCTCGTCACATCAATTTTAGAGGACAATTCACATTATCAACTCAGTTAATAGAACCAAGTAGTCTCTGGCTCGTTTGCTGGAATAAAACTATTGTAGACATCTCGAGAAAGCTAACTCTGCTCTCCGCCCTTCGTCCTTACAAGTCAACTATCCTGAAAGCTAAAATGGTCTCTGGATGATAAGGTCGTCATTTGTTTTAAGGCAAAATATGAAAAAGAAGAAGGTTGTAATTTCGAGGCGAAAATAAACTTCGAAATTGAGTGGTTTATCATTGTCATCAGAGCACTGCCTTGCACCTCGGCCGGAAACAAAATCACCATATGTTGCTAACTATAGTAACTCAAAGTGTGTCACCCTCGCATTTCTGGAAATGAATTGGAAGACAAAAGTTTTTGGATCATACCTGTCTTTTAGAAAGTTCTTAGGATCTCAGTAGAGAGTCTTGATTATTGTTTGACTTTCTCATGGCATGTCTCTAACACGGGGGCAAGTTTCAGATGACTTTAAATTTAATCAAGATGTTTAGACGTCATCGCCCAGAGTAAATTTTCCATACTAATCGATTGATAAAGTCATTCGCAGTTCACTCTACCACTTAATACAACTGATGTCCATTTTTTGTCAGCAAACACTGATAATGATCTTGAAATATTCTCAAGAAAAGAAACCGGCTGAATAAATGGA